TATTTGGTAAGGAGGTTGAGATAATCGGCGACGATAAGGGTTACCATCCTAAAGTGGAGAGCCGTGGGGTTAGTTTTTTTTTCTTTTTTTTTTCTTTTTTTAAAAGGATGCAGAGTGGGGGAGACTAACGCATGGGGAGCGATCCGCACGTAGTACGTGCCGAAACCACGATAGAACCTCAACCACCCTTCTTCTTGGACAACCTTGCGCGCGCAGTCAAGCATCCCCTTGTACGGCAGCTGACCGGATTTGGGATCCTTCTGTTGCTTCTGCAGACGGGTCTTGACAAAATCGAATGGTAGCGACAGGAAACTGGCAAAGAAACCAGCGATCGCAGAGGCGGCGAAAGTCTGGTTTTGGGTTGATAGAGTTGTTCGAGCCTTCAACTGGGCCTTGGACTCGGCAAAGAAAGCAAGCTGACCGAGATTGAGGGCCATTGCACGCACCACGGTTGGGAAAGCACCAGCCCACAAAGCAGTCACACCTTCCGCTTTGGAAATTCGGGCCAAGGCATCGATGACGGAGCGGTAGTTAGCCCGCGCCTCGGGGGGTTTAAGCCCATCAGACTGCATTCTGACGAGCGCGAGGTCTGCAGGGTTACCAATCATGGCAGCGACTCCACCGGCGGTCAACCCGGCTCCTGCGCGCTCCACGAAGGTGACTGGCCGGTTGGCTGTTTCGGCCTTCTTGCTGAGCGACCCCATGAATGTGTCGAAGAATCCCAGGCGTGCAGTAGTGTAGACGGCCTGACGCAGAAGCCCTGCAGATAACCCGGTGTATAGATCGAGAGCTTTCCCAGACGCGATAATATCGCGAGCAACGCCAAAAGCTGACGGGCGGGGGCCAGTGCGCACACCCTCGCCAGCAAGTTGTAGGCGTACCTTGATCATATCAATGGGCTGGATGACGACGGTGGCCGTCATGCCAGCCAACCCACCATTAACGAAGGGAAGCGCAGCGCGCGTATAGGGATGGTGCAAGAAATCCATCGCCGGCTGTGAGGACTCTTTTGTAGTGGAAGCCATGTTAGACCAGAAAGCACGATTTCACAGCAAAATCTGATGGGGAAAAGTCAGCTGGTTTCGAGAGAAATCGCGAAGAATCGCTAAAAGGATAATAACCCGAAGATGGAACGAAGGGACGGAGAGGAAACCATTCACTGACTTGATGCAGTAGAAGGCAAAACAGGGGAACTGCCAGGAAGAAAAGTCACGCTGAGAGGCAATTTGTCTGGCCGGGAAATGACGTATCAAGGGCAGGACAAAGAAAATGGCCTGTATGAGAAGATCCCGATGGACGAGAATAATCAGGAAGGACGAAGAGAAGGAGGAATGGAAAAGAGGAGGAGAGCAGGGGAGACAACGCGGTTTTGTACGATGGGGTCTTTGGCTGTCAAATGGTTGACGAGGAGTAAAATGCGGGGATGAAGTCTAAGTCAGTCTCGTCTCCAGGAGTACCCGATCCTTAGGATGAGTATACCTGTCATTTATCCTGTCCGATTCTTGCTCTCTTGATCCAAGAATGTGGTTGATTATACAAGAAATAATATCTCTATCTACCACTATTCTGTCCCTATTCCTCCGATCGCCCGAGGATGGACGGATATCCAGGTCGCAGCCACCGAAGCCCTTGTCAATATACATATCTATCTATTCCCCTACTCCGTACTCCAGGTACTTATGAGTTCCCCCGGATCACTGTGCTCCAATAAAATAGATCCAGTCAATTCAAGTTCAAGTTCAGTTCAAATTCAAGTTGATTGTCCGATTGACGCCGAAATCGGCACTTCTCTACGGAGCACTAACTCGTGAACTATAGTATACCTCTGAAAAGCAGTGGAAAAATTAATTAACTAAATGAATAACTCCGTAGTCCGTACTAACTAGATAAATAGATACGAGAGAAGATCCGATTCTCGCTGATTGGAGAATTTCTTTAGCCTGTACGGAGTATACCTGTGGATGTATCGTGAGAAGCGAGACGAGTAGTCTTTTCGGGCCTCAAAAAGGTCATAAATTATCTCCCGGCCAGACATGGCATGCCGGACAATTATCCGTGATTCGAATCCCCTGCAAGCTGTATGGCAGCCCAATGACGTGGGAACAGACTTTTTTATTCGTGAGATTTTTCAAGAATTGAATTGCATTATCTAACCTCTACTGGCCATCTCTAAATGACCCAACACTCTTCAATCATAGCCCAAAAAAAAAAAGGTATTGCCAAATTGTAACGTTGCCAGCCTGCAAAGCAAGCGTCCATGGTAACAGAAATTCAGACCCAGATATTTAAAACGCAGCACGCCATGCAAGATGTGTAAACAAGGAAAACACACAGGGGAAATCACAAAACGCAGAAGAAAGCCAGTTTTTCTTTTTTTTTTTTTTTTTTAAAAAAAAAGCGCTCTACTCGAGAGGCACGGGGCCAGCCGCAATAACCTCCTTGGTAGCCTGGTCAGAGTACTTGGTGAAGTTCTCGTTGAACAGCTTAGCCAGCTTGTTAACCTCATCTGTGAAGCTGGTGGAGGCGGTCCAGCTGTTCCTGGGGTTCAGCAGCTCAGAAGGCACGCCAGGGCAGCTGGTGGGAACGTGGAGGTTGAAGACTTCGTAGGTCTCGTACTCGGCCTTGGCCAGCTCCCCGTTGTGGATGGCGTCCAGGATAGCACGGGTGTACTTCAGCGGGCAGCGCTTACCACCAGTGGTGGCGCCGGCGCCAACCCAACCGGTGTTGAGGAGCCAGGCATTAGCCTTGTGCTCGGAGATCTTGTCGGCCAGCATACGAGCGTAGCGCATGGGGTGGAGGGCAAGGAAGGGCTGCGCGAAGCACGAGGAGAAGGTGGCCTGGGGCTCAGTGACACCGTCCTCGGTACCGGCCATCTTGGAGGTGTAACCAGAGATGAAGTGGAACATGGTCTGCTCGGTGGTGAGCTTGGAGATAGGGGGGAGGACACCGCGGGCATCGCAGGTGAGGAGGATGATGTTGGTTGGGTGGCTGTCGGACACGCAAGGAATCTTAGCGTTCTCGATGTACTCGATGGGGTAGGCGCAGCGGGTGTTCTCGGTGAGGGTGGAGTCGTCATAGTTGACAACACGGCTAATAGGGTCGAAGACGACGTTCTCGAGGACGGAACCGAAGCGGATGGCGTTGAAAATATCGGGTTCCTTCTCAGCAGAGAGACCAATGCACTTGGCGTAGCAGCCACCTTCAATGTTGAAGACACCACGATCGGTCCAGCAGTGCTCGTCGTCACCGATCAGGGCACGCTTGGGGTCAGCAGACAAAGTGGTCTTTCCAGTTCCGGACAGACCAAAGAAGACAGTAACATCGCCGTTGGGGCCCTCGTTGGCAGAGGAGTGGAGAGTCAGGACGTTGTGCTTCACGGGCATCTCGTAGAAGAGGATGGTGAAGACACCCTTCTTCATCTCACCGGCGTACTCGGTACCCAGGATAACCATCTCCTTCTCGGCAAAGTTGATGGCGACGGAGGTGGCAGAGGTCATACCCTCAGTAAAGCGGTTAGCAGGGAAGGAACCAGCGTTGTAGATAACATAGTCGGGGTGGAAGTGCTGGAGTTCCTCGGCGGAGGGGCGGATAAGCATGTTGCGCATGAAGAGAGCATGGTAGGCGCGAGCGCAGACGACACGGACGCTGATGCGGTATCTCTCATCCCAGCCAGCGAAACCATCGATAACATAGATACGGTTGCGGGTGTTGAGGTAGTCAACAGCACGCTCACGGTTGATACGCCAGACCTAGCAGTCGCAAGTTAGTTCATCAGCTCTAAGGTAACATTCACACCCATGCCATCATACAGGTCCAGCGACGACCTCCCATACCAATAACAGCAAAAAGTAAAGCAAGGAATTAAAGTGCAGGAAATTAGTTATGCAGCCCTAAAGGGCAAAAAATGCCTCACAGGATATGGTGAGGCATTTAGCTAATCCAGCGAGGCCCACACATGCACAGTCGGTGACAGAAGTATAAAGCTTGAGGGCACAAATGCAGAGACCCGCAATGATCGACCAAATGCAAGGGGCACAACATTATTGAAAAGGCATGCGCAACACAGACAAAAAAAAAAAAAAAAAAAAAAAAAAAAGGCAAGTGGACTTACATCAGGAGTCATGGGCTTGTTGACAGGTCCCCACCAGACCTCATTCTCAGAGGACTCCTCCTTCACCACACGCTTGTCTGAAGGAGAGCGGCCAGTTTTGGCACCAGAGTAGGCAGTCAAAGCACCGCTGGATGTGATAGCGGTACCGGTCTCGTAAACAAGAGCATCCTCATAGAGAGCAGCGACAGAGGGGTTGGCAATCTACTCGGTGTTAGTGGTATATCTCAGGGGACTAGGTCATCAGAGGTCTTACAATAGCAACGCGCTCGTAGTCGATGTGAGCGTGTTCATGGAGTTCTTCTTCCAGTTCCGTGTGACCCTTGCCAGGCCTAACGTGGTACAGGTTAGTGCAGCTCAATGCAAGAAAGATATGGGTATAGATAGGTATAGATGAAAATGAGTTGGTCCGGCAGCATCAGGAGTGACGACGAGCCAGGACAGCAAGGAAGTAGTGTCAAGGAAGAAAGAGAGACATACTGAACACCACCTGGGTGCAAGGCAGTACGATTCACAGATGTAGCAACCATGTTTCTGAGTGAAGTCGAGTGGTAGTTGTTATTTCGTTGCTTTGCAACTTGTTGTTCGAAGAAATCTGCTGCCAGAGGACCCGGAGACGGCGGGCAACCAGGGGGTATATGAATGTTTGAACCAGGAGCCATGATCACGACGGGTATCAAGACTTTCACTGCCTTCTCCGATGATACTTCTCCACAGTTTCACGGGAGATGTCGGGGGCTGTGGGCCGAGTTGGGGCGACAAATGACTCTCACGGCAGTCCGAAATGTCCCGACCCCCAGATGTGGGCACGAAGAGGTTCCGGAAGGACGAGTCAACGCACCAACTAAAATGAAGAATCCAGCAGATCGGAAAGGGATAAAACTTGAGGTGTATTATCGCCGACAGCGCGTCTCGGGAGAGGGTGGTCAATACTAAAAATGCCTCAGCTGAGTCTGGTCTTACGCAGAGGTTACAAAGGAAGGTTGCTAGGGAGCTAGGGAGAAGAAACTTACTTTATTTATGGCTCCTCAGACTCGGCCTTCACGAGCAAGCAGCTGAAAACGACGGTCTACATTCTCAGGATCATGACACAATGCCAAAGTAAAAACGCAGAATGCCCAGTTGTAGTAGAGGAGAGAGCAAAAAGCCTCCTGTACGGACCAATGGAAGAATGCTGGAAAGTGATGACGTCGGAAATGATCTCAAACATCACAGGCCTAGGCTGTTGGCGATAGAGTCAACGGGAGACTAAGAACCAAATTTTGCGGGGAGGTCACGGTTTTTCGGCTAAGGGCTCCTAACCCGGTCAGGCAGTAGGCGAGAAGTCTACTACGCACTATACACCTGCTTTCTCCTTTTCACTTTTCTACTTTCATTCTAGGTAATAGTCCGTATAGATAGATCGATAGATCGATAGATAGCTCTCTTTTATTTACTCCCTAGGTAGCAAAATACAACCATCCCTCTTGCAAATCGTGTGCCAGGAACAAAATCGCATTCAGGTGATGAAATGCCGGATCCAGACTCGGGTTCTTTCGTAGCACGCTATCCCCAAACGAGAATGCTCTTAGTCATCCCGACGCAGCTCCCGGGACCAACCGTGCAGCCAATCACAAGTCAGCCAGGCAGAAGAGCCTGAAGAGGTAGTAGGTACCAGACTGGAAGCTATTCTCGAGTGTCTAGAATCTTAGGACTCTTTTGTGGATCCTTTTCTTTTCTTTTCTTTTCGTTTTGTGTTTCCTCCGTAGGTCAGGCGCCATACATAACCCTAACTAGTCCGTAGTCTACGAATCTTTCGCTTCACGTGGTCAACTGATATACGAATGAGGCTCTCTCTCTCTCTCTCTCTCTCCCTTTCTGGTTGAGAGGTTTAGGTACGCGAGTCAATTGAGCCCCTGGATAGAGGTCACGCTTGCAGGACTATTGTGTCCTCCTATCATTTTCTCGGTTGTATTGCTGTACCCCGCATCCGATGAGCGCCTGGACCACACGGGCCTTCCCCGGAGCTAGGACCTCTGCAGTTGAACTGCTCTATATAGGTTTCTTGTTATACCTGTCAAGATAGAATCGCAAACAATTCCCATTGTGGCGTGATTTGGATGAAACCTTGCTACGACTCAGAATCAAAATAAAACGGGGGTGAAATGAAGAGCTGGTCCACAGATCGGGCAGGTTAGGAAGATATCATGAAAGCAGGGCTTGATCAGTTTTCCCCTTGGGCTGTGCAAGTTACTAGGCCCTACTGTGGATCCGTAGGGGTTCCCAATCCGGAAGATTTAGGAAAGCATCAAGAAGGGAGAAAGAAATTAATTGTCACCTGCAGCAACACTGTAAAATGCCTCATATTATGGAGCTATGTGCATGTGGAAATTAAATAATTTAAATCATTCATTCATTCATTCATTACCAACAAATCATTAATCAGGAAGAAAAGAATGGGCAACCCAAAATTTTCGGCGAGCATTTTGTCGGTTTCGACCCTATTTTCGCCCGCAACCGACGAGTCAGCAACCGTCCCGACTTGGTCAACTTGGGTATAGGAGTATACTTATTGCTCTAACTCTTGGGCAGGGACGATTAGTGACAATACTTAGGTACTTACTTCCTGATAGATAATGCTACCCAATAACGTCACATTCTCATGCCGGGTCAGGTACCTACCGTACCTAGGTACATAGGTACTAATTGGTATCCTGATGCACCCACCGTATTGGCTAATAGGAAGTCCTGTTCTGTTCCTGTCGATTCCATATCCACATGGCGAACACATCCGACCTTGTTTATCCAGCCGAAAAAAAAAAAAAATTAAAAAAAGAAAAAGGATGCGGAATCAATTTGGATCGTTTCTGTATCTGCCTCAGGATTCAGGCCTCTTCTCACATATTCAGAAAATCGGCCTGGATGCCTGGTTAATAAGAACCATCTAGTTACATATCCTGCTAAGAATAAGACAGAACCGCAATCTTGTAACAGTTAGTAAGTACATATGTGAAAGAGGATAAGTAAACCCTAAAGTTCTCTTCGTTGCGATTTCGCCGTTTCTACTACAATCTACCTAGCAATTTTCAAAAACAAATTACCACGCCCTACGAGATAACTACTACTAGTATAACTGCCGATTTTCGCATTACGAATCAAAGAATACAACCCGGGATGCAATATAAATACGTAAAGTAACTAGGGGCTAACCACTACCGAGGAAGTAGTCCCCACCTCCACTGGAGGCTTACCCCGGATCCCAATCCCAATCCCACCTGGTACTGGTAGGTATCAGGGTATCCATCCATACTCCAGCGGAAACTCCACTGGAGTCTCGAATGACGGTCGACCCGGAAAAGAAATATTCCCTCTATTCCGGAGAACTACCTACCTACCTAAGCTACGAGTAGTACAATCAGAACGCTAACATTGACTGAAACAGCAAGTGAGTGAGTGATACTCATAAATCCGTTCATTACCAAGTAACGTAACTAGGTGGTGGACTTATGTCTACTGCTGATAGCGAGAACCAGAACTAATCCCGTTGACGTGATAGCTCCTTAAGGATAATAGCAATTAATCAATCAAGAAGGTATCACTCATTCATTTCTGTACCGTTGTACCCAGGGGTTGCTCTATAGAAGAAAACAGAGAGAGGGAATGGAGTACCTAAGTTTCTTCAACTTCTAGTTTGTAGTGCCTATCTAAAAATTGATATAAACACGTCCTTCGCCTCGGAAAGAGAAGAGCTCACACGAGGGTACACTAGAACAGATTCACTAATATCGTATCATAGAGTGCCAATGAAACTGGCATCCCTCCTATCGCGATCATCGTATGATAAGTGTGACCCTCAACCTGAGGCATCCCACCCACAAACAACCAATCATCCACCACCAGCTGGAGCGGGGCTTCAACAACGGCGGGGTAGTGAAAAAACAACTTCTCTCCCCCCTCTCTTCGCCCTTTTCTGTTTTCATCTCACTTTCCTCTGCAAGAGTCGATCTCAGTCCCAAATCGTGGTAAGAATTTCCCCAGTTCCCGCTGTCTGCTGTCGGCGGTACGAGACCAGGCTAACCAACTTTTCGCGGACTAAAGCAACGCGCATCAACTTCTCATCTGCCTATCCCAAAGCTACCCATCTCAACGATAAGAGACCAAAATGGGCCACACTGCCTGTCCCTCCTGCGGCACCAGCATTGCTGGCGAGAGTAAGACCTGCAGCGCCTGTGGAAAGGTTTGCTCATCCTCACTGCTCGAAAGAGCTCGATGAACTGACTCATGTAGACCTGCCCCGTTTAAGCTCGAATCCTCGACCTGCGAGTAGTGAAACTGCGGCTGGCGTGAAATAGGTGCACCAGGAGTCGGAGACTGGAGAGATGCTTTTATTTCTGTGTGATCCGAAGTCGTGGACGATGAATGAGTGAATGAATAATGAATGATATCCTACCCGTCTAGACAATGTAGAGCGCGTAGTACCTTCAGACAATCTCCCTTGCATCCATTTCGTCGTTTAATCGTTGGTTCGATCTCTGCGAGCGCGCTATTTCCAGATCCGGTAAACCAGAGCTGTCCTCGCTTCGTCGCAGCTGGGTCTCACTATTTTCTCGTATGCGCGCGAGTCCCTTTTCCTCGTCACTCTCGTGGATATCCGGTGGCTCGGAGAAACGGTTGTTGAGAAACACCGAGTACCGCTGTGGATTTACTGTACTGTTGTTGGGCAACGGCTCATTCTCAGACAAGAGAACAACCTCCACCGGGTGGTCGTGAATACGTGGTACTTTGAATGCTCTGTAAAACACATAGAGGATGGGAACAGATAAGCCGTGGATGATGATAGAAAAGAGAACTAGCCAGTAGACAACTGTAGATTTCCGTCAGAAACAAACGCCAACATGATGATAGAGGGAGCACCCTACCTGGTATCATGGCATCGGTTAATTGGTTGATTTCTCTGTCACTTTCTCCGCGATCCGGAAACAGTCGTCGAGCGTATTCCACATATGCAATTGCTCCCACGCCTAGAACTCAAGGTCAGCATACCAAAGATGGAATGGGCTGGAATTAAGCATACCGATTGGACCGAAATGCCCCATAAACAAAGCTTCCTTCCAGTTGCTGCATATCCTTGGCATAAATCGATATCCAGCCATAATTGCAGGGATGCGTCGAAAGATGAGTATCAAAACTCCTAGCCCTAAAAGACGCGGATAAGTGATCCCGGTAGCTGTCGGCATGTGAAACTCCTGCCACGGCATAATCGCCCCCAGGTACATAAAGGTGGCGTAATTTAACAGAGTCTCCAACGACGTGTTGAATGAATCATGTCGTGCCTGGATCTCAGTATTGTATAGCCCATCCCAGTTCAGCATGCTTCCTGCTATGAAGCAGGCCAGGGTCTCGTCAGAGCCAAAACAGCCACAAGTACCAACAATAAACGTCCCGAGAGCCACAGGAATCAAGGTAAAACACTCATGGTCAATCCACTTCCTGTTTGAGTGTCAGTAACATGCTCCTTCGAAAAAGAGGGAGGCACTTGCCTCTTAGACGACATGTTTAGAACTTTCTGGCAAACAAAGCCGACAATTATCCCATATCCAGCCCCTAGGATGATCATGTAGAGGAAGCCTTCAACAAACCAATGCTTCAGCGCGGTGCCAGCACCCCCTCCAAAGCGGCCCCTATCAAGAGAACCTAGAAGATCTGGTTCTCCTTCTTCCAGGTCAAATTCTGCTAATACAATGGTGTTTACGGGCGCCTCTGCATATCGAAGCAGAGATACGCCGAGTAATAGAAAAGAAAACCCAAACCCATCATTCCCACCTGCCTCAGAGGATATAAATTCTCGGAGAGGTCGATGGACATAGTTGTCAGCGAAGGGGCCTTTTGCGATCGCCTGAGATAAAATCGGATCCGTGCACGTTACACATGAGCCAATTATGAGTGCTGCAAGCTGTAGTAAAAGGGTTTCATTAGGATATTCTCAATCACTAAGAGGAATAAAAACATACGAAAGAAATGTTTGGAATCATCAACATGATACAAGCAGATGTTACAATCCACCCGATAGTCATCAATGGTAACAAGCAGATAGTCATCTCCTTAAAACGTCGCTTTAGGTATTTCTTTGGCAGTTGATATCCAACTTTTACCAATTGAATTCCAATGACAAGTCGTGTCATAGCCTAGCTCCCGTCAGCTTGGAGTCTGGAACAAATGTTGTCTAGACGTACGTAAGAGATCGCACTTGTCGCGCTACCGCCGTCATTACTCCCCCAATGGTCAACAACAAGAAGCTTTGCGCCTAGGGGACCGAATGCAATGCCGATGAGGAAAGCGGGTACTAGATGGGAAAAGGTCAGCCGAAAGAAAAAAGACAATTGATGGCCATAGCATACATGCTTCGCCTAGATACCATCTTTGCTTGACTTTTAAGGATATAAATCCAATAATGAGAACATAGAAGCCTAAGAGATAGGGAATCGGTTAGCCTAAGAAGAGACAGACGAGATAGAAACCCCTCCCACACGATATGCACTCACTCGAGACCACAAGGATAACATTAAGATCGCTTAAATCGAGAATGGGGTGTAGCATCGTGCCGTAGGGAGGATTCTAGTCCTCCGCTGATAATAGCTACTCCAAGTTTGTGGTAGGAGGTAGCCCGGCCAATGTCCAACCCACGATCGAACAGCTCAGGTTTCTGCCAGAGGGTTCAAATAGTTGTCCATGGATAACAAGGGTGTCGAGACGCCAGGAAAGCATGTCCTCACCACCAGACGATTTGGAATGTAAAACGGTTTGGACAGCCACCGAGGGCCACACCAGCGGCGGCAGCTGGCCATGTATTATTACCCCTTGGCCCGTATCTCACGCGTAAAATCTCCCAAGAATATGTCGGTAGAGAGTGTGGGCCATTACACACGTACACACACACACCCACCCACACACCCTTGCAGGATCATTGTAAGCCCATACAAAGCTTGGCCAAGCCGATAGACAGTGATCGACGTGTCTGGCGCGGAAAGCCCCCTGAACGATGGTTTGGAGTACTTTCTGATTGGAAAGGGGCTGAAACTAGATGCCGGGAGGGGGAGTTTGAAGAGCTCAGCCATGAACGCATTTTTGCTGATCCCATAGTTCGGGACGTTGTTATCGAGCCTAACGCTGGTTTATTGGCAATAAAGGAGGAATGTGGCGGCTAGCCAAGCAGCATGGACCCAATAATATGGCCCCCAAAAGGGCCTGATGGAGTTCAATATTGAATGCACTTCCATATTCTTTTTTCTGGCTAGCGATAAGGTGAGTGGGAGAGCATGGTTCCTGTCACCCTTCTGGAGAATAGGCCAAAAATAAGGGGGGGTTCAGAAAGGGATGGTTATGAATATCCTCCCGGAATCCTAGCGAACAGTTTTGATTAGAACTCCTAGAATCTAAATGTAAGAGGTAATTGTGTAGAGTTGTAAGAAGTCCTGAGATCCATGGATGCAGTTTCAAGTTCCCAAAATTGTGGTTGGGTCACGATCGACGACTGGTGCCTAAGGCAGAAGGGAAGAGGATCCAGGGCATCATGATTTCACATGTTTTTGCTGGAATGGGAAGTTAGGGGGTGAGATCTCAAAGGATTGCGAGGGAAGAAGGAAAGTAAAAAGGCTGAGAAACTGGCGAGAATGCATGTACTCTGCTGTTCAATTGGGCGCAAACGGAGGAGAAATAAATTCTAAAGTATATATGTCCAGAGAAGAAAATGTAGTGAGGTCTAAGAATACGTCTTGACTCAACTATTATCAGGCAGAAAATCGACCAGGCTCCGATCAAGGAAATCAATATTAATTATGTACCCACGGGCTTCTGTCGTCTGTCTCCATCCGTCAATTTACACCTCCTTGTCCTCTCACATTCCCTAAGTGAGTTGGGCACAAGCTGGTCCAGGGACTGCAAAAGGTTTCGACAGTTCTGGCAAAGGAAAAGTGGCGGGAATATCGCCTTTCGTGCCAACCTGTACACGCACTCCAAGGAAAATTCATCAAAGCTGTTGGGCTGGTAATGGGTAGGGTATCGATTGTTTAGGCGGTCTTTCGCCACTGGCTCCACACGCCGATCAAACTACTGATTGTACCGGCGATACCAATAATTCCGTCGTCGAGAGATACAAGGCCAACGCCAGAAACGGGGATAGTCAGATCGAGGAGGTCGGAAATGAGTTGAAGACGAGCAGCAGCACGTTCCCTACAAGAAAGCTTTCGTTAGCATCTGGACTTGGCACCTCTTCGCAAACAGGTTTTCTGCACATACTTTTCAAGCTTCTTCGCCTCCACCACGCCCTCCCCCTCCTTCAGATCAAGGGTCTTCTCCTTCTGCTTCAACCTCCACAGGGTGTAGACACCAGCAAGGGCGCTGCAGGCCAGCCCGGAGATCCAGCAACGGTAAGAAGAATCTTGCATCCGCTTAGCGGCAGCGACTTTGCGGACTCCAATGGCATCAAACAAGATAATGCTGTCTAGGGACAGGTAGCCAGCATAACCGAGCTGACGACCGATGGCAAGGTAGCGGAGCACAGGGTCGACAGGGCCTTTGTTGTCAGCCGCAAGAGCAGCCGCCTTGAGGTGCTCAATGAACTTTCCAATCCTCAGAACCTTTCTTGTTGTTGCAAACTGCTTCTTGATCGCATTAAATGGGGCGATAGCGGACTCGGCTTGGTTGGTGCGGTACAGGTACCAGGCATAGAAGCGAGAGAAGTATTGGAGGGTACGGAGGAGCTTGTCACGACCGACTATGGTATCCTGTTAGCAGACAAATCCAGGTACACAAAAACCTGTCTGCATCACAAAGAAGCTCCCAGTTTCGGGCCATTCCTTCCACACGACCCCCTCCTTCCCTTCGCGCCGGGGGAGAAGCACCAACAGAAATCATCATAAGAGAGGATCACACGTACGGGTAGTAGCAGCAAAGCGCAGGTAGTGCGCCAAAGCCGGGTGGTAAACCAAAGCGTCTGCGACCATTTTTGGCTATTATTCACTAGAAGCGCGAGAATCTTCTTGTCGTTGGTCAATGGGAAAATCGAGATCCGCGAGTCAGGCGGCACACAGTTGATAAACTCAAGTTAATGACAGGCCAGCTGGCAGAGACAGGATCAGATAGGATAAGTGGATGTGGTTTGGTATGGATTAATATGGGATAAAAGAACACCCCGAAGAATAGATAAGATGGAGAAAAAAAGGACGAGGGGGGGGGGGAATGAAAAGCAATAGATGGATCGGTAAATGACGGCTTCGGGAGGTTTGGTCGACTCTGGAGTCACTCTGGACCTCGGTTGTAGTGGAGTTATTGTAGTCTTCGCTCTGGTCGGGAATTTCACCCGTGATTGAGTATTTACTATTTAGTAATAAAGCACGCGATTCTCTTTAGTTATATGTATGTATATTGTTCTATAAAAGGAATCACATAGCATATTTTGCCAGGTTGACCTGCAAATCTGAAATCATACCTTATCATAGTTAACTAGTTAATCGTAGGTAGTTGAGTAATAAGATCACGTAATTCATCACATATTCTACTTTCTTTCTATATCATAGAGTGATTACTTTATATTTCTGTTTTATTATATAATCTGACATAATTCAGTAATACCTGGATAGTCTTTTCTAGTGATTTTCGAGATTCTTCATTTTCAACAATAAGATCTCAGTGGTATAGATGTGGGATGGAATGTCAAACACCACATCCAGTGAGTGCCAATTACCTGTATACACTATACAGTCAAAAGCTTTGAATTGTAAAAGTATGTACTGCAAGATGAGAATCAAATTATCCTTCCACGCAATATGGCTCTCAACTGGAGTGATCGGAAAGGGACCAGGAGCCGTCCGGGATTAAATCGGCAATATTTCGGTCTGCATTGGGGAACCTGTTAGGCCTCAGGGTAACTAAACGGGTGGACGATTAAAAAGCACCTAGTAACTAACTAACTAGTTAACTACTCTGTAGATCACTAGTTAAATACCTACTTACTAGGCACAGAGTAGGTAACTCGTTTTCCAGATTCTCCAATTACAAAGAAAGTCGTGATTGTACTGTACGTCCTTCTTCAAATGCGTGACCAACCTAGTAATAGCCGATCTATGTCCTCCTCTGTCAAATGGTCCCCAGCTCTACCCAAGATTCTGTTCCCGTTCTGTTTAGCATCTGCAGCTTCAGTCGCGTTGCCTAGCTCCTCACAGATATGAGAAAGCTTGAAATATGTCCTGCTTATCTCGAGAAGGCTCGACGAACTCTCGTTCCACAGTGTTACAGCCCGTAGGTATGAATGCCTGAGGTCGTTTAGTTGGTGGGTGTGGGGAGGGTTTTTAGACCGTAGATTGAGAAATCACTTACTTGGATTCTTCAAACTGTCCCAGACATCTCTGCGTGTCCCCTATCTGGTCGTGGAATTCCGCCACCCGAAAGTCTTCTCCGGTAGTATCGATAAGTAACTTTATAGCCCGTTGGTGCATGTCGAGGCTTTCGGCGTAGCGCCCCTGATGGCGAAATACAACTCCTAAAAGCCTCTGGGCATAGGCAGCTCTAGTCCAGGTCACTTAGTTTGAATAACGGGCGTTTTTGAGGGTAATGCGGTGACTGGATTTACTCACTTATAAGGTTCGGAAACAGCAGCTCGCTCCTTTCCCGGTTGTCCTTGTAAGTACGACTCAAGGACTTGTTCGGCTTCCGTGGATTTGCCCGTGAGGAGAAGGCCATAGGCCTTGTTGATATACGCAAATGCGACGTATTCCGGGACAGGCAATGTCCCATATAGATGGATGGCGAGATTGGCGTGCGAGATAGATCCTTCATAGTCACAGGTACCAAGAGAAAGAACAGCCATGATGTTGTGAGCCTGTGGCAAGCGCCATCCTTTAGGATCATGTTCGGAAATCAGGGAGAGATACTGCTTAGCAAAAGGGAGGGCAGTTTTAGGGTCGTTCTCCATATTTCCAAGCTCTGCACGGCAGTAGCATATATCCGCAAATGTAATTCTTGTTTGCTGGGGAGCGAGCTTGCAGACTTCTTCTGCCAAATCGAAAAAGGGTGGAGATTGTTTAAACAGTCCACGCTCAACATAGTACCTACAGCCAGCGATAAATTAGCATTCTTGCTCATTGTCTGAGTCAGTTCCAAAACCACCTACCACCCAGCCTCCATTAACAATCTGGCAAGTTTTGCGGCCGTATTCGGTTCTATAGTTACATCTCTCGCGCCCTTGTATACCTCGCCCAGGTAGGTGACATGCGCAATAACAGGCTCGCATTTCGGCCAGCGCGTTGGTTCCCAGTCAAACTCGCTAAAATGCCACGCCCGGTAAAGAAGCTGGCATACAATGTCGAATACTAAGACAAAATGGTCTTGCGACATTTGTAAGCGGTTCGTATCTTGGATGATGCGGTGGGTTGTGAGCTCCTCGGTGTCGACATTTCGCGAAAGAAGCGAGGAACCGGTAAGCTCACTTCGCGCGAGCAAGAACGAGTCAAGTGAATTCGGATAATGCGACAGCGATGCGGCCGTCTCTCCTACATCAGTTAGGAGGGACTCCTGGATTTGGTCTGGGTCCATAAAGGATATAACATCAAATAGACGAGCGGCAGGAGGGTGTAGATCGTCCAAGGACCACACAGTCGCTATTGTCCTGGGTGCCATCCCTGAAGCGGGAGCTCCAATCACCGTTTTATTGAAACTTTGCCGCATCTCTGCTTGCTCATAGTATCTGATGAATTCTTTCAATGACATGTTCCGTCGTTTGATCGTCTTGGCCATTTGATTGATCGCTAGAGGAATATAGCTTAGTCTCTTCACGATGGCAGCAGACAATTCATAATCCTTCGGTTTGGAGTACCCCGTTAGGGTGCGCACCAAAGAGAGCGCATCTTCGTGGTTAAAGGGGTTCAGCTCAATACCAGCATCGGACTGGAAGTATGTTTGAGATTTTGCAAGTGGATCGCGGCTTGTCACCAATATTGCGCCACCTCCAGAGATGGGCCAGTAGTCACGTAAAATGGACAGCTCATCCGCATTGTCGAATATCAATAGCCACTTGGGGGTACTGCTCGCTGGGGGGCTGAGTTTGGCACCATCTTGTATTTGGTGTGTAGGGTATGATAGCCATTCCAAAACCAGGTCCCGACTAACCACTTGATCACCACTATTATCCTCTAATCCAAGCTTGAGCGCAATATCTGCGAAAGATTTGGCCAATTTCCCTGTATCGCTGGCCTGGATCCAAAATATAGCATCAAACTCCTTCCGCGCTTTGCATTCGTAGGCGAAAGTGACAGCCACCTGTGTTTTGCCCATCCCACCGGCCCCATAGATAGCAAATGTCCGTAAGCCGGACAATGGCCCAAAGCGGCCCAATTCGTTCGTGGAGCAAAGAGCAGACCTAACCTGCTGTAGCACGTCTTCCCTGCCGCAGAATTCGGGGACTGGGGTATGGGGCCCCATGATATAGCTGGGGAGCTTCAACCGTTTGGCAATACCAGTGACAGGCTTTCCGGGTATTAGTTCATATCCAGATCTATCTGAAGAACTAGCTACAGTGTTTATATTCGATATCCCGAACGACGTTTGAACAGACAGCTGTTTGACTATAGAACGTTAGCAACGTCACGTCACGGATTGCATACTTTAGGGGATTTTGTACATCGCTCTTCGTCCTCATGGGCATTCGAAACACTCCAGGCAGGCGTGCTTTGCGTGACTACATCGAAAGGTTAGCGTTGGCGAGTTGACATTTCGTAGGAATTCTAGTCGCACCTGTGATAGCAATAGGGGAGTCTGGGGTACGACCAGGCCCTGCTAGGGTTAAGAACTCGGATAATTGGGAGTAAAAAGGACTTCCAGGGAGGACGTTGCACAATGCTCCATGTGTTGAATCCGTTTTAACCACCTTCTCATGTCTTAGCTTTGTACGAGCGAGGGACTCTTTTACCAGCTGTTTGCTATTAGCGCTCAGGGTACATATACATGTTAACATATCCATCCACAACTTACAATTTGTCGCTTAAACAGGGCCCCTTTCACTTTTGTCGGCTTGCCTTCGATAACAGACAGAATATCAAGGTCTAGGTCCGATTCATCGAAGCTCTTCGAAATATTGGCCACTGTAGCTATACTGTCCTGCGCATGTTGCATGGCTTTCTTTGGTAAGGCCATATACTCCTTCAACAGCGTTGACAAGTTTGGCCAGTCATGAATTTCACCAAATTTAGGATGCGGACATCCCAAAAAAACAACCCCAGAGAGTGCTCGAAAGAGCTTTCCGAACTCTGGTTTATGAAATTCATCGTATATTCTTCTGATCGCCTAAGTTGGATGTCAGAGAGACATTCGATTGTACCTTTCAACAGTGACCATACATACTTTCTTCACAATGAGACCACCCAAACCATGGCATATGAAAATTAGAGAACGCAGTTGAGTCTAAATTGCTGTTAACCTCAGCCGCCTCTCAATTTCTTGAGTGCTCAAGGCATGAGTGCGTTGGGGGGTTATCATATTTCACCTTCTGTACAAGTTCCAAGAGGGATTCGGCCAGAACATCACCCTTGCGAGCGAAATACTGCCAAATAAACTGGTCATTTGGCTTGCTATGGCGAAACTCAAGTACATAGGAGTTTTCTAAGATAGAAGGCAGAAGACTTTTCAACCAGCATGCCGACGACCCATCCAACCAAGTCGTCTCTGCCTTTGTCCCTACTTCTGGCACCACGGCAACACTTGGATTCGTTAGGAGAGTCTGACATACAATCTGGTACGCGGGCGACTTACCACGACACACCTCCTTCGATTGTGGACGTCGCTGGAAAAATACAGGTAAAGGAATTTGCACTCTTGGAAGATGCCATCACAGACCTTTTCCTCGTTGGATTGGATTTCTGTTTGCGATGCTAGGTGGTACACCGTGCCTTATGGACACAGCTAAGCGCCGCAAGGCTGTCACAGACTTCATGCGGAATGCATGCACTGCCAGCATAATTTCTAGTAAGCAGTGGCAGGCTGACACTAGCTGGCTAGTTCAATACCTAACGATAACCGCCAGCCTATCGATCTTATATACCTGCTCCCGCGTACGGATACAGAAAGTACTCCAGAATTGGTGATTGTCTCCCTCTGTCGAAGAACTTGACAACGATCAAAATGGACCCAAGTATTTTGGGAATATTACACAAAAGACTTATTTCTTGGAGATTCCCATCAGTAAGGTCCAATGAAGTAATAACACAGCAATCAAAGGCACCTTCAGCCTGTCTTGAGACCAACCCAATGAAGGCAGACAGCGCAAGGCTAGATCTGCACCTCAGCCTCCACCCCTCATGAGCCCACTCGCCAACTCCTGGACATGGCGGCTATTGAAAACACTCATGCTGTCACTCGTAAGTATATTGTGCTACCATGTGGTTCTCAATCAAGGGGCTTTCGATTTAGCTAACTGTGCTGGCAGCGTCTTGATCCGGCACTATGTCCCAGACGCCGTCGACTCTGGGGGAAAAGGAGAATACAAAGCAACCGACTGACTACATTCGGGCAGTTAGACAGCATGCTGCAAGGGAGCTGCGGACGTCTCTGCATCCTGGTGTAAATCACAGGCATCTCGCCAAGTTTCTGCAACAAACCGGGCGCCAGGCTCCCAAGCCGCATTTGACACAGCAGCCGAAATTCAGCTACGCTGTAATACACGATCTCACATACAACCATGGAGACCATCGCCGCGTCGTTTCTTTCGACAGTGATTCCGGCCTCGATGGCTTCTTCAGTCATCCATACCCCGGAACTGGCTCTGGCCATCTAGTGTTCTTACACGGATACCCGTCGCCGCAGTGGTTGGGCGTTGTCGGCGCACGGTACGGGGTAGATCCTGAATTCTTTCATCGCCTTCTGAATCAAGCACCCAGCGGCGAGTTCTACGATACACCGGCCTTGCCGTCAGCTTCAAGAAATATTATCACCGTGCCAATTACTTCCATCGGCCAACACCTTGGCTCTTCCTTGCCGAGATCAGAAGCACCTAACTCTCTCGTGGCGTATTTCCGGGGCTTGGGGGTCAGATTCAATGTTGGGGAATCTATCGTGAGAGATTTCTCTCTCCATGATCAGGAGCACTTCTCTATTGTACAAAACATTCAAATATGCGTGATCCCAAGGAGATCGAGTGGATGGAGCGGTACGTAACCGCCTTTGATCCCGTCATGATCTGTAACTTTACCTTAATTTACATTCTGATGGGTCTCTATGGCTAGCAATCATTTACCTCGATAATGGGCGTCCCATCGACAGCGGACCTCCGGGCCCATGGTCAATGCTATCCACCTCCCTGCATAGCGATGTCTTCTTGCCCGTGATTCAGTGCAAGCCTAAGCTCGGCCTCGCAAAGCATCCTCTCTGGGCCTCCGTACCTAACACACACCTATCCGGGCCAGCACAGAACTCGCGTTTCACGCAGAGCCAATCACTCCTCCCACATGAATCATATGGACGGTTTCTTTCCGACCGGTTGATGAATTCCGATGCTTTCTATGCATTAAGCGAGATTTTCTCGTTTGCCGCGTCTGCAGAAAACCAGCTCTTCAATCTTCTCAACTCCAAGCTAGTATTCGGCAGCAAATACACTGGGAGTATGCTGTCCTCTTTAACGGGCTTAACTTACCACAAAAATATCCTTGAAGCACATATTGAGCAACTCCAAGAAATGGTCGCCATCATTGAGCGTCGTGGGGACTCGAAATGGCCAACGATTTTGGCCCCAACGCCCCGCCCAACAGATGGGAATGTCCAGCCTCACCCAGACCCGTTAGCTTACCAGGAGATCCAAAGTACCGCGGCTCGTCTGCTGGATGATTATAAATACCTGCTTCGCCGGGGCCAAGCTATCTCTCGTAGATATCAAGAGGCTATCGACCACCTCCGCAATAACGCTATGCTTGAAGAATCGAAGAAGGGCATCGAGCAGGCCCAAGGAGTGGGCCGCCTCACTCTGCTCGCTTTTCTCTTCCTCCCGCTCGGATTCACAACCTCGTTCTTCAGCATGAGTTTCAGAGAACTGGACACTGGCTTAAGTATTTGGATCTGGTTTGCCGTCTCAGTTCCTGCTTTCTTTCTGACCCTTCTCTTGTGTTACTGGAGCGAAGTTTGGGGTACCATTTGTCGACTTCAGAAGGGCCCCCGTGATTCTAGTACTAGTTGGAAGAAATCTACCGTATAATACTATTTCCAATTATGCACTACCCGGGTTGCACAAGTAGTAAAAACCGAAACTTGATAATCGGGGCCTCTATGGGGTCAGGTTATAGTAGTAGCAAGTAGTAAAGTCCATTTCTGGAAGCAAAGCAACCACGAATTTGTCTCCCACAGTTGCCAACCTCCAATCCTCTCAATCACACAATCAACTTCTACGCGCTGAAATAGACACCTGCATGAATAGTGCCAACCTGAAGGAATCGCCACTTTGACCTCCAAACCAGCCGCTTCTTTCCAGAGCCACGTCAGACGGGGATTGTCCGTACCCCGCTTCTTCTATACAAGTATCTGATAAGCCATGGTGAGGAGGGGATCACTAGTTAGGTAGTGGCATTTTATCACTACTGCTGGGCTGAGAAAAGTTGAAAGACCGTTGTCCCCGTATCGCCATTATAAAAGGCCCATCCAGTCATATCTAGGAGTAACAAGTATGTTTGTTCTACCTTGCTACTAAGAACACCCTCTAACTCTTCCCCCAAGGACTACGACCACTTGGTTACCTTTTTTATTCCCCCTCTTGGAGCCACCCGCATATACTTTGGTAAGAATATCCCCTCTCTAACCAACTTGACGTTCCTCCATCTATATATATATATATATACTTGGTTCAGGGCTAATATACCCGACTCAGAATCCACATTATGGTCGACTCGTCCGTCCCTAGCTCAAACCTGAGCCAGCCATGGAAGAAGAATTGGCCTCAAGGCTTCCATGAGATTTCTGGCCTCCACAACACCGAGCGTATGCCTTCTAACCGTGCTAGTAACGGTGGTGGTGGTGGTGGTGGTGGTGGACCCGTTCCAGGTCCCCAAGGTGGGAAGGGAGCCTCCCCATTTGCCTGTGCAATGGTGGATGGCACTAAAGTGATGAGATTGGATGACAAGGAGGTTTTTAGACGTGCAGTCTAAGCACACAGATGGAGACTACTATGTTTTACTGTGCCGGGTCAAGATGGCTATCCATACTCGTGAATCACACACATTCTCTAAATGTCCAAGGTCAATATATCACCAAGGCTCTAAGCTCAATGCTCTCTCTACCAGCTTCGTCATGCGGATACATGGGATGGCGGAATGCCCCGTGAAGCACTAAACCCAGTGTCAGCGCAAACTACACATTCTCAGCTATTGGCAAGGCAAGGCGATTGTCCTACCAGTCCCATGGACTTTTGAATCCGCGGATTTAAACACAAGCACCTCATCGGTTGACTGGCCACTTAGGTAGTACCACCGCTGGTTTGGGTTGTAATGGACTTGGTAGCTCTCGAGGACATCGTCCGCGTAAACTTCATCGAAAGCAATCATATCCGACTCATCGACGGTCTGAGCATCGCAAAGTGCCAGTGGCCAATTCTTCACAGGTCCTCGGAGGGGCTTCCAGACGCTAATACTATTAGTGAGAGCAAGCAACTCGGCAGCATAAGATCGTCCGACATACTTCAAGGCCTGGTATCGGCGTGTCTTTATAAGATCTGCAATCTTTTCACCACCGACTTGGCCCATGAGTTTGGTGACCTCATAAAGTGTATAGTCTGGATTATTTAATCTGTCAGTCACCACCTAGGGGGCTATCAAGGTAATAAGCGACGTACGTAGTAGGTAAGCACTAACCTCCATGCACCTGGGTAGCTGGTTGCCCATATCCGTTCCTTAGATTAGAGCCGTCTTCGCTGGAAGTTTCGTCACTTTTCCGAATCTCCATTTCTTAGCTGGAGCTGGGATAGCGAGGAGCCGGGCCTGTTAGAGCAAAGACTCACCACGCACTCGTGGAAAAACACAACACTCGCGCCCAGTGTGTGAAGCAGGTAATAACGAATCTCCTCAGCATAGACAGTCTTGAGTTTCTCTTCGTCGAAAAATTCCTCATACCTCAGTTTCGATTGAAGTCTAGTCACCTGGAAGCCTTCCCTGTCCAAGGAGAGTGAGGGGACCAGGGGTCTCATGTCATAGATGGGGACATTCGGCACAATGGAGGCATTGAAGTTCGCCCGGGGCATGCCCTCGGGTGGAATGCATCGAATTTCATAGGGTTTCTGGATCTTGTCTTGCTCATTTGGTTCTTTAAATTTCAGGCCCGCGTGTATTACTGGGACGGCATTCAGAAAGTCTTTCCTGACGACAGTAAATGTCCGGAATTGAGTTGTTGATGAAGCCATAGCTAGAAGAGACGTAACAGCAGACAATTGATCGAACTTAGAGGCTTATTTTAACAAGAGAATAAAAGAGAAAAAGCAAGGGAAACTAACGGAGTTCATGGGCTAATACATTATCTATACTAGTACTCTGTACTATACATACTTGGACGGGCACCAGCGGTAGTCGCAACTGAAAGGAGCCATGTCCACCCGAAAACCCCTCTTGGAAACATTTCGATCCACAGCAAGGTACTAATGAGTATCGAATGATAACGCCATTTTGGAAGGAGACCTGCGTTTCCCCTCACTCTAGCCCGAATAAAGGATGAGGCCCTCGGAGAGTGCCTGGCGGCGTAGAATGGCACCTAGCCCTGGTCTGGAGTGGTCCCTGTAGAATGCTAAGTCAGGCCAACCCTTGGATGCGTAAAACCGGTGTTATTGACAAGTCCCTTGTGAAGCTTGAACAGCAAGTCAAGCCTAGAGTAGCAAATAATTGATCAAAAGACTTATACATAGGCGGTTCACCTTAGTATAAGGCACATGTCCCTACGCCTAAAAACCTAGGCTTTCAGGCCACTCACACAGCGAGGCCCTGGCAGAGAAATCGAATCCTATACCGGTTTGCCAGCCAATTCGAAGAATTATATTATTTTCCAAATGTTATCCCTTCAATCTTCTATGATCTTCTATGTCAGTGGAGCGAGTTCTTTGGAACTCAAGCCACACGATGTCGGACCCGGAAAAACTTTCGGCCAGCTGAGCTTGGGTCAGCTCCCTGCCAGACATCCAACCCGACATGATGTTATCTGCCTCGATCATAATCCATCCACGCATCTCCCTGATATCCCCTTCCTCAATCCCGCACACCCCCATCCTATTGAGTTTAGCTTCTCTCAGCTAGTTGGCCTTCTATCTGAACCCCCCTTCAACCCCCAACTCGCCAGCATGGGGTCCGATCCACAGTACATCAAGTACCCCGAACTCACTCTCGCCCAACATGTCTTCAACCTCTCAAATCCAGCATGTTCCCAAGCAGTTCGACAGTCCTCACTCAAGACGCTCCAAGATTCTATCCTGGAGAAAAAGATGGCTCCTCTCTACCGACATCTCGCCCACCCTGTCGAAGGCATCCTGAACCACTCTGCCGAAGGAGCTTCCCAGCAACCGCGTTCATCAAGCGCCGGCAAGCCACTCAGCACACTTGCATCGCGGAGATTGTCACAGAAGATAGATTTCCCGTGGGACGAATCTTTGTATCAGTCATTACTGGAAGAGAACCGAAAGGAGCTGGAGACCTGCCAGAAGGAAGAAGACGAGGCAGAAGAAGCGGCCGGGGAGACAGAAGTCCAGGCCGCCCGCGGGAAGCGTGCTGAATTCTGGGCGCGAGTGGGAGATAAGGTATGGTGTAAACATATACAGACACCCGCAGCACTCTCGGGATAATGGCGTTCACTTGGAGATTAGCAAGCTGACCATAAACGTCATTTAGGATAAAGCGATCGAGTCACACGAGGCCCTCCTAGAAAAGACGACATTCCTTGGAACCAAGATAGACCTAGTGCTTGCCATGATCCGAATCGGGCTTTTCTTCGGCGACAGTCTGTTTGTTAAGAAGAATATTGAGCGGGCGGATACTCTGGTAGAGACTGGCGGCGACTGGGACCGGAGAAATCGCCTGAAGGCATACAAGGGCATGCACCTCCTCACTATTCGATCTTACAGCACCGCCGCTCCTCTGCTTCTTGACAGCTTGTCCACCTTTACGAGCTACGAACTATGCAGCTACTCTGCTTTGGTCATTTATTCCGTTCTTACCGGCTCTCTATCCCTCAAGCGCGTTGACTTCAAGGCCAAGGTAGTGGATGCTCCTGAGATTAAGGCTATTCTTGGATCTGGCGAGGACCGATTGGCTGCTCTTACTGGCGAAATTTCTTCCGGTCCTGGTGCCCAAGACGCAGAAATGAAGGATGCTTCCGCTTCGGGTACTAAAACCGCAGTCAACTTGACTGCCTTCAGTGGTCACTCTGGCGTCCAGGCCGAGGCCGAAGCGCCAGTGGACTTCGCCCCTCTATCCAACCTGGTCAGCAGCTTGTACAACGGCAACTACCGGTCATTTTTCCTAGCTCTTGCAGCTGTAGAGGATAATTTCTTGACCCAGGACCGATACCTCTACGAACACCGCGCTTGGTTTGTGCGTGAAATGAGGCTCCGTGCTTACCAGCAACTTCTCCAGAGTTACCGGGTTGTCGGACTGAACAGCATGGCCAATGACTTTGGAGTCACTGTGGACTTCTTGGACCGGTAAGCTCACCCCCCCCGATTAGGATGGCGAATTGGAGCGGCAAGGGTTAACTGACCAATGCAGGGATCTTGCCAAATTTATCGCAAGCAACCGAATTGCATGCACCATTGACCGGGTCAACGGTATCATCGAGACCAACCGACCGGACGACAAGAATAAGCAGTATGCCGATGTGGTGAAGCACGGTGACGCCCTCATCACCAAGCTGCAGAAGTACGGCCAAGCGGTACGTCTGCGTGGAAGCGAGCGAAGCTAGGTGGACAAACGAACAGAGGAAAGAAATGATGATATCTTTGCATCGGACGCTCTCCCCTGACTCGTCCATTGAAGCCAATCTATGAGATTTGTGATTTTACCGATATATTCCTTTGAACCATTGTCTAGAGTAAAAGCAAGCGCGGAGGTTGCTGTATCATACGACGCTTAATGACAGACCCAGCATGCCCTGGACTCCTTGGGTTCTTGATCTGGTGACGACCTAACAGCGGGCGAAAGTGCACCGATTCGATTGTAGGCGTCCCTCGTTCTGCAGTCGGCGTAGTTCTCGTAGTTTCAGGTGTGAGATAACGCTGTCAGACCGATTGACGACCCCATGGGAAGTTGGAATGGGGAAGATCGTAATCGAATTTAGATCGGGGGCCCTTTTTTCTCGTGTTTCACCAATGAAGTAGGACGAAATATCCCCGTTCAACAATAAAGCGCGATATTCGGGAAGGGCCGGGGGGGAGCTCCTGTGAAGGTGGATCAGTTCACGTACGAGGCGGCTGTGCAGGAAATACAGAGTTACAGACAGGCACTTACTTGCAAAGCCCAGGGTCATCTGCAAATCATCACCTTTCCTGCTGGGATGATCATGCCATCCGTCTTAGATTCATCGTTTCATTAATCCTGGGACAAGAACTAATGAACCATCCAACCACTCACAACACTCTTGGATGCAACTGGCGTGGCTGACTCAGCGCGGATGCTCGGTGGCGCCGGTGCCGACCTCCAATTTTCGTATTTTTCGCATCTCCCCTCCTGAGTCCCTTGATCGTCAACGAGGCAGCGCATTCGCAGACCCCCCAATCTTACTCGTCCCGTCGATTTGTCTACAACCCCGCGCCCTACCCCCACGGTGGAGAAGGTCTGATTACGCCATTGGCTGCTATCTTCTACCTATTGTAGGATAACAGTCATCGCGTTCCCGTGGAAGCCGTTACTATGACCTGGCAGTTTGGGATCGCACGTATGCGGGCACCGCTACGATGCCCAACAATTCCGCGGTCGAATATCCCTCGGGTTGCGCGGGGGCAGACTCGTCTCCTCCAGCCTCGCGCGTTCTCCAAAGCCGCAGCCCCCTTTGGTCCGGGGAGCTTCAAGGCATCGTCAGGTAAGGTCTCCGGGAATCGCACCCAGCCCCCATTTCAGCCCGACGGGCTTGCTACTCTCCTTTCATTTATTACGTTTGATGGCATCCTCCGATCCCCAGAGCTAGAATCTGGGCGGAGCCCACCTGGGTGGTCTCCAACCCGTGACCTTATTTATGAGCGATTTTGCGCCAAGCTGTTGAGTCACCGGCTATTTGAATTAGTTACACATGAATCTGCATGACCTTCCGGAACATCTTCACCTGAAAAAAATTCACACCTTAATACGCTTTCGCAGACTAACGCCTTCTTGGTGGACACAGAATTGACCATGGAGACCCAGACAACAGTAGTATCCTATACCGCACGACGCACATTGTCGACCACGCCTGTCCGCTGCCTAAACGTGGAAAACATCAACCCCTATGTCAAGGCCGCCAAGTATGCCGTGCGTGGTGAGCTTGCCGTCAAGGCAGAGGAATACCGTGTGAGGCTCGCCAACGGAGACAAGTCCCTGCCCTTTGACAGCGTCATCTTCGCCAACATCGGCAATCCGCAGCAGCTGGATCAGAAACCCATTACCTTCTTCCGTCAAGTCCTCAGTCTCCTTGAAAACCCGCTACTACTGGAAAATAAGGAAGTCCTCCGCACCTCCTTTGGTTATCAACCAGATGTGATCGAGCGCGCGGAGCAGCTCCTCGGCGAAGTCCAAAGCGTGGGTGCATACAGTCACAGTCAAGGAGCCCCTCTTATCCGAGACAGCGTTGCCAAGTTTATCCAGGACCGTGATGGATTCGCTGCTGACCGTCATTCGATCTTCCTAACGGGTGGTGCGTCGTCAGGTGTGAACACCCTTCTAAATGTTATTTGCAACGGCCCCAATGCCGGTGTCCTGGTCCCTATCCCTCAGTATCCGCTGTACACCGCTACTCTATCCCTCTTGAACGCAAAGTGCGTCCCTTACTACTTGGAGGAGCACAAGGCCTGGGGTACTGACGTGGCCGCCATGCACAAATCTGTGCAGGAAGCGAAGGCTGCCGGTATCGACATCCGTGCTATTGTGGTGATCAACCCTGGGAACCCTACTGGCGCGTCCCTGAGCCCGGAGGATATTAAGAGCGTCATTGACATTGCTGCTGAAGAGAATCTGGTGGTTATCGCGGACGAAGTTTACCAGACAAACGTGTTCATTGGAGAATTCACATCCTTCAAGAAGAGGCTCCGCGAGCTGCAGCACCAGGTGCCCGTCAAGTACGACAATGTTGAGCTGGTCTCCCTCCACAGTGTGTCCAAGGGTATGGTTGGTGAATGTGGTCACCGTGGTGGGTACTTTGAGCTCGTCGGATTTGATCCCGCTGTGGCTGCTGAGATCTACAAATTCATCAGTATTATGCTCTGTCCTCCTGTCATAGGCCAGTGTCTGGTTGAGCTGATGGTCAACCCCCCCAAGAACGGTGAGCCCAGCTTCGAGCTTTACCAGAAGGAGTACAATGGCATTCGGGATGGGCTGCAAAAGCGCGCCTTTGCCCTGTACGAAGCCTTCCAGCGCATGGAGGGTGTTGAATGCCAAGAGCCTCAGGTCAGTTTCTTTTTCCAATGTTCCTCCCCCAAAGCCTTCGCTAATATTCTCTGTCGCAGGGTGCCATGTACCTCTTCCCCACCATCACACTGCCCCCCAAGGCCGTTGAAGCTGCTGCTGCTGAAAACCGTGTTGCCGACGAGTTCTACTGCCTGCGCCTTCTCGACGCCACTGGCGTCTGCGTCGTTCCGGGCTCTGGATTCGGCCAGAAAGAAAACACACTCCACTTCCGTACCACGTTCTTGGCCCCCGGAACGGACTGGGTGGAGCGTATTGTGAAGTTCCACTCGGAGTTCATGGCTCAATACAAATGAAAGAGAACAATAATGATGTCGATAACAATGAAAAATACCCATCCGGACATACTACGATACCATATAGCTCCTGCGCTAGCGCGTGGTAAATAACAAATGCAGGAGCTTTGCAGATATCATAGACCTGGTTGTACTACATGCATCCTGCAATGCTCTCCACCTCTTCCAGTGTGGGCTGAATAGTTTCATTTTTGTGAGAGTTAAGGCGGGGATATACAGTACATTGAATGACTATAACGAATGACACTCTAGCATACTGCTCTTACTAGTTAACCTAAGAATTTTCCTAGTCCTCGGTTCGATAATCGGCTTCCTTGCTCAGTGCCAGTGTTGGGATAGCAGACTTCCTCCTCTCTCTCTCTCTCTCTCTCTCTTTCTCTAACGTTGTACTCTATCTCAGGTTGAGGAGAGTTGTAGCAAATAGTGTACAGAGGCCTAAAGGACATCAAGAGGGTCATTCGTTTGTTTTCAATATCAGTTTCCACCACATGTATTTGGCAAGTATATATATTAAATAATATATATGTATGTATGTATATCTTAGGATACATCTCAGACAGGCCTGAAAATAGGCAGGTAGTATGTAATATAATTCCCCCAGTTAACAACCAGTAGTCAGGACTACTAATATATGTAGATTATTATATTTTTTAGTGTTCAGTAAAATGCATAGAGATATGAAGAAGAATCTATAGTTATACAACAACCCGCTGATGAGATCAGAAACCAGCAAGGATTGTACTGTACTCCGTAACTCGGCACCAAATTCCGAAAAAAAAAAAAAAAAAAAAAAAAAACCCCGAACTCCGACACCAAATTACATTTACATTTACATTTTACAATATACAAAACAAAACAACGTCTACTAATTTAGGTACTTACAAAGTTACAAGGTAGCTGGCTGGTAAGTAGGCTCCCATTCGTAGATATGGCATTCCTCGACTCCGTAATTCATCCCTTCCATACCAAAGTAGGTAAGTAAGTAAGTATTCGTTAACAGTAACCCACACCCCCCCTTTTTTTTTTTTTTTAATTTCGAAAAAAAAAAAAAACTAAACGAAAGCCAAGTCCCAACAAGCCTTGGACGGGCAAAAGCTTGTCTTTTATCCCTTGCAGGGGAAAAAAAAAGGTGAGATGGCTACCCTAGGCCCTAGGGGTTTATCTATGTATATGCAGTGTGGGATCGGCGTGGGTTCTTTTTTTTTTTTTTTTTTTTTTTTCTTTTTCTTTGTGTGTGTGTGTGTGTGTGTTTCTTTCGTATGAGTATAGATAGATAGGTATTCAAATATTTATTATTACCTCACATATAATAATATGCAGAGTACGGAGTACATATACATATCTATACATACATACATATATATTTATATCTGGACTGGGATTGATAACTCTCTGATACCAGAAGTAAATATTTATTTATTTATTTATTCAGATTCAGATATCGTATAGTAGGTCTACTATTATTATCACTATTCTCCGACGTAAAGAAAGAAACCACTCATCAATAAGGTAGATATCAGTCTGTACACTACTAACTAGTACGTAGTACTTACTTACTCCCGTACAGAGTACAACCCCTTTGGAAGCTAGAGGAACTATCTCCTAGGTAAGGTCTACCGAGTTTAACTAGTAGTACTTGAAAAAAGTCGCTGATGTATTTGATACACATACCATACCGGATTAGTCTTAGGGTCTCAGAAACCAATACTGACAAGATAACCGGCATTATACCATGGAAAAATATACCGAATCCAGGGGCAGGGGTTGGGAACAAAGGGGAAGAGCAGATGTTTGAAAAATACGTCGGCTTTATCAATTGAATGCTATAGGATTGTCACTATGGACTGGGCTAATGGAACAAAAAGGTAAATCAGGCATTTATCATCATCTCTCATCAAAGTCGTGCAGACGCTATGGAGGTGGTGGTAAAGGTGCCACAAATAAACCGCAGATGTTTGAGCAAAGATCAGAACCCCGTCAGGTGAGTGGTGCTATTGTACCCATGGAGGTGCGAAGAAGGTGTTGGTATCGTCCAATGGCGCGGTGTTGGGATCAAACAGCGTCGTAGGCCAAATGGGATCCGTCGCAGACGTGGTTATTGACAGGCTCGTGCTGGGGCTGGTCATGGCTTTGAAGACTTGCGGATCAGGCATGGCATAGGCATCTTGGGATGGCAGAGGTTTGGACTCCATCCCCATGCTAACCTGCAACTGATGCTCGAGAACGGCCGTAGATTCATTAGCAGATTTAAGGAAATCGTCAATGTTGATGGACTCCAGATTGTTCGAGGATAGTAGCTGCGCTTGAGGAAGCCCGATAAACGAGGACGCCGAGCTGACCCGGTAATGGTCGATATCGGATCCCTCGCTCACACTATGCATGTCGTGCAGATCGTTGCCCGTGGTTCCCATATTGGGGAGAGGTGCGAAGTCTTCCACTTCCGAGATGTCCCCCGACGACGACGGCGCTGGGAATCCAGGCCCCATGGAGTTGTAGTCAAAGCTTGCATAAGAAGGAGGTTGTGTGCTGGTAGGAGCGAGGTCCGAGTAAAGAGGAAAGCTTGACCAATCCACAGGGGGAGCGCTGAAACCGGCGGAGCCCAGAGGCATATCATTATCCGGGGACGTGAAGTAAGACTCGTTGTACGTATCTGGGTACGGCATGCCATGGACAGGCGACGTGTTCATTGTAGCAAAGGAAGAAAATGAGGAGACATCGAGAGGGGGGACGCTGGTTACAATCTGCGCAAGCGCTGTCTTTCCCATGGACAGGGAAATCGGTTCGGGAACGCCAGCGCCGGTCGGCTCCTCCATCGGCTGGGATTGAGAGAACAGGGGCGAGAGGTCGAGTGGGGGGACAGAGGTTGGAACATCTCCCGCAGGAGCAACGGGAACATTCTCCGGAGACCCATGTTCGGACTTGACACGACGGTGAAGCCCAAAGGTACGTGGCGGTTCGGGAAGTGGTTGGTTTGCCAGCGATTCGCCCATGTAAGGGAGATGATCCATCGACCGGCGGGCCACGTCAGACGTACCATGGACGGTATGAGATCGAGGGATCGTGTAGGGCAGACCACACTTGTGAGCCATGTCATTGTGTTTGTGAGCGGGTTTGTGGTGGCCGTCCCGGAAAATGGTCAGTGCGCCTTCCGACGTTGTCGACGTCAGCTGGGGTTTTTTGGCTTGATCGGACAGGAGGGCAGTCGGGGGCGGGGGGAGGCCAGTTTCCGGTACGGGATCCAGATGGGGTTCCTTCTTCAGCGCACAGGTACAGCGCTGTCCATGAGTGCAGCCACATCTCGGACGGGAGTCCTCTGTAATCTCTATATCAGAAACAATGAACTAGGATGCCATTTCTATCATGCTCACGCTTCAGATCCCGCTTATCAGCAGCGTTGGGATCTAGATCATTCTTGTGGCTATTCTTCTTCTTGTCACCACACTCGCACTTTGTGTGGGTTGTCCGTGACTTGCGTAGGCCGCGACAGTGAGGGCATTGGGAGACTGGGCGGCCTTTTTTATTAATATGGGTCAGGGGGCGGTCTGTCATGCGATCAGTCAGTAACAATAAGGAGAGTGGATAGAGTGACAATTAAGAAGAGTCAACGACTTACCACTATGGTGACAGCTGCTGACACGGTGACCTCGGACGCAAGCTTCACAAGCCCACTTCTCGCCATCGATAAGCATCGCCGCGGTTACTGGTACGGGCACATGCGATGATTCGCGATGAATAGAGGGGAGAGCGAGACTGGGAGTGTTTGAGAGATCAACAGAGACTGGTTCTCTGAGGTGACTATTTTCAGGGGGGGGGTATCTTTTCTTATAACAGAGACAATCCCAATGGGAAAGCTCGTTAAGAGAGAATGAAAAGAGCCGTCAAGGCGAGAATTGGGGGGTATAAGTGTGGTGGTCCGTCTACGGGACCGAGCCAGCGGGAACCAAAGAGGAACTCCAAGAAAGCAGGGGTATCTTGAACGAATATCCCAGAAACGCCGTTATACGTTATAACAAGGCCAGATCGCGACTGCGGGCAGTGTTCCAGAGCCAATACGGTTATAAAAATTGGCGAAGCGACCGCGACCAAGTATGAGAGGAACACAGTCGGTCTATGAGGGCAGCCAAAAAAAAAAAAAAAAAAAGCCAAGCCAAAGCCAAAAAGAGATCAATTGTAGAGGAAAGGGGGGGCCAAAGCCTACGCACCGTTTGGCGCCGGCCGTGAGACAGGACACCAAATACCGGCTGTGGCGGCCAAAATAAAGGGAAAAGCGATCGATCTGGAGGCAGAGTTGCGAGAGTAACCCTGTGAAAAGGAAGGGAAGAGAAGGAGAAGAAAAGAAAAGGGAAGAGAAAAGCGGGAGGGGAGCGGGAAGTGGAAGAAGTAATAAGAAGAGTTGGAGGGGGGAATAATTCGGGCGACCGCAAGGAGGTTGTTACTATACAGCCAACTGTATTTTATCAAAACCAGTAATTATCATTTATCTACTGGACATATATATATTCATATTCAGATCTACTATTCTAACACTAAGTCAAAATACTGCTTACCATACCCACAAAGACATACATGTCAGGACACTTTCTTCTTGGAATTTATTCCTAAGTATAGGTAAGTAGATGAACTCGGCTTGGAAGATTTGGCTTCTTATGACGAACCCTGGCCGAGGATCGGTTGCCTAGCCCCTGGATCTACAGCTGCGCATTCCATGTCAGTAAAAAAAAAATAGTATGTCTTAATATAGCTACATACTAGTACAAATTTAAAATACCATACCTACTCTGTACTGTTACAACATCGTCACGGAAACAAATGTGAAAAAAAAAAAAAAAAAAAAAAACACTAGGTTGGTGCCTTATATTTTAGGTTTAACATCTCCTTACCTGCAGTCCATGGATACCTTCAGGTAATTAATTATAACTAACTGGTGATAGGAGACTCAGCACGGATTGATTGATATATACATTTCAAATAAATATTGAGCAGTCACCCACCACTTCTAGAAAAGGCTGTCAGATCTTCCGTGCAGACTGATCCTTCCGTTCCAGCCAGTCATTGATCGATTGACAGCCATTGGAACGTGCAGTGTCCCTGTACTTAAAATGACGAACGCTTCTGGAGTTTTATAGTGAAGAATGTCACATCGTGACTACACTTTCTGATATCTATATCCTAGTAGATCAATCCATAGTAACCTATCATCAGCATAGGATGTTTATATCATTGTACTCTCGGACCTCTGTTTTCTTTACTCAGGATATCCGTCGACTACAGAGTACTAGTCAATAACAATGCAGGATGGCGTCACGGATACTTTTTTGGGGCGTCTGCAGTGCTTCAAATTCCACCCATCAGTCATGAGGCAAGAGCCTGAATTGGTTGCATCTCCACCAATCCCAGTCGCTGGTTCGTGAGCTACTCGGGTTACCTCGGGGGATCCCAATCCTGCGAACCACATTGCTCTTTCTCTTTTCCCTCATTCTCAGCTTGATAATAATAATAATACTTAGTTGATGATGATGATGATGATGATGACAATAATCATGACAATATCATCAAGATCTCCAAGACATTAAAAATGCTTGCGAAACGTTATATCATCGCCCGGTCCAGTTGCTGGACAAGTTCCCACCACTTCGTGTTAACCCGGAGACTAACAAAAAAAAACTCCTGAATTCTGGCAAGTGAAACAACGATGTTACTCTAGTATACATAACTACTCTGAGGTGACTTTTTTTTCAAATCGCCCAGATTTCAAGACAGCCTCATACTCCGTACAGGGTACTGACTTGTAATTCCACTCCTTTCTGGTTTCTTGCTTCCCTCGTACTCGTTACGCTCTGGGCTCCCTCATCGATCCCTGCTAGTAGAGACTAGAGAGTCTCTTCCCGGTGGATCTTCGTTACGGGCCCCAAGATCAAGTCAGTCCCTTCCCCAGAGTCAACACCGTCCCACCTAGTTCTCTAGTTCACCTACGTCTCCCCCATGGAACGTGGGATAACTTGCACCAGAGCCCAGATCCAGATCCCTTGAACTGCTCTGAAGGAATCTTTCTCCGACAATGGCGATGAACCATTTATCCATATAACCCCCACAAAAACAAGATACATGCCCCAAAGTACATGGGGAACCGTGTTTCAGCCAACACAAGGTCGTGGGCGCCAACTGCTTCCTAGCAAGTTTTTGCCGGCCGTGCGGATTCTCGGAAACTTGGGAAGTGCACCGTCGTATCCCCTTCCCAACAGAAATTTAGTCATCTTAGGCCAATGTTACAGGTTCACCCCGTAGAGATTTAGTCGGGCCGTTTTGGTGGGAAAGCTCGAGCATGTTTTGATTGGGGACTAAAAGTACTCTGTATAGTTGGTCGACCTATTCGATCCCCCCGGACTGTCCAGTAGTCATGACTTGTTCAAAAGAGGCGGGCTGAGATAAACACCGACCAGTCCGCCATTGGAATATAAGATCGATGATATCCATTTTATCAAGAACGTGCAGTAGTGCCTAGAATCATGCCATGTTTGTTGTTGTATGTGAAGCATGGGGTCACTTTGCATTTGTTCCGTTTCCGACAGAGGCAATGTTACCTTAAGCATGACTAGAGAAGAAGCAGTCACAATCTGTTAAACGATGTTGCTGTCGTTGAGATTCAGAGAAAAAAAAGTACTGTGCCTTGTAGTGTGCGTCGTAGGGTGCCAACCCCGTCAGAATTGAAATCAGATTCATCAATAGAGGCCATCGCTCTGAGTCATTACAATGCTTTCCTTTCTCAACCGGTTTAGGGGTGCAACAAGATTTGAAATTGCCAGGAAGTCGAGATGTACATTTGTCGTATCAGGTAGTATCTATGGTTGGGTTGGGAATAAGCGACTGTTGTGAAAATTTCTCGCTCTGAATATCGTGAGGCGAGTACTAGAAGAAGAAGAAGAAGAAGAAGAAGAAGAAGAAGAAATGCCACCCCACTAAATACCACATCCTTTATAATTCAATTGAAATGAGTCTCCATTGAAAGTGTAGGAGTAAGGATTGAAAAATCGCAGAGCAGTCCGTCCTCGTAGTCAAGGAATGTGAACCTCTTGTCAATTGCTTCATATACAGGACCAACAAGGTCAGAATAAAACAACACACAAAATGTCATTCTTTCATCACGAAATATCAGATCTCTACAAAAAGAGATCCTCCATCCCCAGACATCCATTCAAGGCCTTTCCAAACTGCTCCGTCCATCTGTCGAAAGCAGAAGTTGGTCGAGTTCTGGGCCGTAGGGAAATAGTATTAATCCGTAGCTGGACGCAGAAACAAAAAGCCGGTCCGCAGCGTCGTCGCGATCATCCCAAGATGAAAACTATATCATCGGCCGCAAGACCTTCTACAGAATTGAGGGTTCAAAAATCTCTGCAATTCAGTCGTGCGATCATGTTTGCTGTGTCCTACTTTCCACGCCGAGGGCATTTGGCGCTAACCCCTTCAAAAATCCCCCCCTCCCCGCCCAAGTAGTTTTTAGCCTGTAAAACCTTGCCTGCTGTCCTCGCGTCTTCCGTCTTTCAACTCTCGAGACCTCCATCCATTCATCCATCCATCATCCGGAGCTTCGCTCCCCCATTAACCACCGTCCCTTACGCGAGATCTCATCACGTCCCGCCTCAATGAATTCTCGCGAGCACTCGGATATGCCTCCGGCGCCCTCCTACCCATCTCCTAACGCCGCGCAGATGGGTCAGGGTGCCATGCCGTACTACACAAACCGCCAACTAACCGCCGACGAACTCCTGTCTGCCGAGCTTTCGCGCGAAACCTCCGGCCCTGGCATCAATGACGGCCCCAGCAATGGGGTCCATCATGCTCAATCGATGGTTCTGGGATCCTCCAACGCTGGTGGCGCTGACATGGGCCGCCCGTCGTCCCCAGATCAACATCAACAACAACAACAACAACAACATATGCTTCAGTTTCCGCCTAGCCAGCAGGTGGGCGTTGATCCGAACCATGATTTGAGTTATGGCGACCAGAGCGCTAGGAGGAAGAGGACAAAGATTTCCCGGGCTTGTGATGAGTGCAGGCGCAAGAAGGTACTTTTTCAGTGGTTTTGTTGTTCTTGTCTTGGTTTCAGACGCGCCACCCTAGTGAATGACCTCTCTCTCTCTAATCGTTCCATATCTCTGCAGGTCCGTTGCGATGCGAGTTCCGAATCTGGAGTCGAGACCTGCTCGAATTGTCGTCGTCTTGGTGTCGTGTGCCAGTTCAGTCGGGTTCCTATGAAACGCGGTCCGAGTAAAGGGTACGAAACAACGCGGCGGAGTTTTTTTTTCTCTTAGGCTTACATGGAATCGCAGGTATATCAAGGAACTTGCGGAACGATTACATACTCTCGAGAGTCAGATACAGCCGGCTATGGTTCATCCGGACATGCCCTACCAGCCTATGAATGAAGTATCGTCTCCACGAGCTTATCAGGACTTCTCGTCACCGATGGATGCGGGCGCAATCGGTCGCAAGAGGACATACTCTGTATTTGATGGGTTGCCAAGTTCGTCCTTTGCTCAACCACCGTTCAACTCGCGCTCGCAAAACGCGTTTGGTTGGTGTTTTGCGCCGCTCCTAAGTCGCTTTCGATTTTGCTAACTCCGTTAGACACGGGCGAAAACCCAACAGACCCTTGCAACCCCGCGGTTGTGAACAGCTCGGCTCCCAAGCCTGGAAACCTTTTCTGGTCAACGGGTAACGATCATGACCTTCCTGCTGGGCTGGAAATCTCCGAAATACCTAAACATGAGGAAGACTTGACTCCATTGAGCGTGGATGAAGGTGCTTTGAATGCGTGAGTCCGCCTGCAAACCTGGTTTCTTGCGCTCTTGTTGCTCAATTTATAACTTCTTTTAGTTACTACCAGCATATTCATCCCATCCTTCCCATCCTACCCAACTCGAAGGACCGTCTTTTAGGGCTTCTTCACCAGTGCAGTCGTGAGGTGCAGGAAATATTCCTGTACAGTTTATATACTCTAACAAGGGTTAACATCGATCGCGTGGTTAGCACATTTGAGAGGATTACTTCGTATGACAATGCGCAGGATCTGCTCTTATATTATACCCGTCAACCGGCTCTGGTTCGCCCGACCGGGGTAAACTTGATTTGGCTCCAGAGTATGCTCCTTATGATCCTTGACTGTGACTCGCGGGGCCCCGACAACTTTGTGCTGAAGGACGGTGTGCCCAAGCACACCTTGATTCAATCTGCCACCAAACTTGGCTCAGATATGGCGAAGAACCTTGGCCAGCTCAAAACTAAGCGATCCTCCGACCCGGATGTTGATTCGGAGGTGAACCTCGTCAGGCGGAACTGGGCATCTCTGGCTGTTTTGACACGTTGGTACGCCATCAGTGTCGCCGACCCTAGCATTCTGGGGATGCACGAAATCGGAGGACGGGAGGATGAAAGAGTTCTCGGCTCCGTGACCGCAGGAATTGCTTGTATGTTCCATTGCTTTGACTCAGCCCGCCCCAGGTCCCTTGCTAACATCGATTCCTCTCTAGCATATTCCACCTTCCTTGTTGAAATGGTGACCCTTGCGGCGGCTGAGCATAACGTTTGTCAGACCAACACTGGGATGGGCCGCGTAGTTGGCGCAAACCTAGTGGCATCTCTTGAACGCCTGTCCAGTGTCGATGATTTCAAGTCTTCTGGTGTCTCGGAAGATGGAGCACCTCACGGTTTCATGGAGAGTCTACAAAATCAACTTTACTGGACTACGCGGCTGCTGATTAAACGACACATCTTCGTCTACAGCCCGTACGAGATCATCTTTTGCGCCGAGGAAGTTATCAATGAGCTGCTAAAGGCGACTGCGCAGTCCCGTCTTTCGACACCCCTCGATCTCCACAGTTTGGCTCTGGCTACCATGACCCTTCTCGAAGCCTCTGTGCTTCCAGAATACTCGAACGAGTGCTGGGAAGCTCTGAAGAAGGTTGATGAGATCCTCGACTACCGTGCAAAGCGTGCCGCCGAATTCTCAGAGTTTGGAGACGTCTTCCACACACCTGGTTGGGACGCTAAGATCCGCCTCTTCCTTGAATGGAGACGAACGAAATCCCAGGAAGCCCAGCTTCAAGATTCCGGCCTCAGCAAGACTGGCTCTGGAGCACCACCAGTGGTAGGACCAAACGAGCAACGCTCTCTCCAACATCTCGCTGATCTCGCTGTCGGTGCCGAGGGCTCTGTCGCCGTAACCGCATCCCCACCACCTGCCATTCCACCATCCGAGAACAACATGAATGCCACTTCGCCTAACCTAGGTCCAGCTCCGCCACCACAAGGCGGCCGCGTTGTTGTCGATTTCACCCTCCTTACGAAGGAAGGTTACCTGAATGTCTTTTCCGGGTTGATTTATCGACGTTCTCGTTAGGGTCTCATCTCATGATTTTCAAGTTTTCAATTGTCGATTATTTTGATGGTCCTGAAAATTGTCTCTATGAACGGATTTATATTGAAAATAAAAAAAAAATTCGATTTTTTTTTTTTTCTTTCCCTTCCTTCTCCCCCCTCTCTTCTTTATTTCTTTCTTTTCTCTGTCCCATCTTGTCACATAATTTATAGAAATGAAATGAAAAAAAGGGGGGGGGGGGGGGGGGGGCGGAGGACAGAGTGAGAAGCAAGCTCTTGAGGTTTGAAACAGGGTTATAGTTAATCCTGTGTGTTTTGTATTTTAGCAAATAGGTTTTATTTTATTGGGGGACTAACTTTCGATTCCTTGATGTGACATGTCCTTCAAGTTAATTAATACTATCTACATCCTTTTTTTCCCTTTATATTATCATTACTTTTGTTTTCATAAAAAAAAAACCCTCACACTATAGGTACGCGTCATAAAACTTCATACTCTGTTTGATAGAGCATCATCATCATCATCATCATCATCATCATCATCAATAAATCCATCACTCACTAGTAAAACAGAGAGGCAACAACCGAAACAAGATAAGAAACAAACCGTACTAAATGCATGGAAGAAGGAAGAATAGGGATATGATATGGGATATGAATATCGATATCGATATCGATACGAATATTCTTCACTTGCCTAAAGCAACCCGGCACCACGTCCCCTCCACATCCTGACAAAGCTGAAGAAACCGTTCGTCCTCGAGGAGCGCGCAAATCCAGTCCTCGAGCTTTTGCGCGCTCTCGATCGTCGACGCCGAACGGTACGGGAATAGGTGAGCATACTGCTGCGGTCTTGCATTTTCTGTCTCGGTGTTGCGTTCACGGTAGGGCGGTGTGGTTTTTGGCTGGATGGGAGAAGACTGCTGGGGAGGGAATGTGTTTTGGGTTATCGATTGCGTGGGGATGGGCGCGGCGTAATCTTGTGTTGGGCCGAACTGGGGTGGTAGTGGTAGTGCGGTTGGAAATTGGGATTGGTTTGTTGTAGGGTTTGGGAGCGAGAGGTTCGGATCTGGGTCTGTGTAGTTTGTTGGAGGTTGCATGAGGATATCATTGTTTGGATGGTCTGGGTGAGGGCTTTCTTTCTCACCTGTGTTGGATGTCTGGGGGGTAGATGTACTGGGTGGTGGTGGGTTAGTAGTAGACATTGGGCCTGAGATTCGCGGTCTTTTCGGGGCGGGCTTGGAAAACGGCAGTTCGCGTTTTGGAGGCAGGATCTGGTCCAGGGTTTGAATGTCGTGGTAGCTGGTTGCTGTGCCTGGTCGATGAGGAACTTGGTTCAGATCAACCGCTGATAGTGTATCGGGATACATAGGTGACTTGGTGTTTAGGGCCAGGTTATGGCGAGGGTATCCTGAAACCAAGTCCATACTGTGTGACGTAGTGGCACTTGATGATGACGATGATGACGATGACGATGACGATGACGATGATGATGCTAGAGAGGGAGCTGTATGCTTGAATTAGTCTACAGCGGACTGTGAATTGGGCTTTATTTTCGATTTAAAGGGCTTACTTGTAGGGGCTCGGGATATCGTGTTGCGAGAGACACCACTCGAGGAGTATGGAGGGGACTCCCTCATATTCAACACTGTAATTCCGTTTCTGCCATGGGCATATGAGCTTCCTTGCGAGCTAAAGACCCCTGTAGTAGGTCCAGAGTTCCACTGCGATGAAGTCGACCGGTGCATAGACTGTGATGATGGTGTAACATTTGATTCCGAGAAAGGGCAGTTGATGTCGCTAAGTATAGCTAGAGCTGTATAGAAGTCCCGATCCGAGGAAAACTTGATCTGGAAACGACGAAGCTGGATTTGAATTAGGATTTCCTCGTGTTCCTCTCCATCTGAAAGACCTAGAACATACCCATCTGTTCTCTTGTGGATATTTGACTGCCAGACAGGGTAACTTGACGACGACAGCAAAGATTGGCTTTTTCGAATTGTTCAACTTGGAGGATTGTTCAAAAAGCTCAGCTTCTCTCATAAGCTCTATTATATTAATTTCCTCCTTTAAGTAGATATTATCAGTAGTCGTCGATCGAAAGAAGTGAGAAATGGCACGAGAAGGACATACAAGAATCTCCTGATCGCGGATGACTTTGAACAAGGTTTTTGCAGGCGAAGTAGGCTGTGCCTTATATTCTTCAAATATTCCAGTAATATCCCCATGTCCGAAGATATGGCTCCAGGTCAAGGGGCCTCTATGGTTGATGGAGGTTGAGGTCCAGGAGAATTTTGCCAGAGGGAGACGGGTTTGCGAGGCTGGCTCTTGAGGTTGCTGGGGGGAGTGATACATCATCCTAGTTGATTATGCTCGCATCAAGAAGAATTGAATAGATGAGGATCATTCGGGGAATCCTTATTATGGGAATCGTCTTTGCTCGGTCATTGATCAAGAGAAAGCCAGAGTGGAGTTCATTGTGTCAGGCTTTTGGCAGGCGACCTGGAGAGTTTGGCGTTCATACTCTCGCCTCGGCCCCATTATACAAGATTTTGAGCTGGTAGACAATAAAGATCCTAAATTATATTTTAGAAACTATTACACTATTGATAATAACCGATATCCTGGCCAAATGCGTGGCTATGGTCGTGGTGGTTTAATACTTCGTATTTGTTGCTGGTTCGGGAAAGTTCATTGCCTTAGTGCCTTGTTTTACAGGCGCAAATGGAATCAAAACAAACGAGGCAAACATCCCAAAGAGGATTCCGGAACTAGGGATAATCCGGACACGCGCGCCTCAGGCCAGAAGGAGCAGCGCGGACTTTTTGCCTGGAGACGCCAGGACGGATCGATCGCAGGATAAACTGGTCGGCGGCAACCAAAGAATTGAAGTCCCCATTGGAACTCTTCCTGTCGCTAACGATCTCTTATGTATCTGCGCCGAGGCGTTTTCTAAATCCCCTCTGGTTTCCCTTCAAGCGGGCTGTCGTACCGCAATCGATCCTCGTCCTTGTCTTGCGATAGCTTGGGACCGCGCCTAAGCTCTCTAACCATTCGCGGGGCGACTTTCTATCGATTTTTCACCGACGCAGCATCGCTTCGGGAGACGACAAACCTGTTTTTCGCATCGGCAAAAACCCAGGAGGGATACGAACGGCGAGACAGTCAAAGGGACTGGACGTCTAATTTGACTCCAGCGCGTCCGATTGTTGAGCGATCCCATCAAGGCACCAGGTCCGGGGCCGAAAGCCTGCGAGCAACCGGCAAAGTATACTTAGCTGGTACTGCGGAATCAAGTCTGCTTCTGTATCATCGAGTTTCTCGGGTTGACGCGACAGGAAAGACACGGGGTTTTGGTGTTGGACACGCCTAGGCGATCTTTGTGGAAGCAACGAGAGACTCGAGAATTAGTCCAAAATGGCTACTCACACTCCTCGTACATCCCTACGCGGTGAGCATGACCGCTAGACCTACTTTTTTTGCTTGCGAAAGCTGATGATTTCCTGTTTATTACTTGCAGAGGGCTTGCGACAAGCTCCTAAGGCCAATCAACCTTTCATCCCTGATACGACGCCAGTACGGCGCTCCCATCTTCACGCGAATCAATCCCCACAGCCTCATCTCATCCAGCCATACTCCAACTCGCCGGCCAATCCGGGTAGTCCTCGTGTTCCGGCCGAGAATTGGGATGGCAAGGATCAGAGAGTCCCCATGTCGACACGCGAAGTGGTGACACCTGGAAACCGACCAGGCCTATTCACCAGTATGCATGGGAAGGACAAGACCGCGAAACAGCCGGACTTTTATGATCCTTACTTTCCACTTAAATATTTAGAAGTCCCAAAGTGTACGTGCATTTGGTCTCCTTCAACCGTTATCTGGCCCGGAGAGGCGACTAACATCTACTATAGCAGATCATATCTACAAACGCGCCCACTATGGCCTACAGTCCGGAATCTCCGACGAAGTAGATTTTGCATTATATCACCTCGTTCAAATATCTAATCAGCGAGGAGACAAATTCAAGTTCGAGGGCTTCCCATTGCTAGCTGAAAGCCTAATGGAAAAGGCCATCGACGTTTCCTTCCTCTGCACCGGCATTAAATGGGAGCTGCAATATGACTTCCCACAGTCAATAGATCGCGTTAATGTCCTCAACTCTCTTCATGGTACCCGCGATATCCTAGAAAGGATCAAAAGGATACCGGTTACTTTGCCTCAAGACACCCTTGAGACATACGAGTTCAATCACCGTCTTCGGAATATCAAGGAAGCCACCTTAATCCTCAGGAACATGGTTCTATTGAAGGAAAACGCATACTACCTCTCACGCTATGCTGGTGGTCTTTTAAGAGATTTCCTGGTGATCATGATCAACATCCCCGACCAGCCACGGCTAAACGAAATTAAAAATGACGCGCTGGATATCGCAGAGGAGGTGACCAGGTTTATGAGAACTGACCCGGAAGATCCTCTCTGGATTTCGTTGCTGAACTGTCTCGACTCTCCCGATCGCGCCCACGTCGTTCGTGCACTCTGGGCCCTCACTCACTTCTCAACGGAATTGGACGAACCGGAAGCGAACCGAGCAATGGATCGTATGCCGAAGCAAACCCTACAACAGCTGTATCTCCTTTCCCTTCTTGACCTTGATAAGGACATCCTGAGCGGTGCACTTGACTTCTGGTATCAATACTCCCTTTCTCGTGAGAATGTCGAGACCATGCTGGAGGTTTTTAATTTCTCAACTATTTTCGTCCCACGGATGATTGCGTTATTAACGCACGAAGGTCGCCCTATGAAGAAGGAAACTGTCTTGCAAGAGGAAAAGGTAGCGCCTCCGCCGTCAGAAATCCCGCGCGTTCCTGCGGAACTTTTGAAAGACCTCATGGAGTTGTCTGAACCGGAACGTAGCTCGCGCTGGCTACGCTGTTGTTTTGTCGAGGACCCTGACTGTGAGATCACGCAAATCGCACTTTGGCAGGCGTACCAGAGTCGCTTCGCTGATCCTCGCGTTCCTGGTGGTGGCGTCCTCCCCGCTGCAGAGTTCATCAAAAATGTCAGCACTACGTTCACGAACGCCCAAGCCCAGGTCATCAATGGACCTGGGTCTTCAACTAGGTTCATCATCAAGGGTATTCGACCCCTTGAAACCGCGTACACATTTCGAGGATTTCCTTACATTTACTGCAAATGGCAAGATAACTTAAAACCGACGAAAACTTGTCAGCGCGCCTTTGGCACACCCACAGACCTCCGAAATCACGTTTTCGCCGACCATATGAATTTAAAGTCGACCGAAACTCCTGGCCACTATGATCTTGATGATGCGGAATCACCTGTGCACACCTGTCTTTGGGACAACTGCACCAAGTTCCGGTCGTCCGGCCCTAGTGCTAATACTGCCTTGGTTGCAGGCCATGTTTATTCGCATCTGCCCGAGGAGCGACCTGCAGATGCAGAACCCCCAATCTCGAAGCGTGCAGTACTCCAGGAGCGCATTGTGCGCAAGTGGTTCTATATGGATACACCTGTCAGTGATCGGGGAGAGCCTGTGGGAGTGGCATATAAAGCCGCTCTCGTCCTGCGTAATCTTGCCAGAAATCTTCCAAATGGAATTGCGCCGAACCATGATGGGCTTTCATGGAAAAAGGCTGTTTTCCTCAGTCACCGCCCCAGGATTGTCGAAGTTTGGGACCGAAACAGGTCACTGCGGAAGGAGCTGACCGAGTTGATCATGATATTAGAGAAAGAGGAATACTATTGAAGGGAAAGTCAAGAATGAGAAATCTAACGGACACTTCTCAAGAATCATAACCGCCAGCTATGTCTGCCGACTTTGACCCTTTGTTGGCATTTTACTTTTCACCCTTGTGCTATTGTCTTCTGTACAAAATACCCTGAATTTTTCTCCAATATCTTTATTTTAACTCGCCACATGTTTCCTTTTCTTTATGTTTTTTTTTTCTTTTAACAGGGCCTTGAAAAAGCCTACGCGCTTATTGCGACCTGTGGTGGCATTTGTTTCTTTTTAAAAGATTTCTCCAAGGGAGCCTTATCATTAAGGTTATCTTGAATTTGCTGTCAAAGCTATGTGGCGTCCAGGAAATGGGGTAGAACGGAGATCGGTTGAATATCTTGGATTTTTGTTTTCTTTTACTGTCCTTCTTTTCTTCATAATCCGTCTTGCTATAATACTTCATGCGTTCTCGATGAGTGTACCATAGGGAGATATGGACGAACAGAGAGTTATTATCAAGTTTATTTAACACTCCGACATATTTGGTTTAATTTTCTAGCCTCGTGTGTTGCCCTTCCCCGTTGTAGGCATTTTTTCAACTACTGCAAATGCGTCAAGCTTTCAAGGTTGGCAAGGAGGGATCCCGGATGGCGAGACTCCCAAGGCTCCGGCGACTCCGGCACTGAGATCCAATGTGTTATGTCGAGCAATTATAGTAGGTAGCTTTGAGCCTGGGTATTTAGATTGCATCATTGATAGGCGTGCTAGTTCCTTTGCGTGACCCCCGTATTCTATATGTGGTGGTGGGTATTGTGTGGAGGTAAAAGTTCCCATGGACCATTAAGTTCACACCCGTCGAGGTACCTATCGCGGCACTATTCACTGACTTGTCTGTGATCTCGGGGTTGATTCGAAGTTTTGGAAATTTAAAGAAATAGGCTAAATCTGAGCTCCGCAGCGATGAGTTGTTCACGTCGAAACGAAATTCCCAAACAGGTATATAAAGTGGACCGGAATACATTCTGCTGGGGTCTTCTCCAAGTACCCAAGCAGAGTTCGAAACGAAGCTATCCCGCGTAACGGCGTTAGGAGGTCAAAGTCCTGAAATATCATCATAACAGCAAAGGCAGCGAGGACGATGGGGATCGATTGATTGCTAGAATCATCTCATAAGCGTGGGACTAGAGTGGCGGGTTAGTATGGAGAAGCTCGGGGCTGGTGTTGAACCAACCGTCCTATCTAGATCCAACGCTTTTGTAATCGAATCGGTTCCTGATTTCACAGTAGAGAGTGGAAGGTGAATCCGGAATTTCCGCGGACTGTGGAACTATAATAATAACAGATAAAGTAAATGTAGTAGCGGTCAAGAAATTCTGATTCAACGAGGTCGAATCAGACCCGATTGCCTGCCTGAGGATCCAGACGTTGCACCTGTTCTCCGTCTTTCGTCGTTTTGTTTTTCGCCTTCAGCTCATCAATTTCGCATCTCCTTTATTGGATCATGACAAGGCTGTCCTGTTTCTTCATTTCTTTTTCTTAATCTATATAATAATGACTAATTCTGTGTTGCAACCCAATCTGCATAGAATTACATCATCCTTCAGGCACAATGTATCAGTCGGTCAATCTCTAGGTGACTTTTTTCCCCCGCCACTCACCCACATCCATCAGCATACAAGAACGCTAATGACTCGTCCCTGTTGGATCGACGGTTCTAACCATGCTGAACATGATCACTATTTTCAGTCTGGCACCAATCCCAGGTCGCCGGGTGGGTTCCTCGTGTCTTTAGCGTCGTACTCCTCCTGTTGTCCCTCATCTTGCAGACTTGCCAGTCGATGCTCGCCAAAGCCAATCATCATTATTCTTTCGAGCTCGCTGATAATTTGAACCTGGAATGATAACAAAGGACTCGGGGATTCATGAAATCAATGGACTGGAATGGACCGCGTATAGTGTTAGCGCTTAAGACAGTGGTGCACTTCAGACTCTCAGAGTCATGCTGTCAACTTGTCAACTTGTCAGTGTCCTGCACTACCAGGGTAAGGAACATTAGCGCGGGCCCGTGGGAGAAACTTGCCGTTCACCTTAGAGTGAAAGACGCTTTTTGTTTGGCATTAGTCCTCTCCACTAAAAAGTGACAAATCTGTGTATGCCCATACATGCAGATATGTACTCTGTCCTTGACTAGCTCATCACGGACCATATGATCTTACCACTGGCTGAGAACTGTGCCTGAAAGTTAATTTGGCATTCGATGCGATAGCCAATTCAATGATTATTCCCACCGACATTTCTGTCATCATTGCCGGTGATCTATCTTATTCGGTAACTTTGACCATACGGAAGCAATGCAGTGCATCGGTGGCCAAAGCTGCCACTCCACTTTTGTGCCTGCGAAGCCCGAATAGGATCAGAGGATTGGCGAAGGCGAATCTAGGCACATGGCTTCAATGTTGGATTCCTCGAAAAACTACATTCTGCATTGGAAAGCCCGACGAGCAAAGCCCCGTTGAAAAAAAGAAAGAAAGAAAAGAAACTTTCTTGCAGAGAAGAGTTGTGCAGATCTCGCCGCAACAGCTATTAGCAAAAGACAAAGGGTATTGTTCTTGGTTCTAGTGTTTCAAAATGGAAATATACTCTTTTTCCAATTCCAAGAAAGGGTGTGAAACCATATCAATAATTCACTATCATTACTTTTTGCTCCACCTTTTCCATTGGCAGCTCTTGATGTCGGGTTACAACTGCATGGCTCCACCCTGGTCTCAATAGTCCAGATGAACTGCCTTGAGAACCCTGGTTGATCCCTAGTGGCCAGTGCCTGGTGTTATCACTGGAATGCGCAGGACTCGTGCTGAACTGCCAATGGAGGCTTGGAGGCTTGCAGACTTTGAGGCTTTTGGTTTCGCGTATTTCTTCCCCGCGAGCCGGTGCCTACACGCCAAAGATTGATTCTGATTACACGTGGATGTTTTCTTTTCTTCCTTTTTCTTTTTATCATGCTTTTTCTTTTTTTAGCTGAGCCTTCATCATTGGAGATTCAGGAATAGTGCTCACCTCCGGAGTATTATTCTCTTTCTTGTCTGGCCACTGTAACCATGCATATGTACAGCCCAGGAGCATGCTGTCTTATAGGCCCGGTAACATGCGCATGGTGTCATCGTCATTAACCCGGACGACTCACAATTATTATCTCTATCGAAAGTTTTTGCCCCTTGAAGAAAGGTGGAAGCATCTCGATTTTCTCATCGTTAGCTCATTTTACTTCTACCTAGCGCGCCAAATGGTGGTTCAAACTTTTAGACTGGCTTATACTGGGCTTAAGCAATCTCTGAACAAATACCATTTGGCTCTACTTATCTTGTACTCGCCCCTCGCTTTTTATACACCTCCAAGCTGCCCTGTTTCCAATTTCCCCTCCCTCTCTCCTCCTTCAACCCGCAGCTTTACGCTTCATGTGCTTCTCAACGCTCATTTAACAGGATATTTTGTGAGACATGACAGTAACCCAATTCACTTTGATTGAGGTTTAGATCGGGTTCACGCACTCGAGCCACTCATTTCCTCCTCCCCACACTCTTTACAGACCACCCTTCCGGTTTTCGAACCGTGCGCTTCTTTACACGCTCTACCAGGGCTTTGGAAACTTCCTTTCCCTTCATAGTTGTTGGATGGAACCATGGCAATAGGCGTGCCTCGCGGTCGACAGGCACTGGTGGTCAGTGCCACCTTCACCTCCCTGGCCACCTTGATCACAGTAGTTCGTGTCTACACACGGGCGTTCTTGGTGAAACAGATGGGTGCAGATGACTGGACAATTTTAGTATCCCTGGTATGCTTCCAGCACGGTCAGACCCGGCATTTAACCCAACCCAACTAAACATACGTACAGTGTTTAAGTTGGATATTTTTTGGTCTTTTTGTGGGAGGTTCGCGCCGCATCTCTCCGGTCTAAGCATCTCTGCAATCGGAGCCATAGCTAACTCTTATTCCTCCGCCGCCAGAAACTGCATATCTTATGGGCGAGCACTACGACAAGGTTCCCCCAGCCACTTTCAACAAGCAAATGATTGTAGGTTCCTCTTCCTGCAGTTACGAACCAGGGTTGCTTTGTTATATATTCTTATGCTAATATTGAATCCATCGGTGTAGTGTTTTTGGGCTTCCGTCCCTATCTATCAAGCCACCCTGATCAGTACCAAAGCTTCCATCCTCTTGCAGTACAAACGGGTTTTCTCCACCCCGCGCATGCGTCTTGCCTGCTACTACTTGCTTGGATTCCTCGCGGTTTGGGGAACATGGACTTTCCTCAGCGCATGGCTTAATTGCCTCCCAGTCGCTAAGTTTTGGAATGACTCCATTTACGGCTATTGCCTGGATAAGAAAGCTCTCTGGTTCTCGAATTCTAGTATCCATATTTTCACCGATACCCTCATCTTGATCTACCCAATGCCGGTTCTCAAAAACCTCCAGCTTCCTTTACGACAAAAATTGGCTCTCATGTGTATCTTCGCGCTGGGAGTTTTGTAAGTCTTTTTCTCTTACCTTTTTTTTGACCGTCACAGCCACTAACCAATGTACATCAGTGTGCTTGTTACCAGTGTTCTCCGTTTAAGAAGTCTTCTAGTTATCGCCGATTCCTCAGATGAAACCTGTATGTCTGAATCTGATTCTTGAATTCTTGAGACGTGAAAAGAGATCGATGCTAATAGCTAGCAGATGACAATGTTGGAGCAGCCACCTGGTCTGCTATCGAATGCAACGTCGCTCTTATGTGTGCTTCTCTCCCTGCGACCCGGGCTTTCATCTCCCGTCTTCTCCCTCGATTTTTCTCAACAGGCCGAAGCAAGGGTACAACAAACCCCTACAATGATGGCCCCCGAAGCCGCACTACAAACCACACAGGTTTCCAGGCTTCCATCGCCGCCACAAATCCTCAGTCCCCCCGTTTCCAGATGAATGTTATGGGTGGGCGTGCCGATAGTCCTGGGGGCAAGGATTATCTTCCCTCTACCCTGGTGGGAGAAATCAAGGTTACCACCATTGTGTCGCAAGAATCTGTGGTTTCGCCTCAAGATGAGTATTCCAGCTTGCGACGGTTGATCAACGACTAATTTTCATGGTTCTTAATGGGAGGCAAGAGCAGAGTGGGTTTCCCGTTGCTTGATTTCTTTCTCAGTATTTTATTTATCTTTTTTATCACCGTCTTTTCTCAACAACCACCCCCACTGCCGTTGTAATTTTTTTTTTTTTCTCAAAAGCCTGTTGTCAATCCTGTCCTTCATTTTCTTTTCTTTTATATATCTGGGATTTTTCCGATCTTGTTGGTAACGAACAAGAAAGGGAGCGGACAGGGTACTTACATAGAGCCCCTTTTGTGACGATAATGACCAAGAAAGACAATTTCAGATAGTTAGAATATAACATTGCTATCCGAAATATGAGGCTGCAAGAACAGACATCTTAAGATAGACAAGAACCATGCAACTCGAAGGTTTGTGCGCGAACTTCCAAACAAAAAAAATAGGTTATATTTCTTAAACCGCCAGTCCTGCTCCGACAACACAGAACCTCGGTATCGTAAGGGTAACAGCTTGTGCCTACATAATAATACATGATATGATCCCTGAGGTTTGTCTCTTCCGGTCCTCCGTCATCATGGTCGGAGGAGTAGGAGGAGGTACCGACATTAAGCCCAGTTTTATAGGAAAAGGAAGCAATGTCTAACTAACTAAATAACTACATATGTAGAGACTGTGCTGAGTATAAATACTTTGCGCTGAACACCAGGCAAAACCCCAACCTCACCTGCCATCTTACGGTATATAAGACTTGTCCTGCAGGGGCTACATGCATCCTAGCCCTATATTACATATATTATAAGGGGTTGGCTTGTTTCTTCTCGGGAATTCAGTTCTCTCTACCTACTAGGTAGTTATCAACCAGGGATGAACAGATTGGAGGGTAATTTAGATTCAAAAGGAAATAGAAGATATACACATTTTATCATATTTGATACTACTAAGTCTTTGCGGGTGGGGGCGCGTTGTAGGCAGCAAATGCGATTATTTTTCAGCATCAAAGTTCACAGGCCCTCCTCATTTACAATCATAATATCCATTCCATACCTTGTCATGACTAAAATGAGGGGGTAAATACAGCAAGGCAGAAGAAGAATAACCCTGTGAAAAGGAGAGAAAAATGTCAAGATAGAATCACAGTGCGCTCTGGCGCGGAAGTCTAAAAAGCCTAACACCACATTATGTGCAGCTGGGGAGGAAATGGAACATGAAAAGAGGAAGAAGAAAAAATATATATGGAATGAGAATGAATAAAATAGAATAGGTACGGTTTTGGGGAACTAACTACTCCCAGACATTAGAAAACAGGTCATCAGCCCCTCCAAACCCGCCCGCCGGTTTAGGTGGAACATTCGCACTATTATTGGGTGCATTGCTTGAGGTCATTGTCGTATTCGAGCTGATGGGTGCTGCGCTAGCCCAGCCGCCGAAATCTTCATCCTCTGCGACAGTGGGTGCTGGTGGCTTGGATGAAGCAGGGGCACCCCAACCAGCACCAATGTCATTGGCAGTCAAGGTGTCCGGCACTTTCATCATCGAGGATGCAGAAGGCGCGGGGGGGCCGCGGGAGCAGCAGGTTCGGGGGTGCTCCATGCATTTCCGCCCCAAGGGTCAATAGCGGCTGGGTTAATGCTGGGGACAGAAGCTGTGCTCACAGGCTTAGGCGCTGGTGGTTGGGGCACGGGGTTGCTAATGTTGAAAGCAGACTTCAGCTCCTGTTGGGGAGAAACGGTTGGCGCGGCGGCCGCATGTGGTGCGGGAGGAGAAAAGGAGCTGTTAGAGACTGGGGGAGAGGCAAACCCGAACATGTCATGAGACAGGGATGATGATGGCGGCTTGGGTTTAGGTGAAGAAGGGTATTGAAAGCCGGAGAATCCAAAGTCATTTCCATTGGACGAAATCGAGGTGGTGCGGGATTGCGGCTTTGCAGCTGGGATTGTAGGAGACGTGAGACTGTCAAATAATCCGCCGCCGCCTCCGCTGCTAATGGAGCCAATTGGAGAGGTCATTTTGGGTGCTGCAGGAGTCGACTTGCTAGAGGCGAAGCTTGTCAAATCTGCGAACGGTGAGGGTTTCGAGGCGGGTTTCGGGGCTGGGGGGGAAGTTGTAGTTGGGAAGCTTAGCCCGCTGAAGGCATCAGTCAGTCCACCCAAGTTGGAGGAGGCAGGCTGCGGTGGTGGAGAGGCCAAATCTCCAAACGACGAGGTGCGCTCATGCTGTATTGGGGCAGGCTGGGGCTTCGAGTAGAGTGAGAGAATAGACTGTTTCAAATCCGGTCTAGACATTCCAGTTGAGCCCACAGGAGTGGATGCCGTACTGGCGGGGCGATTGTTGGCCGCTGGAGGGGCACTTCCAAAGAAATCGAGTCCGAGCAATGAGTCTCCAGGTCGAGTCGGCTTCGAGGCAGCTGGTGTCTGTTTAGGAGGCGCACGGATGGAAGGTTCGGTGGTGTTGGGACGAATCGGGGGAGAAATATCGTCATCCGCGAACAAGTCAATCGATGCTTGAGGACGGTGCACCGCGGGCCGGCTAGTTGTTGTTGCCACTCGTTGGGAGGCGGAACGTTCGAGCTTTGCCTTTTCCTGAACAACCGCGAGGGGCTTGCAGGCAGAATGTTAGCCGCAAAGCGGGACATCCAAGGAATAGTTGTATTGGGGGGGAATGGACTTACCACATCGTCATCGCCGGTATCCAAGGTTGCCGGATCAGGCATTGGGCCGTCCATCACCCAGCGTTTAGATTCATATTTAGTACGGATGAAATTCTCGATCTTCCTATTTCCATTTTTGATGTCAGTGAGGACTTTGTTGATCACTCCTTGAGCTGTTAGCAATTCCACTCACCCTTCTGGTGGAACATGGCCAGGCGCCAGCTTGGCTTCCCAATATCTAATATGACTTGTCAGTCCAACAGGACATTCAAATACATGGTCCCGCGGCGGTGAACGAACTTATTGGCTCTAGCATTGCCCCATCTCACTACACTTTGAAGTTGTTCGTCGGTCCACGCATCGAGGTCCACAGATTTCACTCTGCTAATATGGGTGCCCATGCCCCTATGGATTCCCGAACAGCGAATACAAATGAATATTCCTAGATTCCAGGAAGCCCATCGCGGGTCTAGAGCAGACATTGTTACTCAACGTTCGAAGACAGACGAGAGATGAAATCAAAGAAATATATATAGAAGTTTTCCGCAGTGCAGACTCACGTTTGTTGCGCTTACAGTCGGCACATATCTTGTTTTGTTCGAGTTTCAGCAGGCTCTTGATGGTCTGCTGGTTCTGAGCAGCCTGGGATGGGGTCGCACGGCGAGACATAACCGGCTGGTGGAGGTCCGCAGTCCGTTGGAGAGACTGGAGGGAAACAGTAAAGAAGTGAAGAGGGGGGAAAGGGAAAGGCAAGTAGAGGAAGAGTGTAGGAAGTGAAAGTTGAACGGGGGAATTGGATATTAGTTACCACTAGGTGGCGGATCGGATGCGGTGTCAGGTGTCGGCTGTCGGCCTCAGGCAGAAGCACCCCGACAGATGCCCGATACGGCGACTATCACGTGCGAGGATATTGTTCGGCCTCTTTGAATCAACAGAACGATTCCAGGACTTTGATCATGAAACCAAAGCCAGAATCAGGGATGGAATTAAGGGACCACTCTCACGATGTGATTTCATATCGAAAACTGACTGCTATGTTATATCAGACCGGATGCAGGCAGCTTAGTATCAACGGCCGGAGATGCTCTATAGTTCCAAATCCCACCTACTACCTTGGCAATCCAACGAATTGTATCATCGTAGTCCTTGTCGGTTACTGTGTCCACCCGATAGCAGCCAAATCAGCTACCGAACTTGATTTAAAATAAAAAAAAAAAACAACACACACGTTACCAGGTGATTGCTGGAGAAATCGAAGCAAAAAAGAATGACAAACTATTGATGCGTTGTCGGGGAGTCGAACCCCGGTCCCTACCTTGGAAGGGTAGGATGATAACCGTTACACTAACAACGCGTGTTCTTGTTGAGAGTAGATAAAGTTTTGAATATATGATAAAGAATAAACAATGCAGACCGATATGAGGAGGTCTAAAACCAGCATGTGGTGATCGCATTTACAGATAAATCGGGCTTTCCTGAGCTAGTGGGCTAATTCTTTCCCAAAGTTGATAGTCGCGCCAGGAAACTCAACTTGCCCGTATACTCAAGGACGATCCCTTATTTGTACTTCCTATCTTCGCGGCGGTTACAAGAGGGATCTTCTCCTTGCAAGCTTTATGAGCTCGACGCCATACGGGATTCTCTTTCCTTTCGCTACTTCTCCCGCTCGGGGATCTGTGGCACTGACATCAGCAGTAGGGGCGTAAGAATAAGATACCCATTCGGCCATATATATTGAAGCGATGCGATAGATATCCAAAAGACCCCGTTATGCCTTCGCCTTCGCACCCTCAACCTCATCCCTGAATGTCAAACTGATACTATTCACGCAATGTCGCTCGTCCGTGGGGGTGGGAAACCCCTCTCCTTTGAAGACATGGCCCAAGTGCCCTCCACAATTCTTGCACGTAATTTCCGTCCTCTCCATCCCTAACGAGTTGTCCACGTGTCTCTGGACAGCCCCGGGAATTGAGTCGAAATAGGCAGGCCATCCACACCCAGACTTGAATTTATGTGTCGCCTTGTATAGGGGCGCATTGCACCCAGCGCAGCAATAAACCCCTTCCTTGGGGTAGTGGGAGTCGTACTCGCCTGTCCCGGGTCTCTCTGTACCCTTTTGACGGAGGATGCGGAATTGCTCTGGAATTTTCGAGCGATCAATCAGTACTTCTTCATACCAGGGTAGGTGGTGTTGGTTCGAGTGCAGGTAGGTAGATAGGTACCAGGACTGAGCACTGCGCGCCACTCTTCCTCGCTCCGGTTATCTGTGGGCGGCGCCATATTTTCGGTCGGGGGTTCGGCGTTGGCGCTGGAGCTGAAAAGGGAGCTTAGGAACGGGATAGTAGGGGCAGCTTTGAGTACCGTTTTTGCACTTGGTACGGGAGCTGGGAGTCGGGTGGGTAGGCAAGCGGGGGGGATACGAATGAGGGGTGAGCCGAAGGCGCGGAGGGCTGTGCTGGGAAGGCGCATCTGGTGGTTTTGCTTTGTTGATTTCTTCTTTCCTCGCTGATAATATGTTTTAAATAGTTATGCTTTTAATCTGTGTTTATTAAACTTATATATGAAAATGGTTGTTTGGGGTGGGTTAAGTCGCTGAGTACAGGGTAAATCTAGGTAACTAACAAATTACTAGTTAGCTTGGTTATCTCTTCCTTTATGTCATCAATCAGGGTTTAGGGATGGATATACACGTGGAATATCGCTAGCGCTGGGATATTTGGAGATACGGTCGGTATATCATGTTCATGATATGCCAATGGGAATATAGTGGATTTCATTGCTTGCATTAGGGTGGTAGATTACTCGTCCACATGGTTGATACATGCTTCGCTCCGATGAGTTGTGAGCAGATATATATACTTCGAGAGACCTGGACCAAATAGCTAGAACGAACAGCCTAAAACAACAGATCAAAGGAAGATTAGATTATCCCCCAAGTACACCAGCAGAGACCCCAATAGCAGAATTATGAATAGGAGTAATCAGGTGAACATAACATGGTCTGGATACCAGGCGCCAAGTGGTGGATATAAAGGTGGCTCAAGGATTAATTTCGAATAGATTATGGAATGAAAAGGAGGTAACTTAAAATTCTTGACGGTGAGGACAAGAATAGCATATATACAGTCAAGTATCCAATATATGATAGTCCAGCCATGTGGATAATTCCTGGATGGATATACTCCCTAAGTTATAACTTCAAGGGGGGATATAGGATGTTTGGTCTAGAACCATGTTGCAGAACCTGGATCAAACGAGACGTTGGATCTTCAGGTTTAGTTATCGAGGCTATTATTAGATTACGCCATTCGTTATTCTACTCCTATTATTATACTACCTACTAATTATTATTATTTCCGTGTCGAATTGGCTTCTTTTCTTGCCCCCTTCTTTCTGTTCCTTTCTCGTTTATACGGAGCTACCTTCCTTTGGTAGGGGCAGCCATTCCTCTCTCTTGAAATCGATACTCTGAATGAACTCCAACATCTACAGCAGGGGACAATAATAACCGTCAAGCTTAATCCAGGTTGATTTATTAGGAATTTTTTAAAATTTTTTTACCCCTCAGAATTAGAAATACCTCCTCCAGGTTTGTAGTTCCCGTGACCAGCCGATCGGTCGGAATATCTCTCTCCATTTTGCTCCGTCTGCTGGCCCTGAGTTGGACTAATTGTTAACCTGCTGCAGGTATCATTTCAATCACTGCTACTCTCCATCCACCACCACCTTTTCATCCTTCACTATCGTCGGTCTTTTTCTTTGATCTCTCCTACTCCTTTCCTTCCTTCTCTCGCAATTCTTCGGGTTTTTTTTTCCACCCCTCCCCCCACCCCTCTCCCTCACCAACCCTCCCAAACACCGCCAAAGTGTCGTCTCTATTAATGCCCCGTGCCATCTCCTTCCCGCCGGAGGTTGACACTGGGCCGCACCGGCTGGCACCGGACTCCAACATGTTGCAGAGCAAGGCTGGTAGGAGGAGAAGATCGAGCAGCATTATTTACCAGGAGCCTGCCGAGTCCATTGAGCACACCAGCGACCAGGCTGCCCTCCCGAACCTGAATGCGAACTGGGTTAATGCCAAGGGTGAGTGAATTGCGTGGGCCACTGATACGCTGCTATTGGGTCTTTTCTGTCCCGATCTTCATCGGTCTATAATATCTATAACCCCCTAGCTCATTGCGAAGGGCACCCCGAAGAGTACCGAATCCACTGACCGAGATTTCTGCGTGCAGGTGCCTGGACCATCCATTTCGTTTTGATCATTGCCCTGAAGATTTTCTACGACATCATTCCCGGCGTTTCGCAGGAGACCTCATGGACTCTCACAAATATTAGCTACATGTTTGGATCTTTTATCATGTTTCACTGGGTGCGGGGTATTCCGTTCGAGTTCAACGCCGGTGCTTACGATAACCTGAACATGTGGGAGCAAATTGACAACGGCGATCAATACACACCGACGAAGAAATTCCTGCTCTGCGTGCCCATCTGCCTCTTCCTCCTCAGCACTCACTATACCCACTACGATCTGACATACTTCACCATCAATTTCCTTGCCACCCTGGGAGTGGTCATTCCCAAACTTCCCTTTGTATGTCTCCTCCGCCACCCCACGTCTGACGGGGGTTTATTTATTTATATGAGTTGGCTAACCTGGGTGACAGTCACACCGATTGCGAATAGGACTCTTTTCTGACATCCCGGAAGAGTAGTTCACCCGGCTCTTCTTTCTCTTTCCTTTTTTCTCCGATGCATCTCATGCTTGCCATATTTCCCTTTCAGTATCATTCACCTCTTGTGTTTATTCCCTCCTTTTTTATTATCTATTTACCTTTCCCGATCATTTTAATACCTGCAATATGCTTCCAGGAGAAAACCCGTTGGCGATGTTGGGCGGAGGTTTATTATTATATTATACAGCTCGATGGGAAACCTAGGTATATTTCTATGCGAGGGGGGCAATATGACCCGGACGGGCATATTATTACCCCCCCCCCCCCGAGAAGAAAGAAACCAAGAAACCAAGCCAAAAAATTTCTGAAGAAAAAGAGGATAAAGGAGTTGGGCGAGGGGTTCCAAAATGGCGAAATAGATGAAAATGAAAGGGCTGGCAATTGCCAGCCCTTTTGTTATCACTCATTCCTACTAGTTAGATATCCATATATCCTTTTTTTTTTTCCCTTTCCTTTTTTTCTTTCAGGATGCTTGCTACTATTAATTAACCCTTTTTTCTCCTTCTCTCTTCTCACAGTTACTAGTCTTTGGCTGCAGTTATTATTTTGTTTGTGGGTACCTGTTACATGGCTCTCCATTAGCCAGCATCCTCTTCAAAGGCTCTACTCCGTACCTAGGTAGTGGACCCTGAACATGTACTCTCCTCCTCAATCTTACTACTGATCTGACCTGCTTGAATGTGGTGGTGGCTTAGTTCTGTGATGAAAAAGCAAAGGTGAGACAAAGGACAGCTCACATTGAATGTGGGTTTGCCAAAAAGTCGAGTGGGAAAACAAAGGAGCAAATGAAAGAATAAAATCAATGAAATATGTGGCTATACTTTTTCAAGTAGAGATAGATAACTACAGAGTAGTAGCAGCAGTGTGCGCCCAAAAAAAAAAGATGCAAAAAAAAGAAAGAATGATATCAAGTCAAACGCCAACTGGCGCTGCTGGGAATCGAACCCAGGTCAATTCGGCCACAACGAATTATGATCACCACTACACTACAGCACCTTGATATGTGATAGGGCAGGCGAAATAGCGCTACAAAACCCTTTAATTTCCAAACCCCCCCAACGAAATCGCGCTCGCGTCTTTTCGCGATAGCTCCATTGGAACAGCATCCCGCGGTCTATAGCTTCGTCATCTATGGGAAGACGAACGCAATCCTTCTCTCCCCCCGATGGATCCTTCTCAACCGGAGGCCCTTTTCCCTCTTTATCACCCCGCCAAACCCCTCCCCTTTGAACTAGTCCAACACACAGCGATCTTCTTTGAAGAACGGCTCTGTTCGTGCTCCTCTACGCTCATGGCCGAGCCAGCTAGCTGACTACGTTATAGATACGCAGGCCCTCACTCTCCTCTTGAACATTCTGACATCTCATCCCTGCGCCTCGTCCCCGATTTTCGTTCCCTCTCCGCAGCACCTCGCCCTCGCTGCTACATTCCTTGTCCACCCCTCCACTACTGATCGGGCCAAGACAACCGAGGAGGAAGAAGCCCCGAATGTATCCCTTCGTCTTCTCCGGCTTGTGAATAGCCTTGTCGGGCCCATTGCCGCCCAATGCAGCACTGCGTTCTCTTTCACACATTTTGAGTCCTCGCGTCAGGGCAGACGTCGCCATGCAGATGATTCTCGCGCCGCCTTGACGAACCAGACCACTCACAGGGAAAAGAAACCATTGAACCTGGATCGCGATATTGCTCTAGATCTATCTCACTCGAACTCCGTTTGGTCGCGCGCAGAGGATTTCTGGCATGCAGTTGGTTGGGCCTTCAATTGCTCGGTCCTGCACCCGGCTCGGTGGGAGCGCTGGCGCATTTGGCTGGAGTTCATGTGCGAGATCCTCGAAGACGACTGGGGCGAGCGCTGTCGACAGAAGGCGAAAGACCCCGCACACGACAATAAAATTGTACAGGACAGCATAATTGCCCACTACATCCATGGCCACAGTGGGAGCTTCGGCCGTAACCGGCGCATCCTGCGCGCTGTCTTCGCCGATGGCTCATCCGCAGCCGTCAACGAGTTCCGCGAGGTATTCCACCACGAGGTGAAGCACTCGCGGAAGAAACACGGCGAGGGAACCAGCAGTATCAAAAAAAGACAAGTCGAGGTCAACATCGACAGCGAACAATACGGCGACTATCTAACCGACGGCCGAGATGATGATCCCGATGACGACCACGACACTCCCACCGCCGCATCCCACAACAACAACAACAACCACCACCACGAGCTTGAGCGCGAACGCGAAACAAAACGTCCTCGCAGAGTCACCAGATCCAGAAAGCCCGCCAACACGTCCGCGCCCACCGCCACGGAACAAACCGTGCATATGACCACGGCCTCTCTCCTCGGCGACATGGCCTCGCTCGCCCTGCGCAAACGCCTCCTCCACCTCCTCTCGCTCGTCTCCCAATCCCTCCCGAAACACTTCATGGCCCTCCAGGACCTCTACCACCTCTTTGTCGAAAACATCCGCCCCCTCCCGCTCCCCATCTTCCAGTCCTTCGTCAACCCGCTCACCCTCCCCTGTTTCTCCCCGTCCGCGCAAACCTCCCTCTGTGAATTCCTCCTCTTCCGCATTCGCGAAACGGCCGCCCCCGACACAGACGACGACTACCTCACGCAATCGAAGCTCGAGATCTGCTTCCTCCCCTACGCGGCCGCAACAGCCAGCATCGTCGACAACGCCAAGATGTCCATTGCGCTAGAGGCCCTGCTCATGCTCCTCGCCGAGACGCGGATGCTTCATGTCACGCCGGGGTTTCAAGAAGCCCTGGAGTGTGGTATTGAGCGGCGCGCCGAGCGAGTCCAGGTCGAGAAACGCAAGAATCAGATCGCTAGGATGGCCGAGGGCTTGGAGTTCGCGTGGTTGATTGAAAGTGGGGAGAGGTTGAGGTTTCTGGTTGACGAGGTGATTCCGTTTCATACTGGGGGAAATGGGGGTTCTTGAATTTTCCTCCTTTTTTTTTTTTTTTTTAGCCCCCTTTTGGGGTTGATATTTGTGAGAGATTGTCATGTTTCATGTTTCATTGTTTCTATAGATACCCTTTCTTGTATTTGGAATTATACTTGTTCTTGTTAGTTAGATTCCCAGCTGCATATAAGGGATAATAAGATAGAACTAAGATAGATAGTACATCCATACTAACATTTACAGGGGGGAGCACATCTAAGGGGGAAAAAGGTATATAAATCACAGCTTAGAATTCCATCAATGTTATCCTGACATAACACCATATTTGGATAAATTGAGTAACAGCGGGTATATGAAGGGGGAAAAAAACCAGTTAAGATATACAGTCAATAGAGATCCCCCCTCCTTTATGGAGGAGGTCGAGGGCCGATAATCTGCCGCCTCGCCCCCCCAACACCCAACCCAGGACCCCCTCTGTTTTGGCTATCGCCGCCCATATAGCCGTACTGATGGACGTCCCAGGCGCCTCCGGGTCCAGCCGCCATGGAAGGATCTTTGGCACCTCTTGCGATAGCCTCCTGGGTCTGCTTTTGGCTCTCTTCCCACTCCCGCTGTCGCTCGCGTTCGCGCTCCATCTCTCGCTCCAGGAGGGATTTGGATGCCCACCCGCCAGCCCGGGTTTTCTGTTGTGATGCAATGCGGCGATCGTTTTCGGCATCGATTTCGGCGGTAGAGGTGAAGTCCTGCGGATGGTGGTAGGCAGGCTTGGGAGCCACAGGTGCGGGGTTCGATGATAAAAAGCGGTCGACCCGGTTCTCTGGTTTGGGTGGGTGAATGGCTGCAGGGTCGGGGAGGGGTCGCGGGGCAATAGGTGGGGGGGCCTCTATTTCAGCGTCATCCTGGTGTTTTTGCCATTCCCCACGGAGCAGACGGCGTTCCTGCTCGAGAGATGACAGGTCGTAACTCGGCTTTGGGGGAACTGGAACCGGGCGGTTGGCTGGAGGAGGTTCGTCGGCCTTGTTTCCTTTCTCCTTCAAGGTTTGACGTTCGCGCTCGTATTCGCGCTCTCTTTCCTTGGCCTGTTGCAATTCCCGCTCCAGCTCCTTAATACGCCGGCTCTCTTGCGATTCGGTGGGTGGTGTCCGGGTAGTTGGAGCTTGTGTGGCTTGGTACTGACTGAGGAATTGGCCATTCAAACGAACGTCGTTAGCTTCTCGTCGGCGCAGCCTCTCCTTGTCGAGTCGGTCTTCCGCTTCCTTTTCCTCTCGCACCCGTTGCTGCTCTTCTTGCTCCCACCTCCGCTTTTCTTCATCCCATCGTCTGCGCTCCTCCTCGGCCTGGATGCGCTCTTTTTCCCTTGCACGGGCCGTCTCTTCTGCCCATTGACGCTCTTCCTCTTCTCGAGCCCGTTGTTCCTCCACCGCACGCTCTAGCTGAAGTGCGTGTTCTGCCTCCTCTTGTTCACGACGTCTCTCCTCTTCTTCGCGTCTACGCTTCTCCTTCTCCGCCAGGCTAGGGACGTGTGGGCCAGCGGTAGTGATCTGTCTACGGGCACCAAATGCGACCCCTTGGTTTCCCTGACTAGCACCGCCCATATATCCATATTGGTGGATGTTCCAGGCGGGTTGTGTCACATGCTCGTCCGTTCTCTTACTCCAACTACTTACAGCGGGAGGAGACCTTGCGGGGCTCGAACGGCCTGATCCACCGGAGTTGGTCTCGCTGACATTACCGAGTCCCCGGGGTTTGGTAGGCGTGTACGGGCCTTGGCTGGAACCCGTAACCGACGGACTCAAAGTTGCTCCCCTGTTCTGAACTCCAATCGCGCGCGGGAATCGGCTGGGTTGGAGGGTATTTGCTCGTCGGCTGAAAGCAGATATGCACTGCAGCACTTGAGCAGGGTCCTTGGCCTCGTAAAGATCGACAGTTAGGAAGACATCGTGCGGCGGGAGGCTGAGAGGGTGCATTTGACAGGCGCGGAGGAAGTGGGAGATGTTCTCCATTTGTACAAAAGGCATCGATGATTCCTTGAACTTGACTCCGGGGGAAACCGCAAGATTGACGAGCCTAGGATAGACATTCATCTTAGTACCCGAGGGACCATCATCATATTGCTTTCACCGTAATCCTCAATTACGACTAAGATAATTTGATCCCGAAACTTACCTGCAAAGCGCGACTCCATTTTTTAGAGCATCTAAGAGGTCGCCAGCTGGTAGGCTTTCGCCAAGTACTTCTTCGATCCAGGAACGGACTTCAGCAGCAGCCTGCGGGGTATAGCGGGACAGGCGCAGATTGCGCAAATCCTTGTCCAAGGATGTGACGGATGCCATTCTCAAAAATGAATTGTATCAATCAATCAGTGGAATGACAGGGACATATGGATAGGATTGAGAAGTAACAAATGACTCTGGGTAAGCCAAAGAGCAGACGGAGGATTATGGTGACGTAACAGGCAGGGGATTTGCGATTCAAAGGGCAGAGAGTGCTGGTATCAATAAACAAATGAGAGGGGTATATACGACAAGAAGGAAAGGTTTAAGCAGGAGATTGAGCAGCAAGATACTCGAAATGATGAAATAATGTGATATATGTCAACATGAAGAGTAGCAAAGGGGAACAAAAAGAGAAGGAGAAGAGAGAAGAGAGAGAGAGAGAGGGAGAGAAAAGAGATGAGATTAGGCGGAATGTTCGTTGGGCTGTTATTTACCGTACGGTTCCTGTATGTATGGTATGTATGGTATGTAAGGTATGGTATGTAAGCCGATGACGTACCTCAGTAATCCAGAAGAACCTCGGGCTGCGTAATTTGAACCTTCACCACTCCAGTCACCAGTCCCCAACTGCCCACAAATTGGCTGCCTAATGCTCGATTTCCCTCTTTCTGTTAAGAATCCGTGGTCCACTGCTTCAGGGCACAAATGAGTCCAGTCAATAGCCTGTGGTTCAAGTGGAAAAGCCTTCGTTTGCCGTGGCGAAGATTCTTCCTCGTCGGTACGTTTGGGATTCGCTGACTTGCCCCCTTTCCCTGAGATACGACTAATAGTGTTTTGATAGGCTCTGATCTCGAAGGGAACACATTTTGGGAGTTTAAGGATACATTAAATGCTAAGCGATTCCGTCGTATTGTCAAATACAGCCCGAAAACTCACTATGCGGATGTCCAAGTGAGCCGTGAGTTGTTGCCCTGCTCTCGCCCGTTAACTCGCTCATACCAAGGGCTAATTTCAAAATCCCCCCCCCCCCCCCCCCCTTTCGCAGCTCAATGGCATCAATGGCTTCGACACGTTCGGGTCGAACCTCCCTCAATTGAGGAACAGCAGCAGGATATTGCGCGACGGATTCAGCTTAATCATCTGGCTCAACTAGCCAACAAACGTTGGGAGAGTGTGCCTTCTCTCATGGATAAACCTGCGACTAAGCCACAGAACCCTCCTACCCAACCAGGAGATACTACGGTTGGCAACGCCTCTAATGCAAAGGATATCCCCGAAACGCAAAACAGCGCTCCGGGGAAACAACCAAGTGCGAAAGAAGATCCATTTTTCAGGCCAAAGGGCGCACCGAGTGAAAACTGGCAACCGGAGCCGTGGACGCCTTCCACCTCCCAAAGACAAAGTGGGTAGGCACTTCCCAGCTCGGGAATTGTATCCTCTGGGAGTGTCCGCTGCATTGGACATGGATGGCTTGAGATGTCATTATCCTGGTCTTCGAGAGCGCTCTTGTCACCCCCCCCCCCCATACGTTGCATTTCAGATCAATTCCTGGGATTTGGCTTGACGATTAGCTTTTTCGAGTGATAGAGAAACCCCGGTGCTTGGTTATCCCGGCGATTTTCATACTAACTGTATGAGGTTCCCAGAAAGCTGCCAATTCCTAATTATTTACAGAGAAAATGGGTCTTCTCATTTCGTTCTTAGTCTGTATATTACACTATATCCAAACGATGATGAAACAGAGCTTCGGCGTGTATATTATATTATTATTTAGGAAATTCCTGTGACTTAATAGCTCTTGAATGAATTATGATAGTGTATTAAAAAGTAAGTGTGTAGCTAATGATGATAGATCTAAAGCTTTTGTATCCGAATGCCCTAGCTTTATTCCCTAAACATAAGATCCAGTGCGCCAAAACGACCGTTGCCAGATATAACGATGTCAAGAAACAACCGCAACAAAAAAAAAGGTCAAGAAAAAAAAAAGACAACCAACAAGCAAAGGTATCAGTAAAACAACAAAGACAAGATTAAAATATTATGGAGGTGATACAGAAATAATGCTTTTGTTTAGCAGAAAACAGCCTCTAGGGCTTCAACGTCTCCGCCAGCTTTTCGTACTGCATTCAGCGCAGCCTCACTGAGCTTGCGCCGTCGATCGCGTGCCTCTTGTTCCCTCCTTGCCTTCGTCTTGGAGCTGCCACTTGGAGCGACTCCTGTCAGAATCTTGTGGCTATCATTTGGAGTGAAGTTTACGAAGGACACAGTCACGGATTTATTGGCGCCCTTAGGACTTCCATTCGGCCCTTTGAGGGGTTTAGGGGCTCCCATAGAATGGCCCGATAGCTTTCGACCGTGGGTACGGCGTTGAGAAGTTTTCATGATCATTCCGTTACGCATAATTGTCCCATCCTTGGGTGAGACATCTGCATGTGGAGACAAAGACGGTGATCGCGACTGGTTATGAAGATTCGGTGTCGTGAAGGCGGGGGTGTCGGCATATTTTTGTGGCATAGGAGTTCCGTGACTATAGGTACGAGTATCCTGGGTGTTGGTGGTGGAGGGTATCGTGGAGGCTGGGAAAGGTGGCCGTGTGGCGGAGGGCATTTCAAATGGATCCAGTTGAATCATGAGACCCCCTTGCAAAAGATCACTTTGATTTGTAGAGGCTTGAAGCGGCCGTTGTGGAACAGGGGATGCAATCATTTGCTGGTATGAAGCTTGAGGCGGTGCAACCCGCGAGGACATGGGAGACCACCAGGCTTGAGCATCATGGCCTTGAAGGTCGGGAGTGAACTGAAACGCAGGCGTGCCCAGAGAATCTGAGTTCCAAGAAGACATAGATTGAGGATCAGATGAATGCGGAGAGGAGAAGAGATCGTCAGCTGAAGGAGGGCTTGGGGTCAAACCAGAGTTGTTCGACTGGTTAAGATACCTCTGCTGCTGCTTGGCCAGGGCATGGGCAGAGGGAGAAGGCATAGTAATGGCAGGTGAATGGTTGAAAACGCTCGAGTCGTATTGATGGGGCATCTCTGCTGAATCTCTGGCGAAGCCCTCCGCGGAGGGGTTCATTTGCGCAGGTGTGCTTTTGGTCGGGATATTCTCGTGTTGAATAAGGATGTCGGATGGGGGAGGGGACAATGGTAGGCATTCATCTGAGCTCCGAATGCTAAAATTCTGGAATCCTTGAGTCCAGGCCTCGGGATACGCCATCCTACCAGAGCCTTTTTGCAGGTGGGAAGTGCGCATCAAGCTGGGAGAGAAGCTTTGCTTGCGTAGCAATCCGCGTCGGTCATTAGGCTCTCGGTGACGTTTGATAGACTTTGGGGTGATTAAACCGCTTTTGATTTTGCGACGGGGTGTTGCTGGAGGAGTTGAAGGCGATGAACGGGTGGAAGCAGGCTGCTGGTGGCTTGCAGAGGGAAATTCTTGGCCTGCGTTTAAGTCCGAGACAGTCGACAACTGGATGCTATCCTGGAAATTAAAGTCACTCTGATCTGCAGCGTAGTCCGTGTTATGTGACAGACACCAAGGATCTTTACCCCAGGGTTGGGCTGACTGATGGGTGTGCTGCGTGGTGGAGACAGTCGGAGATTGGTCACCACATTCACTTGAGAATGAGTCAAGTGGGAACATTTGGTCGAATTCACTGGGGAATGAAACATCTTTGTTGCCGTCGACACTCAACGTATCCATATTGACGTACTGGTTGAACAAGTCATTGAACGAATGATCGAATGGTTGGGCGAACATATTGGCGGAGATCGCCTTCCGTTTGCGGCGATGCGGAAGAAGCTGTCAAAGACTTGACCCAGCGAACTGCCAGGCGGACCAGATATGATTGGCGAAGAGGCTGCGGGAGTAGAGTCTGGCTTAAAGGGAGCTTCGAAAAGTTTGGTTAGCTAGCCGGCGATCCGTGATGGATACAGAGTTGTCGAAGGCGAGGTGGAATGTATAGTGTATGAACTGTTTGACTGATTGACAATCAAAGAAAACACTGCAGAGTATGCAAATTAGACAAAGCAAACAAACAACAGAAGGATGGCCCTATTTGAATTGTCACGGTGGTCACCAGCCTCTGGATTCTGTGCACATTCCATTTATTCTAAAGATGGGAGAGGAATGTGCACTAATGGTCTTGTAGGGGTCGTTATGGCCCACCTCATGCCAATCAATTCAAAGAAAATGAATGATGGGTTTTCAAGATAGCTCGACTGCCAATCAGGGTGTCTAAAAAAGGAAAAGAAAAAAAGAGGTGGCTGAGAGAGGCCCTCGAATCTCACCCACACCCTATTGAGAAGTGGGCTCGGGTCACCAATGGCCACCCGCCGGAATGCAACAGTCACTATACCAGAAGCAGGGTAAACCGGCATGAGCAGGATGAGCATAGGCGGGTCTTTAGAGGAACCACCGAGGGGGTGAAGAGGATAATTCTGAATAATCGGGAATATTGGTCGAGTGATAGACGATACAATGGAGATTCGGCTTCGGCGGCACGATGCTGTCTATGTTATCCTTGGAAAGCTTTCATGATGGCAAATTAGTGTCACAGTGTAAGCGTCATGGTGGTGTATCATCCCCACGAGTTAGTCAAAAAGAGGACAGTAGCATTCTGTGTCCACAATGATCGACATTATCCTTATTTCCTCGAATCTCTTGCCTAGTGCTTCTCAGATTGGTGGAGCTAAGGCTCTCCGGATACCCAATGTAATCTCTTCGATAAGGTTGTAGAATGCATCCTGGCATGTTGGGGCTGGGAGGAATGTAAGCCACCAGCAACAATGAACGGAACAGATGTTTGGTATTTTCGGCAGACAAAGAGACGTGTAATGGGAAGATACTAGCCTGAGGGACTTTTAGGATCTGCCCTGGAAGAACTGTATTCCCCAGATTAAACATCTATTATTATCCACCAAGACACGCAATTACTCAGAGATGAATGAGCCCCTGATGTTTGCATTTAGTGTCCTCTAGACTGAATTTTTCATCAAGATCTGGAGAACTGTGCTCTAACTTGAGAAATCAATCAGGCTGTGAGATGAACTTGCACGAGACTGAACTCGAGTGTGGCTTGATAGTTTCTTTGTCCCCTATTTTAGAGTATGTATGTTAGTACCACTTATTAGTTCTTGTAACCCTGCGAGCATGAATTCTAGGAAAAGATATGTTAAATTAATTATTGTTCTCCATTCACAGTAGCTTTTGCCCGTTCATGACCAAGAAGGGGTCATCTATAGGCTATATGGTATGGAATCATGAGTTTCGTTTGTTTGGTGCCATAAATAGGAGCAATCAACTTTAGGTTTTCTAGATTGCTCTCCATCATTATTCTTTCAAGATAAACAGGGAATTTTCCGAGCAAAGGATCATTGTCCTGTGATGAGACTAAACCACTTGTTCCGAAACCGACATGTTCTATGGGAGGAATGTGAGACTTCTGATCAAGAGAATGTTTGAATATTCTAGAGCCACAAGATGGAATCTTGTAGCTCTTGCACAAGTGAAGAACAGCAGCAGACCAAAAATACTGCGGCTGGGAAATCTTTTGATTCGAGCTATCTTTATCGGGGGAAATCTTTTCGAAGCATGAGGCATTTGTCGAACATCACGATGGATGACCATAGTGAAACAAGTATGCTTTAGTCTGATCAGCGTAGGGAGTGAACTGGATGTTGAGAGCCATTCTTTGACTCTTTGTTAGTTTCACTGGGGTTAGTATAGATAATCGAACCTGAGTCTTTTAAATAGTCAGAGCCAATACCGTAGGACGAATTGCTGGTAAAGGGGTCAAATGTGCCAGCAGTTGGTAGTACAGCCTTACGTCACGGGGTAGGTTGCAATCGCGCGCTAATATATGCTTGCTTTGATTCGTCAAGGAAGCGACTGAACACGTGATATAAAACTATACCCTTTTCGGAAGATCAAACTCGGCGTCCGCCTGACGAGAGGCGACAATCGGGATCAGTGGCCCGGTGATAGGGAAACCTCACTGCCTCCTTCGGAGTCACCAGCGGCAACTCTGTCTTCTTTTTCCCCCTTCAGCACACTCTTTCGTGCTTCCTCTCTTCCAATCCATCACTGTTCTTTAACGAACTGCTTTTGATCACTTATTTATCACTCTCTAACTCGAGTGATACCCGCCTTTTCCCGCCTGCGACCCCTCCCCGCCGCGTCTTACCTCGGACATCCCACGAAAAGTGGGCATGACTCTATAAACCAGCATCTCCCTCCTAACGCCTCCAACACAATTTCATCATTTGCGCGGGCCATTTACGTTGAGTCCCGAGCCCCTCATTTTGCCAGCAAGTAGAGGTTGGCTTTGTTTGAGACACAAAACGCGTCGTATATTCGACCAACACTGAACACAGCTTCTCCCCACTCCCCTTCAACTTCCCCCGCCTCCAGTCTATATGTATTGCGCCAAAGATTCCATCTTAAACGACCGTGATTTTAACCAGAGCTCCAATACTTTATCCTACTTGTGGAACGAGATTCAAGGCTGCGACCGTTGCATGACCTACAATTTGACAAATTCCCAAATCTTGAAGCGCGACTACAAAATGTTTTCCCAATATCTTAAGGTCGAGGCAAGTCCTATTTGCTCTCATTAAGTGGGATCTCTCACATCCGTTCCCCATCATGGACTCCTACCATCTGATTGGGAGGCCTTCGAAGCCATACACTTTCATCATCTAAGAACACATCTATCATCATCCTTTTGGAATTAGCCACCTATCACATTTTCGGCCGGCTCGAGTGGGATACTTGCTCTCGATACTTTCAGTGACTCGTGCCCTGGCCTTCTACACTACTTTACTATTACCTATCCGGCTTTGCCCATTACAAGGGTCTACAACTGAGCAAAATGGGTGCTCAAAATATGAGCAGAAAGTCCTGGGAGTCTCTTTCTTCAACCTTCTCCAACCTTGAAATTTCAATCTCCCGGGACAGCTGCTATGCCTCGGATGAAGTTTCCGTTACTTCCACCACGCCTGTTATTACCAACGCACCTACAGTGCCACCGCTAGCACCTTCTGGGGAGACATCTATCCGTCCTTTATTGAAGCCTATCTTGAAGAGACCATACTCTGAAATTGAAGAAGACGAACAATCGGAGTCTGGCTATGCATCTAATGCATCTGAATACGAGTACGATGACATTTTTGAAGAAACCGACGGCGACATGTGTGACATCCCTGACTGGGATGACAACGAGATCATGTCCGAATATTATGAAGACGACATCGAGTCCCTTGACGGATCATTCATTTCATTTGAATCTGCGGTGCGCTTTGATTCTCATGTACACTATATCGAAGCTCCAGAACCTCAAGAGGAGGAAAGTGCCGAGACTGGAATGACCTGCCATGAGATGATGGCAATTGCACAAGCGTCTGCCAATGGAAACAACTCTCAGGAGGAAACATACACTGATACCGACGATTCCAATTGCGAAGCTATTTCCGAATCCATCGAGCAACTTCCTGAGCACACTAGCGATATTCTTGATCTGGATAAGAGGCTCTTTGTTGCTTATATGAACGGTATTAATGGGATCACTAATCCCGACTACCGAGCGCGCCTTCGTGCGCGGGTCTCTGATTTCAGGTCTGGCCGCGTCTCGTCACCCTTTTTAGATTTGGATAGCGCAAACGGAGTGTACCTGGACCATGTCCTGAGCCACGTCATCGGAACTTTCCGCAGCATCGTCGTCAAGGCAGAGTTTGACGAATTACTTGGCCTGGGAACAGAAGCTACCAGCAGTCTCGATCAGAATAAGTTTGACAAGATTGAGCACCTGCTCTTCGAACGATTGGCGGTTGACGATGTTAGCGTTGGCCCCGACGAATTGAGCTTCTTCGCCAGTGGAGTTGCGTACGCTCTTGAAAACTGGCAGTGCTATGCGCCTAACTAAAAAACATCTAGATCGAGATGGAGAGCTTAAAAAACAAAGAAGGATCCTGGCTAGGACCTGAGTATTTCGATGACACTTTAACATGTTACGAACAGCCACGAGAAGGAAAACGAATACAAGCGGGATTTAAAATTTCATTTCTGTACTTAGCGATCAAAAACCAAAAAGTCTTGATCTATTAATTTTTTTTTCCCGCTTCCGCTGTAAATATTTCTGGACACAGATTTGCCGTGTAAGATAGACAGACAGCAGCCAGACCTTAGGTATTCACTCAGGTATTCACTCAGGTATTCACCTCCCAGCAACCCAATCACATGTTGGACTGGCAACCAGTCAGTTTACTCAATTCTCCCGAAGTCTTGAGAGTCTATAGATATGTAGATAGTTAGAGAGCGGGAGCGGGAGCAAAAGGAGGGGGGAAGATGCCGAATTCAGCACTCGGGTTCCGATGAAACGGGGCCCTTCCTCCTTCCCCCCTGACATTAATTTTGATACGAGGCGGGTTTTCATCCCCGGATTGCTATTCTTATTAGACGAGGGGTAAGATGAGACTGGTGCATCTCGTTTCTACTAAAATATTCGGTGGAGAAATGCTCAGTTTTAGCAATTCAGGTTTACTCTGTGGTAACTGGCTATATTTACACTTCAAATTCATGGTTCTCTCGGTTCTCAACTACGGAGCGAGAAGGGCATTTCAAATGTATTATTTTCTTTGCTAGCTGGCTCGGAGTACTCCGTAATCATGAACACATTGAACACTGGATTGAACCCCACGTACCCTCAATCCCGGTTGTTTTTGCCTTAATTTACTTTAGGTATGTGTATATACTATAACTCCATAGTATACAAGTAGTCTATCGAAAGACTTCAATGGTCTAAAGTATATCCATCTCGAGATCCAATCATTACCCCCCGATCTCGGTTCTCCCGATTAACTCGGAGATTTTTTTTTTTTTTTTCCAACTGGAAATTAGAAATGGAGACATGATCGAAATCACTTGAACCGTGGTTGTTGCATCTAGTCTTTCCCGGGTTTTCCTTCCCTTCTTCCCCCTTCCCCTTTCCATTTTCTTTCCTCGGTTGGAACCGAATGAGTGGTGTTTTTTTTCTGGGTTGGGGTGCCTGGGATCGGATTCTTTGGAGTAGCTGTCTTGTTAAGTAAGTAAGTAACTAACTAACTATCATGTACATACATGCATAGTAAGGAGAATGTGGTAACTCGTATTTGGAATCCTTTTTCTCCACTCCTTTTGTCTACCTAGTTTCCCTCAGTGTTAGGTTAGGAATACTATTGGAATCCCGATGATGCTTTATCAAGCGTGCGCAATACAAAATAACTATAGATAGTAGTAGTTACCCACGTACTGTAAAACATAACTAAGTACGTACTACTACCAGTTGGGGACTCCTCGGGGGTATTTCCCCTGATGATCTACAAAGCTGGGAGACCCAGGAGCCAGGACTCATTTAATATACTCCGTAAGGGCTATTTATTGTTCTATGCTTGCTTGCGGCTTGCAGTTATCACATCGTTATCACATCGTGACTATTGGAGAACCTCTAGTTTGGGACCTTGACGTGCCGAAGCGTTGGGCTAGACGTGTGATGGATGAATTATTAGCTCTAGTTTACCAGCCTCATGGGTCATGGCTCTCCCCGAGCGAGCGAGATCGTGTGCTCGTTGGCTGGCTGGTATCAAGATCGCAGAGATCATCGGAAGCGCTGAAATTTTGGACCATTTGCTTGATTTTCGGGAAGAGCGCGGGAGGAGGGGATCGAAACCCAATTCTCAGTTGTATATGGTAGAGGAGAGGCACGTTGTCATTTAACAGTGTCACTGTTCTCCATGAGTCCCTTGCTCGGGCTGGCTCCGTCGATTCCCGCATCGGTACCTGTTGGCACCCAAGCCGAAAACTGCCCCTTTCCCACTTCCAAGATTCGAACAATCCTGGGCTTTTCTGTCTTGCTCAGTCGGTGACCCGAGGCTCCTCCAAGTTGCCCAAGTGGAGCCCAAATGGCTTTCGTTAGTTAGGTTTGGCGATCAGTCGGGCTTTTTTTTTCCCCTTCTCCCTGAGTCCCTCTTCTTTCTTTCTTTCTTTCTTTTTTTTTTTTTTTTTTGGCTTCCTGTGGACGTCTATTGATCAATCGAGACTGTTCCAGGAGAAGTAAACTGCACTACTTACTCTGTACTCCGTACTCCTCATTGGAAGCTGGGAGGGAGCTTCGATCATCCTGACAGGGTTTTTTCCTCCCCGGTAGTTGGGTACATAAAGGGAAGGAGAACCGTAACTAATATTTTTACCATTGGAATTAGTATGGATGGGATAGCCAGAACCACGGAACAAGCATGTGCTTACCAGAAGATTAACCGTTTTCAAGCGACAACGATAGGTCAGGGTCAATATCATATCTTGTACGGAGTACTCTGTAGTCTGTATGGGGACGATGGCAAAGCGCATGTCGATCGTGGGCAAAAGACGGCCTCGTGGTGGTTGAGCTGCGCGTGTCTGTCTCCATCCCCTGTTTCTCATTAGGTAGTTCACTTCTTACTGAGGGAAGAGGAAAACGAGACTTGTAGAATCCGCCACCATCTCCACCACATGGATACATATAATTTGTCCTCGTTTGCTCCACTGTCTCCCGATTCTGCAGGACTAATCTTTAGTATGCTTGCTAGTGACGGGGGGGTACCTTACGGAGCAGGAATCCAGAAGGAGAAGAAGCTTGCAATTTGTTGTACCTGCAAGGAAGAAGAAGAAGAAGAAGGAGAAAAGGAATAGTTAGAGAGAAGAAGCATAATTAATAAGGATAATAAGAAGAATAATAATTTATTCAGATGTTGCAAACCATCTCTCCTGACTCTACTCTACCTACTCACTTCTCTCACTTCTCTCACTCTCACCACTCTCTCTCTTTCTCTCCCTCTTTCTTACCTTTCTTACACTGCTCTCTCTTTTTTTATTTCTCTTGTTCTCTATCTTATTCATTCGTTATACAATTCCCCTCCTTAATGACTACGGTCTTCTCCCGCGAAATGAGTGAATGTCGCCTCTAATTGATTGATTTGTTACACGGGTACCTTCGTTAAGCCACACCACATCGTACGTTTATCCTCCACCCCTTCTCTACTCTGCTTTTTCTTTTCTTTTCTCTTTTTCTTTCATTTCTTTCTTCTTATTTGACCTGCTGTTGGGGCGTTGAATCAAAGAAAAGAAAAGAGAAAGAAAGAAAACCACACCAGGCCCCCCAGCACATGCCTGCATCTGACAGCATTCGTGACTGGATCAGACAATTGGTATGCACATCAAACAGGAGGACCAAAGAATCAAATAGGCCCCCAACTCGGCTGTGCAACCAAGTAGTCTACTCTCAAATTGGCCTGTTCTGGAGTCTCCGATCAGACGTTCGAGTGTATAGCCATGAACTGACCTGAATGAAGAGAATTAGCTACTCCGAGGGTCCCATTTGGAATTTTACACTCCTCCTTCGCTATATGTTCGATACCTAGAGAATGCAGCACAGCAAAGGACCAGAGTTTCCCGAACCTGCGAGGACGGTCTCACGCTCACGTTCTCGCTCGCGCAGCACCAGCTTGTCGAGCGACTCACAACTCTCCCGCATCCGTCTTCGGGTACCACCCGCAGCGAACCCAGCACCTTCCTTTATCGCTCCCTCTGCGGCGTCCCAGATCATTACCGCAGACCAGGAGTTCAACGCCGCCGATTTTGCAGATGACGACGAGGAGGATGATTCGACTGCCAGCGCCATCGTCACTCCCGACGCTCTTGCCGCTCTGAATGGATTTCTCGACCATTTGCTCTACAATATCTTAGCTGCGGCCAAGTCAACTCAGCTCTCATCAATTCGACCCGCTGTCGCTGAGGTGCTCAAGCCCCGACTTGCGAAAGAAGTAGTGTCAGTAGCGGACGAAGAATTGAGCGAATACCTCGGCGGCCCCGAAGATGAACAGCTCGAGTTTCGCGGCGGCCAGACCCCAAACGGAGATTTCGACTTGATTCGCACCTGGAAATTGACACGCCTGCGTTGCATGGTCTATACTCGCCTGGGTGATATGGAAGAGGATGACGAGGAAGAATTTATCACGCAGGACGGTCTAGGCGATGAGGAAGGAGCCCCTCGTCGATTCTCAAATCATGTCGGCAATATTACCCCCGCTGCTGCTATTTTCTTGACCTCTATCATCGAACATATCGGTGAACGAGCCCTAGTAATCGTGGGTGAAACAGCCCGGTCTCGACTATCATCAAACCCCGTGGTGGAAGATAATGAAGATGGCGAAACCGGTAAAGAACGCGGAAGCATGAATCGACTAGTAGTAGAAGAGCTTGATGTGGAGAAACTCGCCTTAAATCCCACGATGGGGAGGCTTTGGCGCACCTGGAGGAAACGGACTCGAACACCGCAGTTGTCTCGAATGGCGTCAACAGACTCAATTATTCGAAGAGGAACGATTGGCCACCTACCACTTAGTAGAAAGAGCAGCTTTTCCGTGGCTGATGAGTCTCATCCAACCTCGTTTCCTCCCTTTGAAGCGCCACCTGAGATTAACCCGGCATCTGTCCCTTTGCCAGAAACCGAAGACGACGCCCAGCAAATCGAAAATTTGGGGTTTATGTCTGATGGTGAGGGCGGCGAGATCCAGACAATGGAAGCCGTGGTCGCTCACAAAGTACGTCCCCGGAGCTTGATGGTGCTCACCATACAATCGCCAAGGTCGCCGTCAAATGGTTCGCCTGCTACTCCTAATTCGCGCACACCAGTCACCCGTCATGTTCGTTCCAAGTCGCTACCTAGTAATTCTCCCCCCCCAAAGGTTCCTCAAGTCGACCAGGCGGCGGAACAACCGTCTCCCACAGCGTCTGAGAGGCGGAGGCATCTTGAAACCATGTACGAACATGACGAACAGGACCCGATGAAAGAGAAGGAAACAGAACGGGAAATGGAAAACGAAAAGGAGGTGGAAACGGAAGAAATGGACAAACAAGAGGGAAAACTAGAGAACAACGAAAGGGTTGGTGCCTTACCTCATGCGCCGGAACCTTTCCTGCATATATCTAAAGAGCAGCCACAAAAAGCGAATGATTTAGAGGAGGAGCACATGGAGAGGAGCGCTCTGCAAGAAACGACTGCCCGCTTATCCCTGTCTACTGCATCACTTGAAATTGTGACTAGTCCCGCAACGACCAACACCGAAGATTCCTCAACCTTCTTCTTTGACCAGGATACTGAGGCTCTTGAGGGCCAAGAGATCTGCGAAAAGCCAATTGCGACTGCCACCGAGCGGCCAACGCGCAAGTCCAGCAAGGATATTACCCGGAGGGAAGAACGATCGGCCGCCTCTACACGCATTAGAAACGAAAGAGTGGTGGGAACCGCTGTTGAAGATCCACTACAGAGACAAAGGGAGGATCACTCCACTTCCGTGCAGCTTGTTGCTGCTCATAGTGATTTCACAGAGTGTGATGCAAACCCTCCTGTCCCAGAACCCTTGGCTCGGGAAGTCCGACAGTCGACGGACATCCAAGGGAAATGGTCAAGACCTGTTTCCAACTCCAGTGACAGCACTCGCTCTAGCTATTCCCGAACACACAGACCTTCTCCCCTGGTTCTCAAGACTGGTAGCCATCGTTCCGGGGTGTCAGTTTCAAGCTCGGGCACAGAGCGTGCTGCGGTCCAGCGGATATCAGGACGACCATCGCCTTCGGCAGCCTCCGCTACCGTCACAAAATCCCGCAGATCAGACAGTTTTGGTAGTCATCGTGAGAAACGTCCAGTTACTGCTGGCTCTAGTAACTCCCAGGTTTCCAGCAGGCTCAAGGGCATAATTGGTCGTCCGTGTGAACCAAGTTCTCCTCATTTGCGAAGTTCCTCCGAGACAAGCAGGGTGTCTGGTTTAACTAAGGACTCGTACGACGATACATCTGGCTTGGATGAGTTAATTCGCAGTGAAGAAACGATTCACTATACCCTCACCCCAAAGAGCGTGAGAGAAATGGATGTATGTCTGAGAACAACCCACTTTGTAAAGTTCTCATAGCTGACCGTGACATTTAGTTCCCGGATACATCTAGATGGCAACCTCGGCGATCAAATACGTCGGACCTAGCCGATTTCTTGAAGAATACTGGACCTGATGATTCTACCTTCCCCAGAGCGTCGACAACATCCTCTCGAGGAGTTCCAGACTATCAGAGTCAGTCCAGAATTCCAGATTTGCCGAACCAATCGCGCATCCACGCAACTCAGATGCCTCCCAAGTCGAAACAACCAGTGGGACAACCTCGCGACGTCAGGCCCAGTACTGAGTCAAGCCATGACTTTGCGCAATTCATTCGAAACTCTGGTCCTAATACCCCTTCAACTCCCTCGACTTTCATCAAAGGGCGTGGGTTTTCTGAGCCCACGGAACTGTCTAAGAAGCCTTCTCGAGCTGAAAGTACTTTTTCGAGCTCAAGTCGGACCCGGCTACTAGCCCGGCCTGCTGTAGTTCCTAACGGAGACACGTCTGATTTAATTGACTTCATCCGTGAAGGCCCACCCACTGCGGGAGCCCGTCGCATTCCGCGTACAGTTGCGCCGTTCCGCAACACAATGGATTCGGATGAACTCAATCTTTATGAGCCGCAAGTGCCGCCAGTTAGTAGCACCCAACAAGAGGTAATGGCCACAAAGTCACATGTTTCTGCTGGTTCCCGTACCGGACTTCTCGACTCCATGAATCGCAGTTACATCCGCACCGGCTCTTCGTCTAGTAAGGTGGATGCTGCAGATGATCCTCGTCCCCAGAGGACACAGCGCCGCGCGCCAGACCCTTACGCTCTTGATTGGGGCGATGATGAATTGACTGAGCTGATGGATGAACCTAAACCGAAGCGCGAAGAGGAGAGCCTGATTGATTTCCTGCGTAACGCTCCTCCCCCCCAATCCGAATCTCAACCTCAACCATTTGTTTTGAACAACAATAACAACAACCCATCCGCTAAACCCGTTACCGGTGGTTTTGGAGGGGCTTCATCCATGAAGGCTCGACTGCTCCGAAATACCTCTTTTGAGAGGGCACCTTCGACGAAGTCCTCTCGAAGCTCTCTTCGCCAGCAATTTGATCAGCAATCCCCAGGAATTTCTTCGAACTATGCGGCCAAAGTTGGAATGGAGCGGAATACAGGAGCCATGCGTGGCCTTTCATTTGCCTCTGAACGCCAAACGGAAACCAGCGCTCTTGCAGATTTCCTCCGGAGTACCGGACCGCCGGAGCCCCCTGCGCCTCGCGCCCAAACTCCGGTGAAAGACTCGAGTTTTACCCGGCGTCTCTTTATGCGGCATAAAAAGGTTCAAGTGTGAAGTCTTCTCTTTCTCAGGTCATTTCCTATCTTTATCACCTCTACGTCCTTCAGACTTGCATAATTTTTTTTTATTCATCCATTCTCTCTTGCCCGCTTGATCATGAAATTGCGATGTCCTCCGTGGATGACTTGTCTTTGAGCGTTGTGACACGTTACGATGATATTTCTTGATTTTATTTTCCCGCTTTCCACCTCTTGCCTATTCTTCTTGATCTGTCAATCTTTGGAAATACCCCTTTTGCTTTGTTTCGATCTTGTCTATATATCTTCTATTCCTATTTTTTACCAAAAGGGGTCTGTGCAACTTCAAAGGAATGGCAGACTGTTCTTAAAAATGTTAATTAAGCCCTTGACTGAGTTCATCTGGTGGCCTACTTTTTTTTTTCAGGATATTTCTGATTCCTCTCTACTTGTCTCAAGCCTCGCTCTTGAATATATTTCTTATCCTGGTTTATTCCCTACTTAATCGGCGTTGATTTTCCATAACGTACCACTCTGTCTATTCCGCGCATCTCCATCCCGACTTACCCATGCATATTCCTACAGTGACCCCCTACTCTGTAGGTAGAGAGAGGCATTCAAGCATGCTAAATCGCTGAAAATATTAATAATCAAGTCTTGGTGGTGTAATTGGTGAGTTCACACACACACACACACACACACACATTAGGTACCTTAGGTAGTCAGTCAGTTAGGGCTAATTTCAAATCCAGGTTAACGCGTCCGACTGTTATTCTAAAGACATCGGGAGACTGAGAGTTTGATCCTCTCCTGGGGCGTTTTTTCTGCTTTCTTTTTTTGGCTACGTACCTAAGTACTTACTTCACTGGGTGGAGATATCCATTGTACACAGAGTATCTAGGTATGACAATACATATGATAATTATAACTACCTAGTACGGAGTAATTATGTACCTAATTACAGAGTACAGACAGACAGAGAGTACAGAGTATTATTAAGTCTTACATCAATCAAAGGCCATCCATCCATCCATCCATCATCCACTCATTCGTTTCCTTCGTGCCCGTGCCGGTTCTAGACGCATCGCTTCAATCCAACGTACATAGACTCTTCGTGTACGTTACCTACTTCGCCGGGTATAGACAACCCAACCCAGGAGGTTGAAAGTTGCTTGCACTCGCAAAAGTTGGCTGGGGATCGTATCATACCGTACCGTGTCCTTTACAAAGTCATGGCGAACAGACTCATCACGAGAGACATTGCAACGGCAGGAAGGATGGTGAGGACCTTGGACGCCGCGCTTGTTGGTGTAGATGTGGAGGCTGTGTGGGTTGCAGTGGCAGTGGCAGTGGCGGTATCTGTTTTGGTGGGCAGATTGTGTTAGATCGGCTTGTTCATGGGCCAAAACAGAGAAAAAAAAAAAAAAAAAAAAAAAAAAAGAAGAAGTCACTGTATAGATAGAGAGAGAGAGAGAGAGAAGGACAACTTACGCGACTTGGGAGCCTCGCCCACCTTGGTCACGTTGAACTGGGAGGATTGAGCGAGGATTCCGGTGTTTTCCTTCTGCGCGGAGAGGAAGTTGAATTGGTAGCCGTTTCTGTCGTGGGTTGGTTAATGTTAAGAACAACATCCCCTAGTACTAGTAGTGCTTGAACATACGCAACAGGAATCCCCCAGACTTTGTCAATGGTGTATTCGCTCTTAGAGCTCTGGACCATCTCAGCGATGGTCTTTTGGATGTTGTGGCCGACGCTGTTGACGAGGACAAGAGTGAAGTTATTGGGATCGGAGCTGGGGGGGGTTTTCTCGAATTAGATCATTTTTCATAGAGTACTTGGGTCGAAGACCATTTTGCCTACCCAACGGTGGTCCATTTGACGGTGTAGGGCTGGCTGAGGTCCACCTGGTCGTTGTTGTTGGGTTCAGTGATGGTGAGGGCTGAAGCGACAGGTCAGTTTACATATTAGAATTCGATCTCAAGGGGGTAAAAAAAAGTCTTACCCAACACAGACACCGCAAAGGCAAGCATGAAAGAGAGACTGAGGAACCGCATTGTGATGGTTTGGTTGGGCTGGTATGAGTGAGGTATAAAGAACCACGGATGAGAGATAAAGAGTCAATTCCCAGCGACGGATAACTGAAGTGATGGAAGAAAGATATAGCAGCCAGTCGAGCTCAAGGATAATGCGAAGACTTTATATAACAACGTCTATACACCGCATTGAACACATTGCAAGAATTCTCTCCCTCTCCTCTTCCCTTTTGGTACTCCATAATAATCCTACATTAGACTGACTGGTAGCAGAAAACCTTCTATTTTCAGCGCGTCAAGCACAGGATTGACTCCCGCGTTGATGCGAGGGGCTCACAGTCTACAGATGATCTGTTCCCCATCCAATCCTTTTCTTCCTGTCATCTCCATACCTGTCGCACCCTGGGGATATCCTTTCTCTTCAAAGGTTCTCAAAGACCATCCAGGTATTCAATGCCTGATACATTTGATTGGCGGGTTGCGATGACTTTGACGGGAAAAATCTCTTTACTGATCGTGGGATAGATTGTGACGTCTGTCGGAGCAAAAAAGATCTCTCTTCGAAGCGAGTCCCAATTGAGCATAATCGAAGAACAAACGCACAGCTAGACGGCGGTCTATCTGAGCAAATGACGTGAAAATATTCCCTGGCGCTGCAGAGAGACCCTTTAGGCGTTGCTAAAGCCAGTAGTGGCTCGTTAGCTACAGCTGGATTTCCTAGCGATAATCTTAATGCGACCTACAAGTGCGCCAGCAAAGAAATCGTTCCCAATTCGATCTTTCTCGACTTTCCACAAAATCACTCGAACCTTTTGGTGAATGGGAGATGTTTGGCGGTTTTTCGATCGCCTGACTACCGGTTCTCCAAGAAACTTTGAGCATCAGCATGCATTATATGACGCTCTATTAAGGAAAAAAACTCATCAAATTGGACTTTAGCCTGCATACTACAAAGTTTTTGCAGATGAACTATTGATGCTCCAGCAGCTCTGTTATCTTTTCGGAACGAAATATCGAGACTGGCAGACATGCGTATGATGTCGCTTCCAGCCACTGGACACGTCAGATGTGAATGCACGGACTAAGCTCGATTGCCATTTTTTAACTTCTAATCACCAAACAGTAAAAGTCAGTTGAGCTTTGAATGCGTTGAGGTGAAAGGCAGTCATAATCATTACCTACAAGGTCATGTGGACACTCACTCAAGCAGGAAATAGTGAAGATTGCCAGCCTTTTCACTCAGGTCTGGTTGGTGACTTCGTATTTCATGCTCTTTCTAGGGTTGCATACTGGGCTACTCTGTACAGGCTTCTTAGCGTCGGCGAGTCTCTCTAGAATGATACATCTTATCAAGCACGTTACCTAGAAAGTCGCCCCAAACGGCCGTGGCCTGGGTATAGACAATCCACGTTGGCCGTTCTCCCCCTTACTGACAAAACCATATATATATATTATATATATTATATATATGTGTCTGAATGAGGCTATTCTGCAACAATAACGCCGATTCAAGGTTTGTGATACCTCGTCGTCGTTGTCTTTGTCGAGATCAAGGAAACTTGTCCCATCTCCGCTATGTAAACTGATTTACCGCGTCGCTTGCTGAGAGAGGCTCAAGAGTTAACTAATGTTCATCCCTTATGGAATGCCTCTTCCAAAATTAACGTTAGATCACTGAGCATAATCGCGAGGTGTACTAGGGGTTGTTCAAAACGCGAACTCCAGAAGTCTGAAAAAAGGTGACTTACGACCGGCATTTACTTTCCAAGGAGGAACATCCTGACACAGGATTTTTGGGCCATTCCATATCTCCCAAAGGGATGATTGTAACTCAGAACAGGATCGTCAGCCCATGATTTATTTCAGGACCTGCCCCGTGATACCTGGTATAATGAAACTCCGAATAAACAGACCGAACTCCCGGGTCTCGATGACTTATACTAGCCAGTTCGGCCAGATCCATTCCGAAACACCTTACTAGGTTGAAGCGACGAAGCTGTGCTATGGATTACGCTCGAGAAGACGTAGTTCAAAGGTAGCAGAGACCAAGAAACCCGAACAGAACTATGAATTCTTGGGTTTGCTTCATAAAGTCTCTCAGAGTCTTTGCGATGCGCATGTCATACACATCAACGTTCCACGAAAAGGATGCATTTTCCTGAGAATGCAGGGGATATTCGGTGGGAAGCATGATCGCTCTCTCAGTAAATTGAGTGACAGGCTAAATTGCACTGCATATAATGTCGTTTGTCATCGGTACTAAGCAGATATCCACCTTTCTGCCCTACTTAACGGATTCGATCGCCACAAGATTCCCTTTCAGGAGCCTTATATCTCCTGAAACGTTGCTTATGTTACTTCGACCTACGTTCAACAGTGGCTATTTGCAACAGCTGTGAGCAACGATGAAAAGCAGACCGGGCTGACTGAGCCATAAAATCGCAGATGATTTGTCTGTACGGCTTCTGATACATTCATATGAGATTGTTTCATGGCCCAGAAGTTTGTCTGATCTTGCGTATATTCGTTTCTCAAGGGTTGAACGATCGAAATGAGAGATGTACAGATACATTTTAGACCAATATGGCGCATTTGGATGACATATAAGCCCGCAACATTCCTCTTCGAGGGCTACTAGAGATCCTCCCTCACTCAATGAGTCATTGATCATTTATCTCTTCATCAAAAGCTTCAACTGAATTCTGTCTACCCACCCTTCACAATGAGACTTCAAATAGCGACCATGATCATCGGCTTCTGTGGCGCTGTCCTTGCCATCCCAGCCAAAAACAACAACCCGCATAATGAGCGACGGCTGTTCTCCTGGCCTCCTGATGATGGCCTCGAGCCGGAACCGACAACGCCTATTACCGACTTCCCCTTCACCTACCCAACCCAGGCTCCACGGGAACCGAACAATGGGATCCCATCTACTGTTCCGGGATTTGGAGGCGACGACGGCGGTTTAGAACCCCCTCTAGTCGAGTTCCCTGACCTGGGGGAATCTCTTCCTTGGGATATATTCAATGACAACCAACGTGTTTAGACCTTCTCTAAAGAAAGTCGACCTCGCAATCAAGCCGTCTTGCTTCCAAATGCAAAATGACGACAAATCACCGGGAAATGGCGCTGGAATATTCTCTGTTGATCTCGACAAAAGTTGTTAGCCATGTATTGGAGAGAAAATTGGGTCACTACTGCCGAAGAGAGCGGTTTGGAACGCGGTCCTTGAAATGGAGGTCGAACTCGAGATTGCTGAAATTTTACCCTGGATTTAAACTGAACAGTATTTTGTCTTGTTAGATGAAGAAGAAGAAGTAGCAAGATTTATTTACTGTGAAACCTGACGTTGAATGTTGTGCCCTTATGTCATCCGTAGTTGGCGCCTTTTTCTTTTTTCTTTTTGTCCTTTGTTTCCCCCGCCTTCGCCAATAATTAACAACCGCGACACAATAAAAAAGGCGGTTGGCAAAGTCTCCCGTTGACTTCGGATAAACACAGGTAGCTTTGACAGTTACAAAGGGCAAGAGGCATGCCCAAGAGATTCCGAAGACGATCCCGACAGAACGTTAGCGACTCTGAAGATGGATGAAACCAGCGATGACCCGCTGAAAGTCAGTTCTTCCGTTTGTTTATATGATGATATATGATGACTGAGTCAAAGTGATGGCTGACTCGAGATGGCTGGTGCCTCTTAGACGTTAGAGAAAGCCTACTGTCCCCCTCTTGATGCCGCCCTATTTACGGCTATTGTTTTCGACTATGACATTACAGACCCCGCGCAGCTCCAGCAGCTGCGCGAAACTCTAGACACGCTGAAACTGTCCGCATGGGAACAAGAGGATCTGCCATTTGATCCGTCTGGGACGAGCGGACTAAACCTAGGGAGCGGCTTTGACGTTGATGCGATTTTATCCGAACCTAGCGGGTCTCAGAATGACACCGTGCGATCACGCGAGACTGATCTCACCAGTGAGCTTTCGTCTCTAAGCGTGGGCGATAAGGGCCGCCCAGGATGCTCGTCGCGTGTGTCATACATCATTGGATCTGACGGAACCCTTTCTCTCTTTGGGGCAACGGAAGAGGACAAGATCTTCTACTTGGCGGAGATGTTTCCCTCGGCTGAGCGCTTTACGATCCAACATACCCTCAAGAAGGCTAATGGCGACGTTGACCGGTCTATGGACATTCTTCTAAACCTTGCCTTTTTTGACGAGCAACCTTCTGTCGAGGATGGGACCAAGGTCCTTGTGCCGAAGGGTGTGGACGGGTTTGAGGATGGCGGAGGCGGAGGCGGGCGAAAGAAAGGGCGTAAGCGCAAGGGGAAGAATAAGAGCGGGAGAAGCGAGGTCCCGTCTCCTCTTAGCTCGGATCTAGAACCGCTGTCTCCAGACACAAGTAGTACGGCCAATAAGTGGGATGCCGCGCTAAGGGACGTCGACTTCATTTTCTCTCGGACCTTTCCTATTCTAAAGAAGGAAACCATCACCTCAACATATCATGCCAATGGAGCTTCCTTGCCTGCGACCATTCGGTGCCTCGCAGATGCGAATGCGCCCAAGGTTGTGCCGACTAGCAATGAACACCCAGTCATTGGCGCGCAGGTAGCGGAACTGACGCAAGAGTTCCCTTCTCTTGCGCCGACCCTTTTGGCTGGTCTCTTGGAAATTACAAGGAATTCAATATCGGCGGCTCACGAGTTAGCAGCCGCACTTTTGGCAAGCCCCACAACACAGCCGGTCACTGAGCTGATCAAATTCACCACCTCGCCTCCGCCAGTTGATGCTGAGCAAGCGGTTCCCAAGAAACGGACTACCGAATCCAGATCGTCTTCCTCCCAGAATTACGAGCAAGTGAGTATTTCAGCGGGTTACCATTTCTCTGCCGGAGCAGAAGCCCTGTCAAAAGCTTCGGCAGCTTATAAGCGCGGGAAGTCGGACCGGTTAATGGGGGGTGCAGCTGCATATTACTCTGCAGTTGGCCGCGACTATCTTGAGCGCGCAAAGCGCGAGGCTGCCGCAGCCGCCGATGCACTGGCGGACTCACAATCAACGTGGAACACGTTGGATCTACATGGGGTTTCGGTGCAGGATGCAGTGCGCATCGCGGCGGCACGGGTGTCGCAGTGGTGGGAATCCCTTGGCGACTCCAAATATATGCGAGGAAGCAGCGGCGATCCCGCCAGAGGAGGATATCGCATCATCACTGGCCTTGGACGACATAGCCACGATGGTACATCACGTCTCGGCCCTGCTGTGGGGAAGATGCTGGCGCGCGAAGGGTGGAAGGTGGAGGTTGGCGAAGGTATTTTGACAGTAGTAGGAGCTGTTCGGCGTCGTTAAATGATCTCTGTGATATTTTAGTACTTGGTTATTGTTCGAGATATCCTCTCAGCGTTTTATCTGGAGTTTTTTTAAGCGATCTCCCACGGGATATGTATGTATATGAATGATTTCACTATCTAGGTAGCAACCACCACCACCACCACCACCCTGAATAAAATAGACAATATTTCCAAAAGAAAGTAACATAGCTATCAATCCATTGTATTATTTGTTCCCAATATAATATAATATAATAGTAATATATAATACGATATAAATATGTATACAATTGCAACCAAACAGCACACTTGGTCTCTCCACGCCACCGTAAATTTCCCCCCAGCACCATAGTTATTTGAATTACTAAGGCAGAGCCAAAATTTAGTTAACTAGTTAGTTATAGTTAGTTACAACAAGGTTCCTTCCGGCTTTCTCTCCACCACCACATTCTCCCCCCCCCCAACCAACATCCCACCTCATCCCAGCATGTCAGATGCATCCGGCGACGAGCGTGATTCCAGAACCGCGTCGGTCGGTCTGCAGCGGAACCGCAGAAACTCGAACGTTTCGAACAATTCGTCGCGCCACACCTCCGGCGAACCGCTGAGTAAACGCCAACGTCGGACCCGAAACGCGAACACCGCTGACGTGAAGGATTTTGTTCCACGAGGCGCAAAGTTTAGCGCGGCTTCTTTGGAGGTGGATCCGGAGAGTGCTTCTTCCTCTGGGGGGGAAGGAGAGGAAAAGGAAACGGAAACGGAAACGGAAACGGAAACGGATTCCTCGTCTGATAACGAGAGTGGGAGTGGGAGTGAAAGTGCAAGTGAAAGTGCAAGCGAGAGTGAGAGTGAGAGTGTTTCTAAAGCGCAGGTCGGAAGTGCGCCTGTTCTTAACTGGAACAAGGGGAATAAGAGTGTCATCAGGACGACGCTGGGTGGTCGGCAGAATATGGCTGCGAGCGCGCAGCGGGATTCTGCCGAGTCGAAATTCGAGGCTGTGAATGGGAAGTTCTGGCGTAGTCGGAGTGCGTCTGCTTCTCCGGAGCGTGGACAACAGCAGAATAAAGAACAAGACAATGCTCCGGTTGCGCGGGATGAGAATGAGGATGAGGAGGATGTGATGGAGGAAGGGCAAGTCAGCGAGGAGAGCTCGGTGGAGGACGACGAGGAGTCAGATCACTCACAGTCTCCTTTGTCCGGAGATTCTGATGACTCCGAGTCCCTCGATTCCGAGGCCGAAGACTCCATCATGTTGAATATTGGTTCGCGGGGCCAGAGCCAGCAGAATGGGGGATTGTCGCCATCCGATAACGATGACGACGATTACGATCCCGAATCGTTGCCGCTGTCGCAGAGTACGGACAAAGGCATGATGATATTTGATACCACAAACGGGATGATGGACGATTCTGCAACCGACTCGAAAGAGAGCGCGCTTCTTCGCTTCGCGCAAAAGTACCCTGCTGCGCCTTCTATCCTGGCTGATCTTGATCGCGAGGACATGGAAAGGCAGGCCAAAGCTATCTTCTACGATCGCGATATCAACGATATCAATCTTCAATCGCCAATTACTTGTATGGAGTGTTTGCGGGAAGGCCATCTTGCCGATGTTTGCCCCATGAAAGAGGTATTATTATATATTTGTCTCGCACACGCTAGCCACCATGCCGTGTCATTGAAAAAGCCCACTGCTAACAGATCAACAGTGTGTGCACTGCGGAGCCTGGAACAAGCACCAAAGCAGTCTCTGCCCCAAGTGGCGAAGATGCCAAAGATGTCGTGAGCGCGGCCACGATCAAAAGCAATGCTCCTCAGCCCTTAAAAGCTCTGCATCCGAAATTCCCTGCGACCTATGCGGATCATCAGACCACCTCGAACTCGACTGCGATTTCATGTGGAAACTTCCTCGGCAAGACACAACCGCCGCACCTGTGCTGGTCTCCATCTCCTGCGCCCACTGCACCAGTAATCGTCATCTCATCGGCGACTGCCCCTCCCTCCCGCGCCCTCTGGCCTCATCATCATGGACCCTCCGCGGAATCGACCCGAACATAATCACAAACGTCAACTCCGTCGTCAACTCCAGACGGGGCGGAGGTCCCGGAGCCGCGTCCAGAGCTGTTCCTGGAAACCAAAAACAACGGGGGATGAAAATCAGAGGCCGCGCAGATCATGCTCGCTTCCCCTCCACCACCACCTCCGACACCGATAGTGACGATATGATGGCTCTTTCTCGGCCCGATCGACGACCACAAGTCGGAGGCAACCGCAACGCAAACAGAGGAAATATTCGATTCGGCAATAATATCGGGAAGAATAAGAATCTGGGACCTCCCCCGCCCCCGCCGGGACCTCGGGACTATAGAGACCGCGAAGACCCCATGCCTAGGAATAACCATGGGCGCCAGCGTTCCATGTCTCCTGGTCGTCCTAGAGGAGGTCGCGGAAGAGGCAAACATACCTGGCAGCCGCCGTTGCCTCGTTCTCCGCCGCCACGAGGAAACAGTCGACCTTCGGGCCCGCCTCCTCGTTCATCGAGAGGCGGCCGTGGAGGTGGACGTGGTGGGAGCAAACGCGGTGGAGGAGGAGATGCATATCGACCGCTGCCCAGTGCAGCTAAGAAGGCTTGGGACAAATACCGTCTCTAAGGAGCGACCAACGAAATAGCAAAAAAAAAAAAAAAAAAAAAGAGTGACGATACTAATGAGCCGCAGGCCGGTAGTGTGTGTGTGTGTGTGTGTGTGTGCCTTCCTACATGTACCATATTTTTAAATACCCGTGGATGGTCGGCGCTTGGTTTATGATGTCTCTTGGTAGGCGGTTGAAGTTTATCTGATGTTCCATTTGATTACCTACGAGAGAAATGATTTGAGCTGTATCCGAGTCCGCAAGTCGTCTATAGATTATTTGAACATGCCATGCCCTTGGATTATGCAACCACAGGTGACCTTGGTCTATTGCTCAGGGCTACTTATATACATACATTCCCAAAAATTCATGAGTTCTCAACCCTATACTTATTGATCAATTGGGGGGGATTTCGGACCGGGTATTATGCCCCACGAATCCATTTTCTAGGATATCGATGAGATCGTCTAATCTCTCAATAGACATGTCAGTATGCATATGGTCCTTAAGGTGGCTGTTATGCTCATTCAGCAGCAACACAGTAGCTGCGCCCGCAGTGTGGCCAGCGGTCATATCATCAATGCTGTCACCAACCTACTCCCAATTTCTGTTAGTATGTTGTGCTGGGATGAAAACGATTAGGGGGGAACAAACACACCATAATTAAATTGTCACCCCGATTCCCAAGTCCCCATTCACTCGCGATATGCAAGATACCGGCTGGATCAGGTTTAGGGAGCAAACCTGGCGTTTCCCTCGTGATAATTGGGAGAAAGACATGTGCCGGAAGATGGTTCTCGAGCAAGTGTCTCACAGGCGTTCTAGATAGACTATTTAGCTCATTCATACTTTAAAAAGGTGGGAAAAGAATGAAAAGAGGGAAAAATATAAGGTACAAACATACTCGAAATTCCTGGTACATAGTGCCCTCTTAATCCCGCGCGACTGTAGATAGTCCATCAACTCTACTAGTCCCGGCTGCGGCTGCTGGTGGCGCATAGCTTCGCCCTCGACTGCCTTGATCTTGTCGCTGGCTGCCATCTGAGCCTCAGCTGTGGGGAGGCCACGGATGTGGTGGAGGATATCGACTGATTTATCGATCCCTAACGCCGCACTAAGTAGCTCTTAGCTCTGTACCCCGAAGATGCCTGGGTGGTATGACAATGAAATACCGCATCTCCGCAAACATGTAGTTTTGAGGTAGGCTGAAGGAAAATCAGTATTATTGTTTGTTCCATAGTAGATGTAAAGAAAGTAGAAGCTGAAAGATGAAAATACCATAGTGTGCCGTCAACGTCGAATACAATTCCCTTTAGTTGGGGAGCTTCGGATGATTGACTCGTCGTTCCATTGATGGGTGCGAACCGGCGTTGACGGAGCGCGTAGTCTCGAAGGGAGGACATGAGGCGGGAGAGGGGGATAGAATTCGTTCTTAGAGCCACCTTGAAGGGAATTATGTAGATGTATCTGCGAAGAGATGAAGGTTGAGAGATGAAAGGAGAGGTAGTTAAGTGTAGGAGAGTTGACGCATCTTAAGTGGGGGAAACCGAGTTAAAGTGGAGATAAGATGGAAGCAATCAGATTATACTTCCATCTACCTTACTTTAATGCATTTCGAAATCCGTCAGGCTACATACACCATGATGAGATTGAATTGGATGGAAATGAATTGGGTACAAATACGTCCGTGATGGAATGTGAGTGAGGGTTCTTTCCTATGCTGGCTGCTGTATTGCTTTCTGACAAAAGCAGGTGCGTCGGTTGCTCTCTCTCCCAAGGACTTCATCCTAACTATCATCTATTCCTTCAGCTCGATGAATCTCTGTCACTCTTGAGACAAATACCGTCACATTCATGGCTCTGGATTAGATGTTTGTTTCGTTCCAACAATCATGGTAGAACTTACCCCTCCCAGCTCATACCACGATGTCGAATATGACTTCGACCGGCATCCTCCCGTCAAGATCGGCATCGGGGACGTCCTCTCTCTGCTGAAGACGGTTCTGACTCTCAGGGTCCTCCGGACTACGAGATCCATCCTCCATATTAGAAAACTCAATGACGGCTCTGATCCGGTTAAACCCTCCTCGATTCATCAAGCCATTGACCGCAGGGAACAGCGGATTGTCGAGATTATCTTGTCGATGACCAGAGATGAGTTCGAGGATGAAGCTGCCCAATCTCCCTCTCGATCTAGTCTGTCTACGGGTGCGGCGTTGATAAAGACAATCACTACTACAACCACCCAGGACGGTCTGTGTGGTGGCGACGATGGCTTCCTTATGCGAGTTTCATCGACTTTTTCGACCCACTCCCTACCTACAGAATCTACCCGTACTAGGGAGGTTACTCAACCGGTAACAAGCGAAGGTGCCAAAGCCGATGGCAGTCAGGCCAGCCCTAAGGAGAGAAAAAGAGGAAGTGGCTTTTATTCGTCCCTTCCGCCGCCAATCAGCGATTCAATCTACTCATCCACACTGCGAAGAAGCCTGTCCGTGAGCAATGTTCATTCTGTTTCGTCTGGGCCGCGACAGTGTATGGTGGTTTCGGCTGCACATTATACGAGGATGGTATCGGAGAGACCACAATTCAGCATAGTGAGCCAGCCTTTATCGATCGACTCTCTAGTGACAAATGAGTCACGAGTTGAACGCTCTACGCTGGAGATTGAGGACGAACTCCGCCAGACACGATCTGCAGATAGTTTCCCAGGCGAATTTCCAGTCAGCGATGGATTGGAGTTTAGTTCCCTCGCGACGGCATCTCGCCACCTACGGATCCCTTCTATGAGGACTTCTGTACGGCCTTTTTCAGACTTGTAAGCTATTACGTTCTTGGTTGGGTCAGTTGAATGTATTATTACCTTCTTCAGGGTCATGGAATACCAACGGCGTTGTTAAGGAACCGGAAAGGCAACTGCATCAAAGCAGAATCTCAAAGACATTCTTCTTCGTGGATAGCGTGGTCACCGTAACACATGGCCTTGATAAAGAGCTTTGCACTATCCAACCTTCTCTCTTTTTACTATCCGTATTTGTATCCATCATTGTAAAGGTGCCACGAGGACTCTTGAAGTCAACATATGAGAGCCTTCCACACCTTATACACTGCGTCCGCCGAAAGTGCAATCTACCCCGTCAGCATCTCAACAAAAAAACATACCATATCGGGATACGGCCACATAGATTCCACTCGGGACTACCGCAGCGCAATCAACAACAACATCTTGATAGATTTCAACCAAACCCCCAAGCTCCCAGGGAAATATCCTCCAGTCTTAATTGCAACTATATATCTGCGTGTTTCTCTTTCCCCCTTCCGCAGAACCATCATCGCTATTCTTATTTCGCTCGCCAGAGGCAGAGATGGTGGTAGAGGGGCAACGTGATCCTAGCCAGGCAGTCCCAGGGGATGTTCCCCCCGGGGGGGGGGGGGGGGGGGGTAAGGCACAGGAAGGCGTGCTGTCTGATGGGGACTGTGTGGATAGAAATTAGGGATTCGGGGTGGTGGGTGTTTCTGGACGGTTCGGATTGAGATTGGGAGTGGGAGTGTTGAGGGTTGTCCAGGTTTGTCTATGTTTCTCTCTCTCTCTCTCTCTCTCGGGGTTAATTATTATATTATGCTGCTATCATCTGGTTCAAGGAAGGGAAGTAAAGTATACGACTTGAAGAGCGCAAGGTTCTATATTAGATGCTCTTCGCACGATCTTGATGATCGATCCTGTATCTGGAATAAAAATACGCAATCGCTATCTATACAGGCGGAAAGTCACTGGAGGGAATGGTAACAAAAAGTAGGTTACACGCTGCATTGCTCAAGGGACTCTGTGCATTGCGATATCAGACTCGATTTGGGAAAAGCTCGCTTTGGATAAAAAGGCTTTTGGCATTACCAAGCTGATATGATATGACCATAGAGAGGGGAAAATATGCAGCAAGAAGGGAATCGCTATGTGGACATCAAATGGGTACATGATATGTAAAGAAGAAAAAAAAAGGTTACATCTTCATCAGCTGCTTGATCAACAGACGTATACGAAGAAAATATTTTTTGCAACATGCAAGACGCTCAGGCCATGGCCGCCGATAAAACCAAGAAAGAAACGTTCATAAAGTCGTGAAAAAAAAAAATTAAAAGAAAAAGAGAAGCAATGCATATTCGTTCCATCCCAAGTGTCAAACTCGAGATTAATATTCATGCTCGTCATCAACATGGTCAGGGCTGTAGTTTCTCCGCCTCCTATTAGGGCTATTATTGTATTGACTGCCGGAGTTCAGAGGGCGAGGTCCAGTGGGCTTCCGTGGAGGCGGCGTGTTGCGGGGAGATTGAATTACAGAGCTCTGTAAATCAATGAGTTGGCAATTGATTCATGGATGGGGAAAGAGGGGCTAGGGAAACATACCCGTGAAGCTACACGTTCCACATAAGACTGCTCATCTCCTTCCTTGACTTTGGAAGGTCTCTCCGGAAACAACGGTCCATCATCCTTGACCTTCGGGGGTCGTGGGGGACCTGCTTGTCGTCCAGCGCGTGAATTGGTCTCGGAATAACCTGCATCGGAAATTGGGGAGAGACGGCTGCCGCCACTATATCGGCGGTTGCCATTGAGAGCGGAGAAGCTAGGATTGGAGCCCCATTGGTCTGCCTGAGATCCTGATGTGGGTGCACCATAGACCTGTGCCTGGGACTCCAGGTGAGACTGGTACCGTCCAGTCGGCCCCTGGCGTGGCTGAGGATGCTGGAGGTCGAGGCTGTCCCGATGTGCCCGGTACTTTGGGGCTTCGGAGACCTGAGAGGGAACCAAAGGTGACGGGGGTCGGTTCTCTTGGTGCTGTCCATCCTCAAGAGTGTATGTAGACCGGATTCGGTCATCCGCTTGAGGATCGTAATAATCGGTCGTCTTGTAAGCGCCATTCCCCATGTCTGACCCGGAACGGGATGCATCAAAAGACGCACGTTCTTTGCGTCCGGGTTGGATGCTATTGCGAATGTTATCTCCCATAGACGACGCAGTGGTCTTGGACCAGCGCGAGATCTTCGGGAAGAAGGACGAGCTGCTAGACTTGGGCTTGCGGGACTTTTCGTTGGTCTTCGGGGTAGTCTCGTTGCTATTACTGAGAGCACCCGAGGCAACCGCGCCGCGAGGAGGAGTTGAGAGAGATGCAGACCCCGCTCGCTCCTGTCGATGTTCTGGGCTCTCCTGCGACAGCAATGGGGGGCTCAAGAACTCTCCCCGCTCGTCGATTTGCTCATCCTCCTCCTCCGCTTCTGGAACAGTGCTCACACGGTTTTCTGGGCCGCGGGGTCCCATTGCAACAGGACGAGAGGAAGTCGAGAGGTACCCAGAATGGTCGCCAGGAGAAGAGGTTCCTGCAAGTCCCTCCGGTTCGTAGCCATCGAGGTCCACGCTAGGAGGCGCTCGGTTTCCACTGCTGCGAAGCATGTCATCTTGGTTAGCCCGCAAAGTTTCAACCTCGTCGAGGAGCTGCTCCAGCATTTCTTCGATCCTGGTCAGGTCATTGGAGGATTTCAGGCTCAGTCCCTTGAGTGCCCGCTTAAAGAGGTTCTTCCTCTTTTGAGGAAGGTCTTCATCATCCACGGAAGCCTGGCGGGTGCTTCTGGCTCCACTAGCCGGTAGTGGGCGAGGGCCGCCGAGAGCCTTGTGTGTCCGTTCGTGATGTCGGTCATTGGCATCTTGCAGCAATCCGTCTTGCAGTGCGATGAACTTCTTCATCTCCTCGAAGGAATTGCGCATTTCAGCAGCGCTTCGAACGAGAGTCACTAAAATCTCTGTATCGCGGGCATTGCGCTGAGCGTCACGAACGGTAAGCTGCATAAAAATGTTAGAGAATAACCAAGTGACAGACCTCAAGGGAGGAAAGCTTACATGATCCATCAGGGCGACGATATCCTGGGACTGGATACGGTCGATTCCCTTTCCAGTTGCACTATCATACAAGGGCGATTCCACACCATGCGAGTAGCCACTGAAGTGTCGTTGATGCGAGGGCCCAAACTTATTATCATCAACTCCAGTCGGGCTATCAAATAGACCAAAACCGTTGCTGTCCACTCCCCCACCAAGCCCCTTGGTGGCCGGCTCAGGGCTAGGAGACAGAGGGTGGGCAGCAGACATGTAGCCTTCATCCTTGACTCCGGGAGGAGTCCCAAACGCGGGTCCCCTTGGATACTGTGATTCAATGTAGTTGTTCGCATTGTATCCGTTCGATGGGTAGTAGTCGTTGTATCCCGACTGGTCAACGGCACCCAGGCCAAGACCGGCACCAGCAGCCGCGGCACCCACTTGGTCAAAAAGCGGAGATTGGCCAGCTTTTTGGGACGATGAGTTGTACGGCCAGTGATTATCGTGGGCGACCCCTCCAATAGGACCCTGGATGATGGAGGGGTTCGTGTTGATCTCCGACTCAGAATCCGGGCTTCTATCGCCAGCTTGAGGGATGGGGCTTTCGCTCTCATGCTCAGGCTCATGCTCAGTAGCGAAGATATGCGTTTGCTCCGTGAGATCCTCCAGGGACTGAGTGACACTCTGGGGCGGGGAGGTGGCCCCCATGCGTCTGGGGAAGGAGGTTGCGTCCGGGCTCGCGGCATCCTGGCGTTGCTTCAAGGGGCTGCCTTGACGAGGAGTGCTAGATATTTCCTCCTGCATCTCGTCGAGTGGCTCCAAGGACCGCGTGGGGCCAGCTTCCGGTACGACCGGCAAATTTGGCTGCGACCGATTGACCCCAGACTGGTTAGACTTGGTATCCAGAATCGACGGGTCCAAAATCGACGGGTCCAGAAGCGAAGCCACAGCGGACTCGATGGCGATCGGATGGATAAACCGGGGATTTGCACCGATCCCCTCGGCAACAGGGCGACCTTGGTTCGCCGTTGCCATGAAGTCGACTTCACTGTCATCGGCATAATTGCTTAGATGCTTAGCGTCGGCACTCAGGGATTCCGCCATCGAGTGTGGATAGAGATCCTCTTCTCCCTCAGATTCATCAAGCCAGTGTTGGTCTCTCATAGATTGTGGAGACAGCACAGAAGATTCCTCATAGCCAAGATCTGGGCCAGCCTCTTTCTGGTTTCGAAGGATCTCACTCTGGCTCACCACGCTGATGCCCTCCGGGCGTTTGGAGCGGGCGAGGCTTGTGCTGGGAGCTGAGGAAAGCGAGTCAATGGAAAGGCGAGGCTCAAGCTCATTTTCGTCTCCAGAATACCCCCGGGGAAGGTGTTGCGTTGCGTTGAGTCTAACATGGGATTCGCTCTGGTTGCTCGCAACGCTCTGAATTGGGCTGAGAGCACGCCTGGGGCTGAGATGATCGCCCGAATCAAGCTCAGGGTGATCCAAATGGGCATCCAGGAGATTGGCGGCGGCGGCGGCGGCGACAGCGCCAGCGGCCGCTTCTCCCGGAGGAGAATGACTCCAATCACGATGGCCATTGTCCGAGGCGCTGTGAATTGACAAGTTATGGCTGGACATATTACTGTGCTTCAGCGCGAGGTCATGTCGGGAGCCAAGAGGAGTCCGATTTGGGGTGTGGGGGCCGACCGAGGCGCGGAGAAATTCTTCGTGGGTTTCAGGCTCTAGCGTTCGCTCAGACAAAAGGGAGTTCCTCGTCATGTCCGATTCAATTGCACTGCGTAGCGGCATAGGTGCTATATTGTGTTTCTGGAACACCAACTCCGTTTCATTGATGCCTTTCGGCGCCCGCTCTTCCATTTCGTCGTATTTGTCAAGACTTGAACGTGAATCATGGTGCTTGAGATTGGCGGCCGTCAGTCTACTTCCAACAATTGCGGCCTTCTCAGCATCGCGCAAGCCTTTACTCCGCTGCCGGCGAATTTTGTCTTGCTCAGTCAACTCTGGTCGAAGACCCCTCACGTAGCCCGCATCTGTGGTGGTTGCCTGGCTATCCCTGCTCGCCCTCCGCTCTTTCTGCGACGAACCAGAATCGCCCGCAAGGGTGATGCCCTCATCTTGACTATCCTGGTTGAGAACAATCTTGGGCTTTCGGACATCAGGCGCACTGGCATGCTTAGACAGTCGCCTCCCGAGCCCATCCCGAGGGGATGGAGAGCTGGCTGACGAGTACGACGCATTCACGTCCCGCTCGAATTTCGATGTGTTGGAAATCACCTTTTGGTCTTTCTTGAGCTCCTTAAGTTCCGGTAAGATCAACCTGCGGATAGCATCTTCGACAGTTTCCAGGAGCTTGGGGTTGTTGAGTGAAGATTTGGACGTATTGGAGCGGAAGGAGTACTGGTCACCCGAACGACGGTGAGAGGATACAGCGGAGGCGCTGAGCAAACTGGACTCGGGGCTGACCATATCGTCGTCTTGTGGATAATGATAATGATAATGATGATGTCCACGGCGCCGTGGAGATTTCAGATCCGCCGCCTCTTGGAGGTCTCTGTTCTTCTCCGAGCGGTTACGTTTGCTGGAAACCTCGCGAGGGTAATTACTAAGTTTCTCTGCTGCGCGTGCTGCGATACGTTCAGTGCTCAGGCTACGGCTCCTTTGTCGAGTGGGAGTCTTCAGGTAGTCTTGGGGCTCTTCACTCGCTTCTCTCTCCAAACTTTGGCTGCGTTTCCGTCGTGGACCAGACGATGGAGCTTCTAGCATGCTATCCGCCGGCATCGACGAGATATCGGAAGTTGGGAGGTACCTGCGGTCACGAGACAGACTGGAGAGCTCGCTGGCCTGGTCACGATTCAAAAGCTCGATTTCCACTGGACCGGAATGGCGATTCTCATCGGTAGCTGAATTAGAGGAGGTATAACTTTGGTCATCGGCGCCAGTCTCGACGGACTTGTGCTTGGAGGGAGAGCCTAAGGAAATCCGGCGGGAATAAGCAGGCCTCTTGTTGCCGCTAGACTCGGTGATATGGATACTTGGGTCCTTTGACTTCTTGCCTGATGATGGAGTGACTCGAACGCGGACACTGGGTCGGGAGACTATTGAGCCAGAACCCTTCCCACCCTCGAAGTACTCGATGAGCAGGGAGGTCTGGGAGTGATGCGCCGAGCGGGACAGTTTGGACTCGTCCCCTCGGACGCGGTGTTTCCGATGAGTGGAAATTGTGACGGGTCTCCCGTCGTCCGGGATAGAATAGGACGTCTTGTCTGTGCGGCGAGAGATGTCAGTTGCCAAATCAGTGCCTGTAACACTGCTGCCAGTAGTGTCGATAATAGATTCTGTGGGGGCTGGTAGGATGGGTCTGCGGGTGTCGATGCCCATGACGGAGGAAGAATGAGAGAGGTTCCTTTCTTTATGATGTTCTTTCTTCAACAAGACCAGTTCATAGTCGGTCCACTTTTTTTTTTCTCTCTCTCTCTCTCTCTTTTCCCTAGTTCCTATCTTGAAGAGAAAAAGATCTTTTTTTCTCCTTCCTCTCTCTCTCTCCTTTAGGGTAGGGGGATATAGTAGGTAGTCTTAACAGAGAAATTGCAGGGGAAGAAAGCGGGCAAGGGAATTGGGAATTGGGGGATGACCTGAGCCCCAGATGTTAACAGTTGGAGTGATACTACAGATCGGATTGAACGATACGCAGCTTTCAGGACAGCGGGAAGGTCATGATGAGGAATGGAGGAGAGTAGGAAAAGTGGGGGTGGAGTGGATGAGTGAGGAATGTGACGATGGATGGATGTGGATGTCAGGTGTTAGTGGAGGTAGAAAGGAAAAGTAGCGTACCAGCGCAGACGAATCGCAGCGTAATAGGGAGCAAGAGAGGATCGAGGGACAGGAGAAGCAGAGACGAACAATGAATTGAAGGAAGATGGAAGATGGAAGATGGAAGACAGACGATGGAGGGAAGATGCAAGATGGATGGAGGAAGAATTCAGCCGCTCACAATCCTGCCGTCGTGATAAGGCAACATCAACAATAACCGGCTGTGGGTGTCGGAGAATCACCAGACCAGGATCTCTGCACAGCAGCCACCAGCAAGTAATAAATAAAATAAAATAAAAAAAGGGGGGGCCAGGGGGGGGGGGGGGTTGAGGTGGAAATGGAATCTCAATTAAATTCAAGAAGAGGAGAGTTTGTACTCCGTAAAAAAAAGAGAGAAACTCAAGGATTTGAGGACGGAGTAGAGGGGGAAAAAAAGAAGGCTGGGAAGGGAAAGCAGGAAAAAAGTCATCCAACTAACAAAGAACGAACGATGCGCTGGACTGGCGAATCCGAGCCTGTAGAGGATTTCTTTAGTGGCAAGCGACAAACACTATCCCGTTAGAATAATTGATATCCAGCCATTTGTATTCTCCGTGAGAGAGCAGAGAGGAGGAGAGTTTCCCTTGCCTCCCGGTCCCTCAGGAAAAGAGTTATTATTATATACACAGCCATGATTCATCCCTCGTCCACATCATCATAAACCGTCCTTCTCTTGTCGTGGTTTCCATTGGAGTCTATTCCCACGCAAGGCGAGAGGACATGCTTCTCTTCTTACGTGGATAAGTAGTATCCAGGCTCTCTGGTGGTCAAGCAAGAGGTTCGCTTTGGGTACCATTTATTGCCCTGCGATTATTATTTGTTTCTTTGATCTCTGGTTAATTGTTTCCTCGTACAGTATACTATTCTACCTGGCGTAGGGGATCTATCTGCTAAACTGGTAACGAAAGAAAGAGTCGAAAAATGGTGCAACCTCGAAATGTGATCTGTACGCTGTCTGCCCAGTGACTGTAGGACAGATGTCGAGACACTTTGCCTTACACATGAAACACTGAGGATACCTGATCAGGGGCTGCTTAGGTACCAGACAGAGATCTTCTTCTTCTTCTTCTTCTTCTTCTTCTTCTTCTTCATTACGGTGTACAACGCTCCAGTTCATCAGGGATTCAAAATCCAGAATACAAAATCTAAGCCGCTGTGCACACACCCACACCGCGCATCCACTTCCACGTCTCCAGGACGACCGTCTATTGGCAATCCTGCTGCCAACACATCCATCCCATCACATCACATCTGTCAACTCGTCACCCGTTGTTTCATTGGTAGGGATTTCCCTCGTTGCACCGGGCAGACAGAGAGGCATTGGGCTCGGGGACAGGCACGGGCAAATAACTAATGCCAGAGGAGATCTTGAATTGCTTCCCAGCCACCTACCAGCCACCTGTAATCAGCCCGAAGCCAAATCCAATCACTTTACAATATACCCGGAATGCGAACCGTGGAACCGATTTAGTACCTAGGTACCTGGTATCCTTGGTTCTGTACACTCTATCTGTACTTACCTAGGTACTTGGTGGTAGGTAGTATATGTTGTATATAGACAAGACAAAATCCACCCCTCAGGAACAAGATTAACAATCCCATTTATTTCTTTTCCCCTTACATCTCCTCGTGGCACCTTGCAGCATGCTAACTATATTTAGTTTATTCAGTCCCAACAACTCTCCCGACCTATGTATGCAGGTAGCTGCTACCTAAGTAGCTATGAAGAGATTCCCTCGACACGGAGAGAAACTTCCGATTAAAACTCCTCCGCCCTTGGTTTATTGCATCGCCCTTACTTTACCTGCGTCTCATTTGATTTTCATTGAGCAGGTACAAAGTACTGTACTGCACTAACAACATTCGTGGAATCAGCCCGACAGGCTACCTACAAATCGGAAAGGAAAGGAGAAGAAAATACCCAAGAGACTTTGAGGTAAAATCATACTGGGATTCAAGTCTAAGATGATATAATAGAATAATATGGAAAGAAACCCAATCGTACACAATGAACTCCGGGACCTTATGCCAAATTCACACAGCAGCGCTGGAAATCCTTTTTGTTTGTTGTTTCCCTTCTTCCTCTCCTCTTCCTCTTCCTTCCTATAAGCAAGCGCAAAAAGATACAGAGAAGATCAATTAATCGTCATCGTGCCTTCGCTTAAACTTCAACCCTTTATTATTCTTGGGTTGGCTACCGTAGGTCCGTCGTCCCTGTTGCTGCTGCTTCTTATCCCGGCTCAGACTGGATCCAAGCTGAATGTCGATGCGGGGGGGGGTCGAGAATCCGAATCCCTTGGCGACCTTGACGAGATCGAGCTTGTGGACGTCAAACACGGACCGCAGCGAGTGCGAGGCATAGGCTTGGAGGTAAGAGCGGTAGCCTTCTTTGGCGGACTATACAGATGTTAATAATGATAAGAATGAGGGTGCTTAGAAAAAAAAAAAAGAAAAAAAAGAAAAAACTTACCTTGTTCAAGTAATAGTTCTGTCCGATGAGTTTCTCAAGTTGGGACTGGACGTTGACAATCTTCGAGGCTGGGAACTCAAACTCCACGACGGGCACCCGGGCCTCTTTCAGGTACTTCAGGAACCCGACTTCGGAGGGTTGCAGGAACATCAGACTGCGGCCCTTGCCGTTCACACCACGGGCGGTACGACCAACACGGTGGACGTAGTCGCGGGTGTCATCTGGGGGGTCGAATTGGATGATCCAGTCCACGGCGGGGATCTACGGAGGCCGGTTAGATTTAGTCCATCAGGAAAGGGAAGAAAGAAAAAAGCGTACATCCAAGCCTCGCGCGGCGACATCGGTACAGATTAGGACCCCTTGTTTCGCGTTGCAAAATTCAAAAAATGTGTTAGTTCGCTTCTGCTGCTTCTGCTTTCCATGCAAATCCAGAACGGGTAAATCAATGTAGTTGAGGAGTTCTGCGTGGTACTTGACGCAGTTACAGCTGGAGAAGAAAACAATGATCTTCTTCTTGAGGTTGCGCTTCAAGAACGAGAAGAGCAGCAGGAACCGCTTGTCAGCCTCACAAATAACGTAACCCTGCTCGAGTCCTTCCACGGTACTGTGTTCCTTCTTGTGGTCCACATTGATATACAGAGGTCCAGGTCGGAGCGATATGCGGGCCAGATCTTCGACTTTGGTGGTTTGCGTAGCGGAGAACAGCATCGTCTGCCTCTCTTCCGAAGGCAGAATCTTGACGATCTGGCGCATTTCATCCTCAAAACCGACTTCCAGAATCCGATCCGCCTCGTCAATGACAAGCGTCTTCAGGTTCTTAAACACAAAGCCCGGGGTGTTCTGAAGGTGATCCAGCAAACGTCCGGGTGTAGCAATGAGCAGGTTGACACCCTTGGCCAGCTTCTCAGCCTCTGCGCGTCGATTTGCGCCTCCAATAACGATACCGTATGTCTGGCTGTGCGCGCTGAGAAGTTCCCTAGCGACTCCAAAAATTTGCAGCGCCAGCTCACGAGTCGGAGAAACCACGAGGACACCGGTACCTATTAACCAGATTGATTAGTCCCAATGCTACCATCGAAAGAGAAGTTGTCCAAACGCACCATTTCGAGGCTTAAACCGCAGCGCACTGAGCATCTCAATGGCAGGGATCAAGAAAGCCAGCGTCTTGCCCGATCCGGTCTTCGCAGCTCCCAGCACATCACGACCAGCCAGAAGCGGGGGAATCGTCCGCTGCTGAATTTCAGTCATTGTCTCGAATCCCATCTCCTTGATACCCTGCAGTGTCTTTTCCGACAGATTCAATTCGGTGAATTTCTTCGGGCCACCATCCGTCTGCGGCAAACTGACAGCCTCTACAGAGGGAAGGTCTGTCACAATTTCCTCATCAGCCTCTTCCTCTTCCTCCTCCTCCTCTTCCTCATCACCATTCTCCTTAGACACATCCTCCTCCTCATTAGACGAATGGCTCACTTTCCGCTTCTTCTGAGCCTCCTCCGTCACAACCTTCTTCGCAAGCTCAATATCCTTCTGCTTTTTACTCTTCTTCTTAGAAGCCATCTCCCCACTCACGCCATCCTTCTCCCCCACCAGCTTGGGCGCAGAAACTTCGACATCGGAGGCATTCTCGTCGATTGCTCCGCGAGCATTTCCATTTCCACCGTGCTTTCTCTTTCGCTTCTTCGAAATAGATTTCGCAGTATCCACAGGGATCGGCATCTTTTTTTCAGTACTTTCTTCAAGCCGTTTGTCTTTCAACTCTTTCAGAAAAAAATATCTCCCGTGGAGAAAAAAAAAAGATTTTGTTGCTCTTTCGTTTTTTTTTTTTTTTCCCTTTCCGCCTCCGCATCACGTGATGATAAGATAATCGGATTTAGGATATATGCCTGAGGCATGAATCCCTTTTCTGCGATAGTACTTTACTTTAGGGACGGAGTAACTATAGATAATATAATGGTGGAAAGAAAGGCCATCGTTGATTTTAAAACGTGCCTTTTCCACCTTACGAGAGTTGAACTTGACTAGTTGTACCTATCTTGCCTTAACTCCTGCTAAGTTGGATAAAGGGTCGGCCTATCGAGAGTACTGCGAAAATCAGACTGACGAGAAACTGGCGGATTCAACTAGCGAAGGATGACTATATGCCGACAGTACATGAAGGTTTTTTGAGGCAGAAGTCCTTCGGTGGCCACCTTCTATTGTTAAGAGGAAGGGAGTGAATTACAGGACGTGAAGCACCCGAGGATCCGCTCTGGTGAGATCCTCTTCATGTCAGTGGTCTTACCACTGTTGCCTATCTGACTGGAATTCTCTTACTTTACCGTTCAGCTAAAAAGGTGTCAAGACGGTCATTTCTAACTGATGCAGTATTATCTTGGTCCACAGATTCTTTCATATTGTCCGAGTCAGGGGGACTCCTGCTTCGGGTAAGACAACTATCATGAATCTGTTGGCCAATAAGTTGCTTGAATATGACCCGGAGACACCTCTTTACGTCTTGTCTGGTTGGGATAAAGACACGGTGAAGGATGCATCGGGCTGGGCTGGTTATCCCAAACAACAAACTGGTCTGTCCATGGCCGCTCCTGGTTGATAAAGCAAGCGTATCTCCTTATCGACAAGGCCCAACAGTCTTATTGGAACGACGAGCTATGGGCGGATTTATTTAAAAGCTGTTGGACCAGTATCTCAGGCATATATTGTCCTCTTCACGTCTTATGGCTCTTCAACTAGGGGGTTTCCAGGGTTCGAGCAGAAATATATCAAGACACCCATGGTTTTCCCCTATTGGACAGCAGATATTGCTCAGGGCCAATGCTAATATAAATTCACCGTCACCGCAGAATACGGAGTATACATAGTGTAGATATCTATACCTAGCCTAGGAAAGCTGGTGTAGAGGAACTGTCCCCGAGTATTTACTAGTTAGTCTTCGTAGGTATGCACAGATCTGCAGTGTCTTTCGTGCAGAGCCCCGCTGGTGTCCCCACTGATCCATCTCTGACTGGCTGTGAGAGGCCAGATTCTGTCCACGATGAACTTTGAAGTGTGAAAATACTAGGTAGTAATAGAGATATGCCAACTCCATGCACAACCTCTCAAGGATATGGGCAAATCAGGAGCAAAAAAAAAAATTAGAAAAAAAAAAAAAAAAACTCGGATGAAGCGGGACGGGAAGCGAGCGGGGACGGGGTCGGAAGAGATTTCGAGAGTAATTTGAGAGGAGAAATTAACGACTGTGTTGTGAGAACAGATTCTTATGGTCTGAGCGGTTTCCACTGTTCGACTGGTGATTCTGGTTATGTTGAAAGGAAGAGTGAGGAGAATATGATCATGCTTGTTGGTAGTATATTCCTTGTCACTCCAAGTCCACAGACCAAAGTGACAGACAACATAATGGGAGAAGCGCACGGATCTACAGTGGTGATGAGAATCTAGATATTTTTTTCATCTTAATCTTGGAATTTTCCCTGTTCCTTGCACGTGTGGGAAAAGACTGAGACACGGTCAGGAGTGGCGTCCTTGAGAGAGTCTATTTCAAATGATGATTTGAGAGAAGAGGGGGCTGTGCAGAGAAGAACCAAAGTCTTTTGTCTGTCTGGCTTGGACCAGCGGTTGGGAGGATGGCGACAACGCCACTACAAATTCCAGGTTCTTGATGAACAAGAAAAGTGTGGTTAAGGGTTGTAACATGTAATAGAGATATAAGACATACATACTCTGGAGTAAACCGTAAAACTGAAGTTTCAAGTGTAGGATATTAGTTAGTTATTAGTGGGAGGTTATTAATAGAAAGGTGAGAAATAGTTTACATATGACACTATTAGGCAGAAAGAAAACTGCAGTTCTTGGCAGGAGAAAAGAAAGGTGAGACTAGTAATACAATAACCCAAAAAGTATCACAAAATTTAATCTCTAGACTAGATTATAATTATAATTATCAGAATGGAGTAATTCAGTAGTGGAACAAATCATAGTAGGATCCAGATTTGCAGTGGGTATAACTGTATGGGAATCATCCGCATCCGGGCCCAGAACCAACCCCCCTGAGGACGCGCATGCATATATATGAATAGTGGAAGAAGAAGAAGAAAAGAATATACTATGAAGAGAAAAAAAGAGGAAAGAGAAGAAGAGAAGAAAAGGTCGTATTCGTAATTGATGGTAAAGGTTACTTTGCCGCTGTCCTCCGTGGGCAACGTAGTAATTCGTTCCAGTCCAGTAGTAATCTGCGTCATCTTTCTTTCTTTCTTTCTTTCTTGCTCTCTTGTTCCCCTTCTCATCCTCTTTTCTTCTTCAGTCTGGTATTAACCACTTCTCTATATTAGAGCATGATACAAGATTAATTAATTTCCTTTTTTAATTGGTCTGCGTGGTCTCTCCTCGCTGTCGTCCCCTGCTGACTCAGCCCCTCGAGGGTCTCCAGTTTTGTTTCAACGCATTCCGAACCGTCTCTCCTCCAACCACGACCTCTTCTCCCCTGAAGATTCACCTTCTTCAACTCCATCAATTCCAAGAGTGGGAGAACGGCGCTCTTCTCTTCTCTCTTTCTCTCTCTCTTCTTCCTTTTCGTTCCCTTCGTTTGACTTCACCTATTCCCCCCCCCCCCCACCCCAGGTTTAAGGAGGCCCTCCATCCCGTCCCAGCCTTCTCTCTCTCTCCTTCTCTTTATCCCTCGACCGGCCATACTGTGTGTCGCCGCCCACACTCGCTTTATTCAATCAACCCTACCTACCCACTCTCGACCTTCACTCCGAATCCCTCTTCGCTTCAACTTTCGCTGCTTCCATTCTTTTCATCGACTCCTTTTGATTCCCGCCGTTTCTTCGCGCCAGACAGTCCTTCTCTATCCATGACATTGTGAACAGGAAATCACAATCCCACCATTTTGCAAGAATTAACCCTTCTACCTTTCGTCGACTTGTTCTCAACCCCATCCCCCGCTCAAAATCCGGCCATTTGCTCTCGCCCACGAGTTCAACTCTTACAGGCTTCCGCATCCGGTGTCGCCAAGCTCCCGTCACCTCACCCTTCTCCACCATTTGTCTTTTGTTATCGCGAAAGAATCTCCTTTTTTTTTTTTATTATAAATCGCCTGACATTCCTCAGCCTCTATTGGCGCCACCTTTGATTCGGCGCCAAAATGCGGTTCATATCAGTCTTGGTCTGTTTTCTAGCCGCCCTCCTCAACTCTCCTCTCGTCACGGCCACGAGGCTCATTGAATCCAACGCTCTCAACCTCTGTCAAGATAGCACGAATTTTACCGCTACCTATTTCCAAGTCAAATATACGCCTGATAATAATACGCTCACGATCAGTTTCGATGGAGTTGCCTCGATTTCCGGATATGTCCAGGCCGAGATCATCCTCGATGCCTACGGTTATACCGCTTTAAAGAAAACGTTTAATCCGTGTGATATGGACCTCCAAGGTCTTTGTCCCATGAATGCCGGTTCTATTAATGTCGAAAACATTCCATTGGATCTCCCAAGTGATGTCTCGAGCCAGATTCCTGGTAGGCAATCCCCCTTGACCTTGAATCTCTTATAGATGTACCCAACTCATTCATTCTCGCAGGCATCGCATACAGTGTTCCGGACTTGGATGCCTCTGTCCGTATTTATATTAACTCTACTTCAACCGGTCAAAGTATTACCTGCTTGGAGGCTAGTCTCTCAAATGGCAAGACTGTGTACCAGAAGGGAGTTGGTTGGGCGACCGCCATCATCTCTGGCCTGGGTTTGGCCGCCTCGGCTATTACATCGGGTCTAGGTCATTCGAATACAGCCGCACACGTTGCCGCTAACGCCCTTTCTCTGTTCGGTTTCATGCAGTCGCAGGCCATGATCGGCATGACCGCAGTTCATATGCCGCCGATAGTGCAATCTTGGACCCAGAATTTCCAATGGAGCATGGGTATTATCCATATTGGCTTTTTGGAAGATATCTGCACTTGGTACCAGAGATCGACCGGTGGTACCGCCACGACCCTTCTTTCGGAGCTCTCCACAACTTCAGTAGAAGTCCTGAAAAAGCGTTCCATCGATGTTGTAGCCGGCATCGCCCGGAGATCTACCAATTCACTTCTCAAGAGGGATGGTGCAGAGTCAGAGAAGGCGACCTCGGAAAATACCGTCGTGCGTGGCATTGAACGTGTAGGATTTGTCGCAGGAATCGAAAAAACCAACATTTTCCTGACCGGTCTCATTTTCTTCGTGGTCTTCGTGGCTTTGGTGATGCTTTTAGTTGTTCTCTTCAAAGCAGCATGCGAACTTCTCGCAAAGAACGGCAAAATGAAGAGTGACAAATTCCAAGATTTCCGAAACGGCTGGAGGGTCGTCGCACGTGGTATTCTGTTCCGGTTGACCCTGATCGGTTTCCCCCAGATGACAGTTCTTTGCCTCTGGGAGTTTACTCAAAAGGACTCGGCTGCAGAAGTTGTCCTTGCGGTGGTCATGCTCGTCTCCATCGTCGCGGCTTTGTGTTGGGCGTCCTTTAAGGTCATTAGTCTCGCAAAGCGCTCGATCGTGATGCACAAGAACCCTGCGTATATTCTTTACTCCGACCCAACTTGCTTGAACAAATGGGGGTTCTTGTATGTTCAGTATCGGGCAACCGCATACTACTTCGTTATCCCCTGGCTCGCTTATCTCTTCATCAAGGGCATGTTCATCGGGCTCAGTCAGAAGGCCCCTGTTGTGCAAACGGTTGCTTATGTTATCATTGAGGCTGCCATGTTGATCGCGGTTAGCGTTCTGCGACCATGGATGGACAAGAAGACCAACATTTACAACATTGCCATCGCAGCGGTGAGCTTCTTGAATGCCATCTTCCTTCTATTTTTCTCCAACGTCTTCAATCAGCCTGGCCTGGTAACAGGTGTTATGGGCGTTGTCTTTTTCGTCATCAACGCGGTTTTCGCACTGGTTCTCTTGATTCTCGTCCTAATCGCGTCTATCTACGCCGTTGCTTCCAAGAACCCCGATACCCGCTATCAACCCATGAGGGATGACCGTGGCTCCTTTATCAAGTCTCAAACCCAGCTGACTACCGAACTGGACGCCCTGGGTGCCACTGCCCGTGGAGATGTCAAGACCACTGCGTATAAATCTAGTCCTTTTGAAGATGACAACACTTCGTTCTCCAGTGGAAATGGCGCGAGTGTCGGCCGCCAGAATCTTGACCCGAACCAAGGAAACCCACCAACAGCTCACCAACCCCCTCACTCCCCGGTTGACCCATCACTTCCACTCTTCCCCAGCGATCACTCTGCTCCGCGAGCCCCCCCTAGTTACGATGGCAACATTGCCCCGTCACAGTCACCCGTTCCGCGAAGCTTCACCTCCTCGCCGTTCCAAGGCTCATACAGAGCACAGAACAACCCCAGTCCATGGCAACGAGGAGCGGGATACGACCATTAAAATTTCTCTATGAATGCTTGATTGCTTTACATCAGAAATGAAGTTATGGCCGAGTACGGGAACGGACTGACTACTCGACCCGTGCTTTATTGATTTTCTTTTCTCTCCGTACCCTCGTACTGTAGCATTTTTTTTTATTATTATTTAGTCTTGCTCCTAGTCACCTGCACTGGTTTCGATTTTTTTTTTTTTTTTTTTTTTTTTTTTTTTTTTCCCTTTTACTTGCGTATACTGTGATATACTTGGAAAACCTTTCCTTTGGCCTCGATTCCTCTACTGTCATTTCCACCTCACCAGGATTTTCTTTTCTTTTCTCTTCTTTTCTTTTTATACTCGGCGTTCTGAAGCATTGGATCTGGAGATCTGGACTTGGGTTTGCGGACTATTGTGATATATTTCTGGCAGGGTCTCTATCCGATGCCCTTGCATTGTTTGATTTCAGTTATGGAAGAAACCATAATAATGCAGCAAGCAGCGCCTACTGAAGTAGGCCGAAGCTTAGATTCACTTATATTTCATCTCATACGTATTGCGTACTTTGATTTGATACCCTTTCAGATTCCATGAGCTCTTCAATTTAACCCGAATAAAGTCGGTTAATTACTCTCTGTCTGAAACAAAACTCAGTTGCAAAAGGGTATGTATGATTTATCTTTATCAACTCGATATTACCCTGGTAATTCCAGTATCTCAATCACAATTCTCAGTCGGCTGTTCTCCAACTTTTTGAATTCCAAGATGAAATGAAAGAAAAAAAAAAAAAAAGATCTAGTAGTTTCACAGAAATGTACGATGAAAAAAGAAAAGAGAGAGAAAAAAAAAAAAAAAAAAAAAAAAAAAAAAGGGAGAACAGAAGATGAATAAAACGATCAAAAGAAAATTCATCGCTTCTCTCCCAATCCTGGTGGCGGGCCAGAAAACGACGGAGGCGGCGCATACCCACCGCCCTCGCCACCAAATTGACCGCTAGGGGGACCACCAGGACCAGGACTAGGGCTGAAGCCTACTGGTCCTTGGCCTGCCTGTCCTAGAGCCGGAATGGGAGGGAACCCAGCGCCGGGCGGGGGGATTTGGAAGTTAGGAGGGAAACTGCCGGGAGGAGGAGCGGGGAATGAGGAAGAAGAGGAGGGGCCGGGGGCGCCAGGAGCGTTGGGAAGTGGTGGCATGTTAGGGAGGGCGGGGAGACCTGCTGGCGGAGGGCCGCCGGAGGTAGCGGGGAATGGAGGGGGGAAGGGGAGGCCTCTTGCTCCGGGGGCTGTAACAAAGAAAGAAAGGTGTCTGGTTAGCTTTGGGCTGTTGGCTTTGTTGGATTGTTTTGGGGGGGGGGGGGGGATTTTTTTCTGATGGATGTGGGTGGTGGGAAAGGAGACGTACGAGGTGGCATGCCTGCAGTGTTGTTGGGAGCTCCAGGGGGAGGAATTCCGAATGGAGGGGGAGGGAATTGGCCCGGTAGACCTGAGATTGCATTAGTCTTTCCTTATTTGCTTTCGATAATATAACGAGACAAGAGAGACATACCCGGAAACCCAAACGGAGGGGGATAAGCACCAGGAGGAGCCATAGCAGGGTTCGGAACTGCTTGGCCCTCGGCTGCGTATGAAGAGGTAATCGAGTCGATGACCGATTGTGCTTTTTCCTGTCCGATTTCTGGGTCGATTGTAAGTGTCTGGGGTTGGTTGATATATCGGGGCAGTAGCGCCGTGACCAGTTTCACATACGTTGGTAGTATTCCACAACGTTCCTTAGATGGTTTCGTCCAGAATTATGTGCCTTACGCACACTCATCGAGTCATGCGTGAGATAGACATCGCAGTAGTCGCCTGTACATGGGGGTGAATCAGTACCAAAGCTAAAAGCTGGGAGACATTCGCGTGCAGTCGAGTTGAGACAGAATTGCGGGTACTATAAGCTTGTCTCAAGGGGAAAGAGAGCACCCTGGCTTAAGAGATGAAAAGACCTACAGAAGAGTGCTTCAATGGTTAGTTGAATGGCTCATTAGATAGCTGTGCGGGGATCACCTATATTTTGGCATTTTGGATTGAATTCAAGAGTGAGATGCTTCTAAAAGCGTAGAGGCGAACTTGGCTCGCGCGATGCGCGTGGGATTGATCAGTATCTCGCGGGATTTGCAGAGTGGTGGCTATGACGAAAGTCCGGGAGAAAGAGAGACGTTGATGAAGGAGATTCGATGCGATGAAGGTATCGCGGGGCGGTGTGCAGAGGCATAATATAACAGCTGATTCCTCAGGCTCACAATATCCATGCCTGGCTTACTATAGGGTATTGACTTAACTACTACAAACGACCGTTATGTTGCATTTTGATATTACTCCCCTTGGATTATATGGTAGTTGCGATATTTGTAGTGGTTAGTTGCTTTCTCCTGCATGCCAGAGGTTTCCCCTATTATGTCACCTCGAGAGAGGTGTGAGTATACATCACGTTAAGTTTGATAGAGAAGAAATATTGTCCTCGATATGGCAATGGATGGATATAGAGAACACGAGGGCCTAATGTCGATTAAGTATCGCAACATCTTTGAGCAAGCCAAAGAAAATATTCGGTTTCCTCTTCTCATAAAGAGCGCTCGTGACATGTTGGCGATACGTGAGCGTCGGGGAATTCGACCAGGTCTTAGCTGAATCAGCTTGTGTAGAGGAAATCTGGCCAATTTGCTTAGAAATGATGAAGGGTGATCCCTTCATCTCGGGTTTGGAATGGTCACAATACCTTGTTTTTTCAGCTTTCCAGAATCCAGACTGCTGACCGCCACCAGGGAAGACAAAGAGTAGTTTTTAGACGTCAGGCGAGAATTTATCCGGGGCGAAAATCCGGGGAAGGGGAATTTTTTCCTTTGGCAGCCACGTAGTAGTTAGTTAGTTAGTTATGCAGACTCCTGCGTTCCTTGGTGATCAAAGTGAACTTCCACATCATCCTTTCTCATGACTAAGTCTATTTCAAATCCAATGAAATGATGCCAGCACCACTGATGGGTCTCTTATACTGATTTAATACGAGCCTCCAGGGTTGGTGGTGATCCAGCCCGGCTAAGTCTGGGGTAAATACCGTAAAATACCCTGGTTGACTTAGCGTAGGTCATAGTATTCATCCTCTGTTCATCTAGTTATACCCGAGGTGAATGGCGTCAAATTGCGACTTTCCCGCGGGCGGGCATGTTTTCGACCTACCGAATTTAGACACCCGGAATTTGGGACCTGAACAGTGATGATGAAAAAAGTTACCTACCTTAAGGTACCTTCCTAGTGGAAAGAGAAGATGTCGTGACCAGCAGCCACCAGTTTCCATTACCCCCAGGAAACCACCAAGCAAGACCTTGTGCCCCAGCCAGTCTCATGATTGGCCACCATTCCAGTTTCTGTTACGTTTCGCCACAACCTTGACCGTCTCCGTACCGGTCAGATGATGTTCTGGAGAGTAAAAGCAGCAAGCGATAGAATCCCCGGGAAGTGACCTCCAGCCAATCGTTGTTGGAGTTTCCCTCACCCGAGCACCAATTGGTCCACTGCTGCTTTAGGGTAACCATACCGTATTATGGATTTTATATGGGTATAGACCAAGACCAACAATGAAATGAAGATCCAATTTTGCCCACGGGATATGGAGACAAGTGACGATGAAGAACTCCACTTGGAATCACTGCGTGTGACTTGTGCCTGGAAGGGGTCCCCCTCTTTTTGCCCTTCTAGGCCATGCGTTCCCCGGGACTGCTTTGGGTCTGACCCAACTATATAAAATATAAAATAACTTGTCCCCGCTGCCTAATAGTCCTGTATCCAGAAAAAAAGAATTTTCTACTCGTGGGTCCTTTTCTCTCTCTTGCTTTCCTGCTGCATTCTTGCATCATCGCCGTGAGGAACTAGATACTGGCGCATCAATTGCTTCGAGCACACACACACCACCATTCTCGCAATAGAGCTGCAGTTTTGCGCGCATTCTAGAGAATAGACAGCTAGGATTTCCGGCCTTCATCCTCGTCACCATGCCTCTCAACTACCACGTGATTGAGCCTCACCCGTCCGTCAGCCGTCCAGCTTTGCACACGGCTCGCGGAGGTGCTGGCAATGTCATCAGCCTCAAGAACACCAAAACCACTGACTCCCACATGGCCACCGGCCCTGCCTCGCTCACTCGTCTTGACTCCCACGTCGCACCCACCTTTAAGTCCGGCCGTGGTGGTGCTGGTAACGTCCACAACAGCAGCGAGCGCGCCATCTTCAGCTTCGATGAGGAACTGGAACGCGACCTGCGTCAGGCTGCTCCCGTGTACCACGTTGGCCGTGGCGGCGCCGGAAACATGATCTACACCGACAATGGCAGCATTCTGTCTCGCAAGTTCTCAGCCAGCAGCCAGGGCTCTGCCCGGAGCGCTGGTTCCTCTACCAGTGACCGAGCTCGCGATTTTGCTCTCCGGGGCCTGGAGAAGGGTTGGGGAAAGCTGAAGGGCATGGCATAGACCATTTTATTCTTTGCCTAATCCTGCCTTGACTTTTCTTTTTCATCTCTCTCTCTATATATATATACTTCAGCCCATTCCAGCGCATTATCCAGCGATACCCACGGGTCTCACGAGTCTCACGAATTAACGACAAACCAAAAAAAAAAAAAAAGTTTTCTCCTTTTTTTTTTTTTCTTTTTGTGCCTACCTGCCTGCCTGCCTTTTTTCTTTCAAGATTTCCACATTCGCAACCTTGACTACTATCCATGCCTTTCTGCCCACCTAAACCGCTACCCACTTTAGGTGCGCCACATATTCTTCGCGATTACACATTCTTCGCGATTTTTAATATTTTAACTTATTTTTATTATTATTACAACACAACATGCCTAAATCTCCAGATTTCAATAAATCTTACTTGCTTGAAGCTATTGTCATAGTTTAAAAGTAAAAAAAACCAAATATCACAAAGATTACACGAGAATTTAATATGCCTGACTCTATACTCCAAACACGCCTTAAAAAACCAAAGATACTAGTAATACTAATAATAATAAATAAGAACCTTCTACAGTTATATCAGGAGAAGGTCTTAATTAACTAGATTATATAAATATAGAAATAAAATATTCTACTAACTCCTATAGTTATTATAGCATGAGTAAATTAGATACTTGCTTGTATGAAGTTAGATAAGTAAGTTAGTAAGATATAGCTATATTAATTTAAATTATATATATTAGTAGATCTAGGACTTGCTCTAGTAAAGTAAAAGACTAAGGAATTAAGGTAAATATAAGTAGAGGATACTAGCTTACTTTAATACTAGTATAATCTTTTAAAATTACTTCTTTACAGGGTCCTAGCTTGCCTTATCTATAACTTTAATAAATATAATTTCTAATTAGGTAAAGATTATAATAAAAAGGTTTTTAAGGGTCCTAAATACCTTAATCTTATAGAAAATAAGTAAGGTAAAAATATTACTATAGTTAAATATATTACTATAGATAGTTAGGTAATAGATTTATTTTTTATTTTTAAAGTAATAAGTAACTATATAAAGGTCTAGTATTATAATATAGAATAATTACTACTTAAAATAATAATAGTAATATTCTTAAATAATTAGATAATTAATAAGCTTGCACTTGCCTGGCTATATTAATTTAATATTAAAATAAAGTATTCTAATTATACTAAGCAAGGCAAGAAATAATATCTAATATTTAATAGCTATAGCTTATATCTTATACTTAAATTTCTATAATACTATAAGAAAAATAATATTATTTCCTTTAATTTTATAACTTATTTAATATATCTCTACTAATCTCTTAATAAAAAACCTTTTCTTACTTATAAGACTAATTTTTACTTTAAGAATAATAAGCTATCTTAATAGGGGGGTAAACTATATAAAAAAGTAGAATTCTTAAAAATTATCTAGCTAATCTATAATTAGATCTTTTACTAGTAAATTATTTAAGATACCTTTAAAGAATATGGTATCTAGCTAGTTAATAGTACTAAAATTATTAAAAAACTAGTAAATTAGATAGATATACTAGATATATTAATTAATCTTTATTAAACTTTATCTCTACTACTATTATTATTCTCCAGTATTAAAAATAATCTTCCAGTAATAATAAAGACTCTTCTAAAGAATTAGGTAAAAATTATAAAGGAATTTAATAAGGTATCTAACTAGGTAAGATAGAATATATTAAAACTCTTTTAATATCAGGCAGAGAAGCTTAAGGAGCTAAAAATAACCTAGGAAGTAATTTAAAGGATTAGGGCTATATAAGAGCCTTAATACTAGGTTTATATTAAGTACTAGATTAAAGGTCTATTTAGTAATAGGGTTCTAAGAATTTATAATACTATTTAATTAATTAAAGATAAGAAGGCAAAGGATGCTAAATATAAGTAAAGAAAATTAGTAAAGTAAAAAAAAAAAGTATATAATTCTCTACTTTCTCTACACTCACAAGAGTTAATTTAAAGAGGAATTAATAATATAAGATATATTAAAGAAGCTAGAGAGTTTTTTTATTTTAATTACTAGTATTATTATTATTATATAGCTTTAAATATTAAAAAATCGCGAAGAATGTGTGATCGTGAAGAATGTGTGGCGCACCTAAAGTGGGTAGTGGTTTAGGTGGGCAGAAAGGCATGGATACGTCTTTAATCTTGATTATGTCATTGTCAACTACTTACTCAATCCTATGATCCTCTTCTTCTATCTTTTCTGTCCTTTAAACAAACGCGCACACCACATGACATCAAAATCTATGATACCCCAGTTACTGAAAATATCCTTTCACTTTCACTTTTATTCTACTGTGTTATGCCCTTTTGGGATGATTCCCCCCCCCCACTCCCTCCTCCTGGGGCTAGCACCCCTGTATACCCAAATCTGAAGTTAGCACTGGGCTTGAGTCTATTCTCATGTATCCTTTTTTTTTTTTTTTTTTTTTTTTTCAATCGGGGCGATATGGATATATATGGTTTTAACAACCATCTCACTGCTAGGTATCAGTCATAGGTAGTCAGTCAGTCAGTCAGTCATGTATCTATCGAACTATTCTACTCAACTGGAAATACAAAAAACAATTACAAAAAGCCGCTTTTCTCGCTTTGGAATTGTAACTAGCTCACTCACTCACTCACTCACTCACTAACTAGTTAACTATAAACTCGATGATCTCCTGACTCATATCCTATCTCTTCATGTGTACTGTACGGTACCGTACCTAGCGCCTAGCACTAGCTCTACCGTAGTGGAAGGTTTCAAGTTACAACGCACTATGTAAGATATCATAGTATTGCAAGTTGTCAAGTATATTTCAGGTCCCTTCCTGGGTAGTACTACTGAAAAGTAACCCTCACTACCTGGAAGTTCAACTTCACGTAGGAACTGGAAATGCTGTTTATATATAGAGGCTGTAGTAAGTATATCTATTCTACACCCAATTCCATTATTTACATGAATAATTCAGGTCTTCTCTCTACCAGGAGGTTAAGAAGAGACAGCAATAAAGAGAAGAAAATTAAACAAGAAAAAAAATCAAAGGTATAGAAACATCTACTATCCGAGGAGAACTTGCAAGATACCAAATTTCTATACCCGAATCAAGTCGCCGATTATAAACGCACCTCTGGAGGGAAGTAAGGGATAGTCTGATTGGTGTAGGTAGGTAGGTAGGTAGAGAGTATGATGCATGTGCATGTGCAGCTGGAAGTAACCGTCTGGAGGCTCTTTCCTTTCAGTAAGTGTGAATGTGAATGTAAATAACATAGATGTATCGGGAAAGATTCAAAAAGGCTCACGGCAGTAGGAGGTAGTATGGATGATATTAACAGGACCTCAAAAGGAGAATATGGGGTATCAAAAGCGGCTATGTTCCCGTTCCAAGGTGCATAGCCAAAAAAAGACTGCTGGATCGTTTCTTCTGCTGACGTATTCATAGTATTTGGTGGGGGTTTTTTTTTTTTTTTGGTAACGATAAATCCAACTAGGAGTCCGTTACCCAATGGCGAGTTCTTATATTGGAAGTTGACCACGCCTTGCATAATGTTGATATCTGTTGTTGAGATGCAACGGCGAGATGTTTAGGCGAACTTCCGGTGGATGATCTCAGGGTCTTCGTGCCACTCATCTGCGCTAACCCACATCTATAATGCCATCAGTACCGAGATCCACGTTAAACAATGGGCAAGCAGAAAGTTTACCTTTCGGAATGTGCTCAAGCCAGCGAGAATACCGCCACCAATCCAGGTCGTGTATTTTCGCTCGGCAGGTGCAGAGATTCGGATCTTCATATCTTCAACAGCTAAACGCTTGATCTCACGCATCAGTCGATCGGGGAAGTTTTTGCACAGAGTCGTTCCTCCAGAAAGGACGATGTTGAGATACAGTGACTTCCGCAGGTCGAGATCGGTACGGGTAATGGCGTCCTGGACAATCTGGTGTACTCCAGGGTATTCCAAGCCGATGAGTTCGGGATCAAAGAGAATCTCAGGGGCACGGTAACGTTCTTGTCCAATCTGCGGGGACGTCAAAACCGATCTTTGCTTCCCTCCAACCTGGTGGCGAACATACCTTGATTTTGTGCCCATCAGGCAAAGCATAGTCTACTGACTTCGACTCCGACTTGTGATAGCTGTTCATCCAGTCCTTCTCCTCTCGCTTCGGATCCAATGAGACATAGCAAACCTTCTCCTTAATCATCCGCACCACCTCCTTTTCCGCACTGGTATGCAACACATGTCCATTTTTCCGGAGCAGCAGCTGCAACTGCTCTGTAACATCTCGACCGGCGACGTCAATCCTTCGAATGCTGTTCGGGATCGCGAAACCCTCAAACACCGGAACTGCATGGGACACCCCGTCCCCTGAATCCAAGACCACACCGGTAGTCCGCCCCGACGCGTAGAGTGACAGCACGGCCTGGATAGACGTATATAGGGCTGGTACGTTAAACGTCTCAAACATAATTTGGGCTGCTGTATCACGGTTCTTGCGCGGGTTGAGCGGCGGCTCCGTCAATAGTACAGGGTGTTCTTCGGGCAGCGTCTTCAGCTCATTCTCGTACACGTAGTGCCAGATTTTCTCCATATCATCCCAATCCGTCACGATGCCATGTTCTAGCGGATACCTGATCTTGAGTAGACCGCGCAATTCCTGGGCTCGTTGTCCGATAAAGACGTCTCCTTCCAGACCACCGGCCATGACCCGGGGGTGTTTTGGCCGACCGACGAACGACGGAAAGTAGCATGATGGGATTTCCTCACCGGCAAATCCAGCACGGATGGTACCGCTGCCATTGTCAATGACAATGGGAGCGTTGTGAAGAGTGGCCTCAGCCATTGTAAGGAGAAAGGGGGGAGGGAGAGGGGAGCGAAAGGCGCGTGGAAGGTAGATTGTTTTGGGAGGAGCGGCGCGGCGGCTTTGTTTGGAGGGCGGCCCCACGGCCTGGCAGCTATTAACGTGGAGGCGTAGATATGGGGAGAGGTAAAAAAAAGAAAAGAAAAGAAAAAGACTTTCGACCAACAGACACGCGAAAAGGATGGTGAGGTCGAAGAATATTAGGCGAGAGACAAGTTAGGACGGGAAGTGGTAGAAAACGAGAGGTGTTGCTCCTTTCTGTGTTGGCTGCGAACTGACCCGGTTTAGTCGGAGCTCGAGAGAAGCTGCCGTCCCCGTCAATCCCTCCAGCTCTTCTACAGCAATTACTTAGAGCTTGGTAGATATACATGGATTGGAATACCTTGCGATTCGAAGGTTTATATGGTTTATTCAAGATTCAAAATCTGCGTTCAATTGATATACAAAATCTGGACCTAAGCATCAACAAAGCATGCACGCCAACTCGCCATTCCACCCTCGTTTTTTTTTTTTGTCTCGGAAGCACTCAAATTAAGGCAAGTAAAATTCAATCCAAGAACCCCAACTCGTCCGCCATCACCTGCCCCAGTGTTGGTGGACGTTTCTGGTTCGGTCCCAATACTGGCGGCCAGGAAAGCATGTGAGACCGTAGTTTCTCAACACGGTCCAGCGCAGAAGTAAGCTCCCTGATGAAATCAGCAAAAATGCCCAGTCAACGAGTTGATAGAGGAGACCCATACCTGTAATCGCTCGAGACAACATATCCCTGCTTCTGGAGCTCGTGGGCAAGCTCTTCTTGGTGGTTATCCTGGAGAGTAGGATTAGGAACTACGAGTAGAGGCACCCCTAGTCGTAGAGCTGCTAGGATACTTCCAGAGCCTGAAGATGGTCACGTCAGTTCAGTCTTAAGAATCAGGATAGAATGGTGACTAGCGAGTCATACCTGCGTGACTGATAATCAATCCACCGCCGCGTCCTTTAGAGGGATTCGACTGCGCTAATCGCATTTCCCGATCCAGGCCAGCCTGGTTAAAGTCGAAGCCTTCAACTATCACCCCGTGACGGTTAGGGTCACCGGGAGGGAATTTGCGGACAAAGTCATCGAAGAGAGTTTGCCCGTCTTTGCCAAACTGGATGAGAAGGTTGGTGTATCCAAACTGGTTTAATGCCTTCAAAAACCTTGGATCCAAGATCGACTGTAACAGAAGATGAAAGGAAGCTGTGGCTCCGACTGTTACAAAACACAGCCTGGCGGGTTGTTGGGCGTTTGATGTCATATTCGAATTCCGGGTTACGTTTTGTCCGGGCTTTTTTGTTTTTTTTGTGGTTTATCGGGGGACAGTCATGGCGGGCCTCTAGACATTCCCGGGGACTACCGACTCAAGACATAAATAACACCCTGAGCATCGACTACAGGAAAGAAAGAGGTGATGTATACTGACAGCTGGTCCAGAAGAATGATTGTAGAGGGAAGCAACTGGCCGGAATAATACACCCGATTGGGACTAGCGCTACCGAGCCGACTTCTCTTCCGCAGAAAAAACAACCGCCGAGTCTCGACAAACCAGCCGAAAAGCATCATTCTCCAACACAATGGCCTCATTAGCAAGGTCTCTGGGCCGTTCCACCTGGGCAGTGGCCCGGAGAGGCCCAATTGCTCTCCCATACCGTTCATTCTCCGCCACCCCGTCAACATTCGTGTCTGAAGATCCTCCCATTCCTGCTCCTCCTCGAGACCCTCGCCCTGAGGACCTACCGCCTGCTCCGGAATACTCGCCTGATCTGCTGACCAAGGAGGAGAAGTCAATGTATGATATGATGGCTCCCGAAGAACGCGAGCAATTCGATACGGAGAACCGCAGGCTCGTGGCAGAGTTCAACGACCCGCAAAAGCGAGCGGCGATGTTTGCGGAGATCGAGAAACGTGTGAATCAGCTGGAGAAGGAAGAACCCATGCGGTTTGACGATGTTCGGGAAAAGTCCCGTGGGTTCTGGGCGGAAGAGGAAGACGACGAGTTCGGTCTTGTCGAGGATGTAGATGATCAATTCAACGATGATGAAATTACCTCTATGGCCCATGCGGAGGTCGAATTACACCGTGAGATGAGGGAATACGCCCGAATCACTGCCTGGGACATGCCCTTCTTGAGCAGTAAGAAACCCTTGTCCAGCCTCGCACCAGATATAGAAAACCTGCTAATCCCGCACGCTTAAATCAAGAGCTGGCTAAGCCCTTCACACTACCCCCCGAGACCCACATCCTGCGCTTCCGTTACACCACATACATGGGTGAATCGCATCCTGCCGAGAACAAGGTCGTTGTTGAGCTGAGCAGCCGTGATCTATCCCCCAAGCACCTCTCCGAGGCCCAACGCCAGACCTTCCTCAAGCTGGTCGGACCCCGCTACAACCCAGACACAGATATTGTCCGCATGTCCTGCGAGAAATTCTCCACCCGTGCGCAGAACAAGCGCTATCTTGGCGACCTTATCAACACCCTGATCAAGGAAGCTAAAGAGGGCGACTCATTCGCTGACATCCCCCTTGACCTCCGCCACCACAAACCAAAGCAGAAGCTCCGTTTCCCACAGTCCTGGGCTATGACAGAAACGCGCAGAAAGCAGATAGAAGCCAACCGGGCTGAACGAGCACGTCGCGAAAATTCGTCCACCATCGTGGATGGGAATTCAGTTGTTGCACGGGCAGCTCTGGCCCTGCCCGCTTTGAACCCCGCCTTGAAAGCAAGAGCAACTGAAGAGCGTGAGAAGGTTGCCGTGAAAATCGCCAATAAGGCCCCGAAAAAAGAAGCTCCTGCGCGGAGGAGATGAATCTAGCCACGCAGCAATGACTGTTGCTTGTACACAAAGCCATTTTTGCATCTTTTCACATTTCCCGGAAACTTTTCAAAACATCGAGGGTGGCGCAATACTTTTGCAAGGTCGTTTAGACTTTTATTTATTTTCATCGCAATGTACTATATTACGTTTCTATCATTTTCTACATACCTCCGTTTCTGTTTTGATAGCCAGGAATAACCCATTAAACTACTAACTCAGTACACTCAACTACGCCTCTTTAGTTAAAGAGTAAGAAGAAGAAGGAATAAAATAACTACCTATGATATCGTGTCCCACTGGTCCTGTAGCTAGGTAGTAGTTAAAGCGATTCTGATAGATTACACAACCCTATTCCACTTGACTATTTCATATTATTGCCCAAGTCGGCGACCCTTTTTTCTCTCTCTCTTTTTTTTTTTTTTTTTTTTTCATCTCTCCCATTAGTTTCCACTCGTGCTCCCTATTTCCTTCCCGAAAACAAGTAGTATAAACGAAACATCTGATATAGTACACCGTCACGACCATGTTAGCGGAAGGAAGAGAGGATAAGGAAACAGATCCAGAGAGAGTGCAATCGAAGGGGAAAACTAAATAATTACTAAAAAAAAAAAAAACGATCAGCGGGGAAAAAAGAAAAAGAAAAAGAAACGAAAAGAAAGTGTGAACGAGATATTCCAACCATGAACTAGGTAGGGGTCGTTGGTTGTATCCCAATCACAATCACATGTATCTCATCTGATATTAAATCCGTTGAAGATCGATTAAGAAGGGGGGGAAACAGGAAAAAAGGTAGGTAATTAAACACAGTAACCATGAAAAATGGAAAGAAAAAAAAAGATTAGGCTGGGTTGAACTGAGTTGCCCTGACTAGAACAGAGGGTAATAAGGGAGGAAGCGTAGAGGTCGTTTCGTCGTGTTTTTCTTTTTCTTTTTTTCTTTTTTTTCCCCCTATTTGTAGACCTTCCACATTCCACTGGTTCTTATACAACACAACACACCTCTGTGTCAAGGCAAAAGGCTTGTAAGTATATTTAAGCAAGCTTGGAAGTGGCAACCGGCGTATCATGTCCTGTCATATCACATTGTAGGCGTAGATGAGATCTTTGCCTATCCGTAGGTATGGCTGATGAAAAACTTAAACAAGAAGTTGGATTGTTGAGTGTGTCATGTTCGATGTGTAAAGCAAGAGATTGATTCAAGTGGCGACTTGAGTAAGTAAGTAGCTTGCTGAGGAGTGCATCTTTTACTCGTTTCCGAAACCGAAAAGGTCCTCCTCAGAAGAGCCGACAGATCTCTTACGGTACACCCTCTTGGTACCAATCGCACCTGGGGCTCTTCTGGGGGCCTTGTCCTTGTTGCGAGAACGAAGAATACCAGGGCTAGTTCCAGAAGAGAAAGATGCTCCAGAGTGAGGGGACGCACCACGAGTAGGAGGCTCAGATGTAGTACTGCTGTGCATATTGTCCACTACCGGGCTCGTAAACTGCGACCCAGTGGTCTTGGAAGCGACAGAAGCAGTGCTTGATGAGGCTATTGCCAGATTCTGATGTGTGTTTGGCATGGAATCCGAATCTATCACGTCCGGCCCACTTTCAGGCATTGCATCGTGGGAACGTGGCTGGTACAAGCGACGGGACTTTTGTATCTTCTTCGAGTGGCTAGAGCCTAAATGAGAGTCGAAGGGACTGGGAAGGTAATCTGCATTCGTGGGTATAGGTGCCGGCACAAGAGACTGAAGGTTGCGGACGAGGTCCTGACGCTGAGCCTTATCAGAGGCTTCAAAGCTGCTCTCTTTGGCAGGATGGTAGACCAAGGGGTTGCACGAAGTGTAGTCCTGAAGGCGGTCGAATGTAAATAGACCTATCTTCTTGCCTCCTATGTTGAGCTGGCTGGCGGTGCTCTTAAGTCCCTGTTTCTGGGAGACTGGTGTGGCGGAAGAGCTTGTGCCCTGGTAAGCAATCTGGGGCCCTCCGGGGACCACAGAGGGAGCCTGTTGCTGATGAGGAATGAAAGTCGGGGTCTTCTGCTTAGGGTTATGCTCAGGTTCGGAAGACTCGGTGACTCCGTTGATAGTCAGGCGAGAAGGGTACTGGATCGATTTAATTGCAGCTCTGTCGTCCTTCCACTGGTGACCATTTCCAGGATGGGGGCGTGGATGTGCATGTCCATTTGGCAAGATGCTTGAAATGCCATATTTCTCACGATACCAACGAGGAATGTCACGCAGTCCGAGTTTTTCGAGCATCGATGGATCATGAGGCATTTCGTGCTTGTAGAGGCACCCTAGATTAAGCAGATTCAGTTAAGATATCCCAATGGTTCTTCGCTGTGGTCTCCCGCCTATCTTACCTTGCTGTTGATAATCGCACTCACCATGACGAATCCAGTAAGAGCAGTACTCTTTCTTTACATGACGATAATTCAAATTCCAAAGAAAAGTTAGTCATCACTCTCTATAATTTCTTGTGACGTATAGCCGTATTACATGAACGGCAACACAGCACTTACCTGTCTTGGACTTCCATTTGCAGAACCACCGCCACTGTTGGGCACGAGCCACCCGGTAGCTTGAGAAGTATGCGTATGATGATTCTGAGGCATACCTTGCTGAAGAAGGGCGTGGAGAGCGAGGCGTTGGTTTGCTGGTATATTCTCATCAGCGAGAAGTCTCATCAGCGAGGACTGAAGATCGTGATTGCGGGAGCGATGATTTGCAGCGTTGGAGGAAGGAGGACGAGTGGTGGCTGCTGCAGCTCCCTCAACGGTGTAAAACTGTGCTCTTGGACTTAGAGTTCCTAGGCTAGTCATGCCTTGTGTTTCGTTTGGGGAGAGCACCCGGGGGGCACCACGAATAGAGAGATGGGCAGGCAGCTCGTCGACAGAAATGAGGGGAACGAGAGTGCCATTTGGGCGGGCACAGAAGAACTGGGGACGCAGTGGAGAAGACATGATGATTCAACCAGTCTAGGGATCGCTGGATTGCAGTTGCCTTATATTAGAGGGAAAAACCAGGCGTACACAGATGGTATGATGAAGTTTTGAAGCTCTATGCCGCCATACAACTTGAGCGACGATGGCGAGGGATGTCAGAGAGGGAAAAAAAAAAAAAAAAAGGAAGATGAGAATGAAGAGAAGGTAATGAGAGAAGAGTCAGAAAGGAATTTTTTTTATCTCGCACACAGATGAATTGAAACTCGCCAAAGTAGGGTAAAAGCTGGTGTGCAGGAAAGGAGGATTGACATTCACTGTTGCTCGGGATAGGGAGAGAACAGCCTCAAGCGCGCGGGGAATTTCTCTGTCTTCGCCTCTGCCCATGAGCAGTATATTTGGTCATAAGAGCGAAGTATATACTGAAGTATATACTGAAGACAAAGATGCCTGCCTGCAGCCTCTACCAGAGAGGAGACATGCCCATAACAAAGAGTAGGAAAGAGGGAAAGTAGAGAATAATCTGGGCCCACGCTAGATATTCCATCGTAAGGCGGCCTAAGAGGCTAGAAAAATAAGAGGTAAAAGTAATTCCAAGGAGATAATGGTAAGATATCCACATAATCCTCAGTGTTTGTCTGATACCGTTGGTTAGTTGGTTGGTACAACCACCCTGTCCGGATGCCTGCAGCTTTTCTCTCTCTCCTCTACGATCTCGCCTCTGTTGTTTCCCTGGTTGCTGGTTTCTCTGGTGTACCTATCCTATCATTTCCCCCTCCAGAAATCAGGGCTTCTAACACCCTTCGCGTATCATTTGTCGACTTGCTTTTATGGGACGGGCTTGTCCTCCTTTCGAACGATCACTGGTGGTTCCGACTGGACGTACGGTAGCAGGTAGCACGATGTCTAGATCTCCTGAAAGACATCGTTAGAAGTATAGCGCTATATCTGTATCAGGCTTTCTAGAAAGCAAATCATACCTTGTTTCCATGTGCCTTGCATCCGAAAATAACGTGGATGTAGAGTAACGCCTTCATCGTGGAGGTGACATAGTAGGAGACAGGATCCTATGTGGGAATAACAACCTATGGAAGCCCCATTACTCCATCTGGTTTCAGTGGCCAAGGAAATTTTCCTTTCTTGTCTATAATTTTGTTGAAAATCTTTGGTAGTGGATTGGAATTGTGGAAGATGGGTTTTCTTTCTGCTCGCTGGGTGATATACATTCTCGAGGCCATGTGATACCCGTGAAATATATGTAGTTTTTTGGTTAAGTGACGAAGATACTGCCTAGGTAGCTTTAATTATCTTCAGTACATTAAATATGCCCCCTGGGCCTATCAACTTGTAAAAAACTCTAGGGTTTATGTACAATAAAGAAAACTTTATCTGAAGTAAAAACGCCTGCGATGGGAATTGAAGAAACCCGCGCCAAAACCGCCAATAAATGCTCAGTGATAAAAGACCTTCTTGACAATTGACACCTACTTATGATACCAACAGTCCTCCAATTGTCTACCGTCAGAGGTTTAGCTAAAATGACGCCCCGAGGAAGGCGGCTGAGGGCTCCTTTCAAATTGCGGCAAATGTGCAGGGTTGTCCATTGGCGTTGATTGACCGTCACCTATGGGAGGATAATTCCGCGTAAGATCAATGACTGGTACTCCAATGGTTGGGGCTGCACTGCTACTAGGGGGAAGAGGAGCTGTGGTAGCAGCAACAGGAGGAGAAGGGGATACTCTGGCCGTGCTTTGACCCGCAAAACTAGCTGTAGCCTGACCGGATTGACGCCTTTTTCGCGATGCGAGATCACCCCGGATATTCTGCAAATGTTTCTTGGCCATGGCAATTAGTGCGGGGTCTTCGTTGCTTTGTTTTACGGCCTCTAACATCCTTAACACCTGAACCTCTGATTTCAAATGTGGACACGTGCGGGCTATTCCATAGTGCGCAAGCCCGCAAAGCCCACAGTATTCGACGCCAGCCATTTTTAATTGACAATTTCCTACTGGGTGAGTATGGCCACAGGCTAAACATCGGTTTTGATTTTCATCGAGGTGACCATCCATGGCCACAGGAGCTGGTGGAGGAATGAGATCTGGCAAGACACGATGGAACGAACGAACTGCAATTTTTATTAGTATTTGTACACAAACCTCAAGAGTGCAAGTGGGGATTACCGTTTTGCCGTTTAGCAGGCTGATCAAGTTCCATGGGCTCACCGTTATCTTCGTCTGATCCAGAGCATGACGGGGCATCCTCGTTGAAATCGGCATCGCTCTCGGTCCCGCCCCGGCTACGGGGTTTGGTGGGTGAAGTTTCAAGGGGTTCAGCGGCGTAGGCCACATTTGCCCGCTTACGTTTTCCTCGACCAAGGCTTTCTGCTTTCAGTCTTGCCTCTTCGGCTGCTGCTTGTTCTCTCTCTTGAAGAATCTTTTCCCAGGTGGTAGAATTTACCATTTGCTCTTCTTCTGTTTCCTGAAGTTGATCATTTAGATTTTGCCTTTCGTTCACCCAAACTCGAGCGAAGCTGAACTGAGAGCCTGTGTCGTTCTCTTCGGGAGTTTTTGCTTGCTCAACTTGGCTGCGGTCAAGGAGTTTATCAACCGATTCGGAAGTGTAGACCACATCTCCAGAGTCGTCATCATTAAACAATGCCTGGGCTCCGTGGCGAAGAATAGAGTCCAAGTCATGTCCATCCTCCTCCTTTGAGGTCATCCTGTCGATGAGAACATGGTCCAAGGCCATTTTCTTCTTTCCAATCTGCATGATCTTTTCTTCAGCGCTCGCACGAACCATCAGTTGGAATACGAGAACCTTGTTCTTCTGTCCAATACGATGTGCCCGAGACAATGCCTGCATATCTTGGTGGGGATTAAAATCGGGGTCCATGATGATGACGGTATCTGCGGTGGCTAGATTGATACCGACTCCTCCTGATCTGGTAGAGAGAAGAAAGGCAAAATATGGAGAGGCTTCCGCATTGTAATCGTCTATCATCTTTTGCTTTTCTAGCGAAGTCATTCTTCCGTCCAGGCGTCGGTGCATAAGGCCTAGTCCGTCAAGAAAATCCTCCATAATGTCGAGGTTCTCGAGGAATTGACTAAAGATGAGTACTCTGTTACCACGTTTGTGGAGCTTGGGCAGCATAATCTCCAATAACTGGAGCTTTCCAGCGGCATCCACTAGGTTTCTGTGAGCTATAGTTGAGTTGGCACTTCGCTCTTCGATCGCCTTGCTGTAGATAAATGGATGACAGAGACATTTCCGAAGTTGTACCAAGATGTTGTTCAGACTGTGGCGCTCTGTGTGCTTTAAAGGCTGCTCATTTCCACTCCTTTGGAAAATAGCCTGGATAAGTTGCGAGTTCTTCGCAAGAATGGACTTGTAGAGTTTCTTCTGAAGAACGGACATCGTGACCGGGATGATAATCTGGGCGACTGGAGGAAGAAAAGTGAGGACCTGAGCCTTAGTCCGGCGAAGGAAGAAAGGCCGGATGAGATCGTGGAGCTCGGAAATATTGTCATTTGATAAAGTTCCATATTTTTCCTCAAGCTCTTCTGAATTCTTGGTCGGATCACAGAACTGAAGAAGATTGAATAATTCCTTAGTATTATTTTGAAGGGGTGTGCCGGTCATCAAGACTTTAAATGGAAACTTGATCCGGGATAAGGCTTCATAAAGCTGACTCTTGTCGCTTTTTAGACGTTGTCCTTCATCTACAATAAGCCCGCCCCAAGGTATTTTCGATAGGACTCTGCGTGAGGCATCGTCGACCATCGTTTCATAAGACGCTATGACAACATGACATCTAAGGGTTGAGTCGCGCCGGCCGAACATCTCGTAGTCCTGTGCGAGGTTTCGGGCAAAGGACGATCCGTAGTAGGTGACCGCTCGAATTGAAGGGACCCATGTCTTGATTTCTTTCCGCCAGTTCGGACATGTTGAATTAGGAACGACAATAAGGAACGGCCAACATTTATGATATTGGATTAGAGTGGCAAGTAACGCGATGACTTGGATTGTTTTCCCGAGGCCCATCTCGTCGGCTAGAATAGCATTTTGATTTTTGAACCATTTATAGTAAAGCCAATTCAGGCCGTCTTGTTGATAATCCATAATTTCACCTCCTGTCATTGTGTCTGGCTGGGAATCTAGAGACTTGAACTTTTGCTTCCTGACATGAGTGAGGTGTTTCTGGAGACAAGTTTGGTTTGGAATGCTGACATAGGCCTTTTTGACCCAATCTTCGTAGGCGGACATGAAATCGTTCCAGCTTTCAGTATTGCTGCGAGTTGGGGGAGATTCCCAAACTGCCTCCTCATACGGCAGGCCCTTGAATTTAACATATGCTTGGGATATATCATCCACCCGCTGGAGGTCTGCCTCGTAATCTTGGCCGGGGACATGGAGATCGTCCTGATCGCTGGAATATTTGACATCAAAAACAATATCCACACGTAAGAAATCCTCCGGAATTGCTTCCTCTGAGGTCATGCGAGGAGTCAGGCTTTTTTCCGATCTCAAGAATGCCCGCCGCATATGAGGGTTGATAAAACCCCACGCCCAGCTGCCGGGCATCCACGTACAATGGGCATACGACTTGTCCTTCCATTTTATGAGATATTCTTTCTCTGTCTCGAGAATCTCCGACGCTTTTTCAGAGGCGCTATTCACTGGCCGCCAAGAGACTATGGAACCCACTTCTCCAGGTAAGGAAAGACAATCCTGACATTCCCCCGAAGAGTCATCGGGGCTTGGAAGATGTTCATAATGAAAAGCTCTATGGCAAGCCTTACAGCGGAAGAGGACATTATCTAGATTATTGATACGGTCCACGTCCACCGGAGTGATGGGATCTTCACCTCCATTTTCCTGTCGGAGTTGTTGTTCTTGCTTTGAAGTCAGGCGCTCTCTAAGTGGCTCTGACATATTTCCTTTCTTGTTGCATGTGGCGCAGTACCCTTGATGAGGGTAGATGGGATCCTTGGTTTGCGCAACGCCTAAACAACGACGGCATTGAAGGAGGAATTTGTCACGTGTGACCTTGGTGACGAGATGTTCTCGAGTAGTTCGTGGGCCTAGACAACCTTTATGGTATGCAACTGTACATCCCTGACAGAAGACAAGGGGGCCTTTCTCTCGATGGTCCCCACTGGTGGAGCACACGTCGCAAGTCTCTTGGTGTCGCAGGCGAAAGGGGTCATCTGATGGAAGTCGTTCGAAGGTCTCCTTTGCGCCGTAGTACTTTTGATGCTTTGGGAGAGCTGTTTCATACTCGGAAATATCGTCCTCGGTTCGCTCACGTAAGCTGTATCGCTGGACATTACGCCGCCGTGTTGAAAATCTTGTCCCTTCACGAGCACTTTGGTCGAAATCACTCTCCATGGCATAGACATCCTTTCGACGTTTCCTAAGACGAAGTTTCATTCGAGTGGGCCTGGCGACGACTATATCATCTTCTGATGACGATGATTCTCTGGATCCCTCATCATCGCTGCTGATGACACCAAAAAACTCTGTGAATTTGGTGTTCCTTGTCCGGCGCAAGCGCCTCCTGCCGGCGAAATCTGATATGGACAAGCTGGATCTGTCCTCCTCTGATTCTTGAGACTCCTCTTCACTGGTAGATGATTGGTATTTGATCTGCGAATTTCGGAAGGATGAAAGGGCTTCCGGTCCATTCTCGAGGGTTTGGAGGCGGGAGGAAGATATCTAAAAACATTTAATGGTTACCCCAGTCGAATGAGCAATAGGGGAAAGAGCTACATACGGTTTCAATTTCGCCACTATCCAGCTTGACCGTGTATGAGGGTTCGGAGTTGACTTCTGAGGAGACCTCCTCCTTGATGTAGCGAACATTGAAATGCCCTGGAAGGAATTCATATTCGTTAGGGCTGGAAATAGCCGGCACCTCCACAGCAATCGTCATCAGCGCGAGGCGCTGGAGGGAGGTTGCCTCTTCTTGATACTTGTCGGCCAGTGTATCTTCTCCGTTTTCATGACCCATGGAGACATCGGAGGTTTCCCCACTGACTCCCGAATCGCTCATAGATACTATATTCATTAGATCTAATCAAGATTGAATGAAGGGGTGATGGTGTAATGATCAGTAAAGACGTGTTTGCAAAGCAGAAACAAGACGGGACTGGAAATCGCGATTTAAAGAGCGTAGAGGGCATGTGCCGGAAATCGCATCTTGAATAAGACCCTTTTAGTTCCCAATAGCGTAATATTTCAATGATGCAGACGCGTGACAAAACGCGATGCGCCTACTTATCCCCGGCACGGACTAACTATAATCCTTCTATAAAAGATAGCGAGAGCACACACACAGCATAACACACGCGAGTCTTGGATACAGTGAATTCAAATTTGCTAAGTTCCAATTAGCTATCCCTAAATGGATAATAATAAACACGATAATAAGGATCGTAACTAGTTAACTACGGATTAGACCTAGATTACTCAACGAATTACGAGGGTGGAACCGGACTAATAATAATGCGCGTGTTATCTTATCGGCGATAGCAGAAAAACACAACTACCATGAAGGCTTCGGTTTATTCATGCGTAAGAGCAGAGAAGCCAAAATGTCTTTCCGCACTCCGTTCCGACCCTTACAGTCGTCACTGCGTTTATACCCTGCTTCAAGTGCTTGGAGAAGCTCTATCCGATATGCTTCACTCAACTCCGCGATCGGTCGCGGGATTCGCAAGTCCCAGGCATTCACAGGTTCCCGAAGCTCATTTGAAGACAACAATGACCATTATCGAGGGGACAGCAAGCCATTCAGAGCACATGGACGAGGAAAGAGAGATGGACATCGCCCCTGGTCACCGGAGCCTGATTTCGACGAGGATGAGTTCATTCGGACTGGAAGCTTTCGCGCATTGCCTCGTGAGCACCAACGATTCCAAAATGCGCCAAGAACATTGAAAGACCGCCCCCCCACTGCTGCAGACCGAGATCGCAGGCCATTCAGAAAAAATGTTGCTCCTGAGCCCCAGTCCAAACGCCGGCCCGAACGAGATGGGAAGAGCAAAGTACGAGAAGGTTCTGATAGAATGCCCGAGCGGGTGAAGGAAAACGTGAGGGTTCCGGACACGATCCCGTACACCACTCCAGCATCAGAATTTATTTATGGGACAGCAGCTGTTGAGGCCGCCTTGCGTTGTACTCGACGCCAGATCTATAAATTGTATATCTACCAAGCTGCGGGGGAGGAGCTGAGTACTGCCAAGGCGGCGCTACGTAAGCTTGCTCTCTCCAAGAATATCAAAGTGAAGTTAGCTTTTGCTGGTTGGGACCGACTACTTGACAAGATGAGCGCAGGACGGCCTCACAATGGGTGCGTCCTTGAAGCATCTCCCCTACCTCGGGTCCCGGTCCAGGCGCTCAAATCCGTGCAATTGGAAGACAAACATTTCCGACTGGAACTCGCACCACAGACCCGAGAAGAGGCCGTGGTTAATGGCACGAATGATCTTGTTGCTATCAACGAACCATTGATACAACAGCGAAGAAGATACCCTGTTGTCCTTCTGCTGGATGGAATCCTCGACCCTGGCAACCTTGGGGCTATCATTCGTTCCGCATATTACCTAGGGGTTGATGCCGTCGTCTTCGCTGGTCGAAATTCGGCCCCCCTTTCCCCTGTTACGATCAAGGCGTCTGCAGGAGCTGCAGAGAACATGATTCTTCTAGAGGTCAAAAATGAAGTGGACTTCATCCGGCGGTCCAAGGCCAATGGATGGCGATTTTACGCTGCAGATGCACCCAATCCAGGGTCTACGTATATTGACCTTGGCGCCACGTCTGGACGCGAGGGTGATCCCAACCCTAACAGTTTTGTTAGTCAGTCGCCCAGCGTTATCATGATGGGCAGCGAAGGTTCTGGACTGAGTCAGCATGTCAGATCGCAGGCCGACTCTATCGTCAGCATTCCTGGTGCTAGGCTGGGTACGGGATTAGGCGCTGCCTCCGATCCAGCCAGAGTCGATAGTCTCAACGTCAGCGTTGCTGCAGCGCTTCTTATGGAGATGTTTCTCCGCCTCCCGCTCGGAGTGAGCGATGTGCTGCGCAAGGGAAAATCCCAATAAGGGAAGAGACTGCTTCCTAATATGGCTGGCAATTGGACACTGCCGTCTTGCCTGTACGCTACATGTATGTACATTAGATTAGATGAGTGAATTTCTGTATACATATTGATTGATCTATACGGAGTAGAACGTAAATGCATTCCCATTCCACCCATCTCTGCCTAACCGGGGAACAGCAGTATTTCCCATACATTGACCTTCTCCCTAGGTATATGACATAACGACACAAACCTGCAAGTACCTAACCAGTGGGTAAGGGTACCTAAGATACCGGCCCACCCAACCGAGCCCGTCCCAGTTCTGCCCAACAATAGCGCCAGATTAGCGATTAGCGACCAGGATACGGAGTAGATAACCCAGTAAACCTGAATCATGGATGAGAAATCCTAACCCCACCCATCGTTACCAAACCATAGCTCCCAGTCCCCCGAGGTCATTAGGTACCTAACCACTACTCTGCAAGTCCAGGAAAAAAAAAAGCACCCTTCGTACGAGACGGCCGAGACTCGGCTCAGTTTTCAACAGAGACCTTGCTACTATCTACTACCTAGTAGGTACCTAGATAGGTAGGTAGGCTATATGTAAGAGTTTGTGTTCAGTCATCACAGTACGTACCTCAATATCCAGCCACAAATGTCAAAATGGGTTGATTGATGCTTGGCTTGAGACGAGGGATTAGTTAGTTAGTTAGTTAGTTACTGTATACTCTGGACTTGGTAAGCACATGGGCCAAAAAAAAAGGAACACCAAAACTAGCTAGAACGTACTACTACTACTACTACTACTACTAGTATACTTAGTGCCTGCAGTTTATACTTTAAAGTTTATCGTCATTTTGGGGGGGGGACGTCGCTAGGGATTTTTTTTTTTTTTCTGGGTTTCCTGGTAATTGACGGCGGATGGTGGACACTGCCGGGTACGATCGATTCATGCGCCCACTTTTCCGAGGACTAATAGGTGGGTAGGTATCATGTCGAACGAGCCTTGTTCTGGCGATCCAATCATGGGCTTAGGGGGATTGATGTGATCTATACGGAGTAAACTTAGGTAGGTACTTAGGTAGTAAACATTTGCCTGCGGATTCCTTGTCCGGGATTATGGACTAGAATCTAGGTACGTACTTATTAGTTAGGAGTTTTCCTGGCGATTCATGCTCAAGCACTATTGAGATGTCCGGATCATGAAGGAATCGATCTATCACTTGATCCCGGTGGAGTGACGAGTATGCTGCTGTTCAAGTTCTTACCAGTGGTTGGGCACTAACTGATTGTACGCGGTGTCGGCATACGATCCATCTAGCATACTTAGCTACTAGATAACTAAACTATGTACTAGTAGTAGCTCGTGTATACAGTCGAAAACAAACCTAAATCATTAATGGTTAGGACCCTCCACAGAAAGAACCGGTCGCTCAGCTGCATGCAAAAGTACAGTTGGGTTTAACAAAGTTTTTTTTTTTTTTTTTTTTTCAGTCTAATCAATTCGCTGCAAGTGAAAACCAGGAAACGAATCTGAACGGAGCCCTTAAGAGATCTTGGTACATGCAGTTGGGGGGCCACACGCCGCGACACTAGTTTCGCGAGTACAGACTGTACCTATCAGATGCCCCATCGTGCTTCCGAGAAAGCGCGAGGACTAGTGGAACCACGGAGGCACAGCAGAAAACTTTGGTAAAGATGAGATGGGGCACATGAGTTCGAGTCTGGCGTTTGGGGATTGGGAATTCAATGTGATATCTATCCACTATCGTACGGAGTAATGTGATCTCCGGACTGCTACTCGGTCTTCCCTTGGTACTTCTTGAGAAATGAAGTCGACGATAATGACACCCTGTCTGTTCTTCTCTTACCGATTTCCCCCCTTTAATTCATGATTTGTGTTTGCCGGAGGATCAACGATTGATGATATCAGCTGCAGGCGATGTTCTTGATGGTGTACTGATTGGGCGTGGCGGCGAAAAAGAAAAAAATAAAATACAATAAAAAATAAAGCCGTGCCACCTTTTGAGGTTTGCATGATGCCATGATCTCTCCTCGTAAACGTATTCGGTAAATAATAGGTAGATAGGCGTGCTTCCGGCAGGGTTACCCTCAGCCAGTGGCCCAATGCTGTAGAACTGTTGCGTGATGGCTGTGCCTTTTTCTCAATGAAGAACGTCGTGCATATGTTAGCGCTAGTATCGGTACTAGAGATAATTCCCCTCATCGTGTTCCTTTTTTTCGACAGGTGAGAAGCATCTAAACCCCCTCGCTGTTTGAAAGAAGATCATTGGGTTCTGGATATGATCTGTCAGGGGCTTCTTTGCTTGCCCTCTTTGCTGACACTCCCCCCCTTTTTTTAGTGACGTTTCTTTTTTTTTTTTTTTTTTTGGAATTCCAACCCGAATGCGTTTTGATTTGGTCTTATCTTGCTTCTTCTGGTACTTCTGTACTGATACTTAACGTGGGTATACTCTGTAGGCGTACGGACGGACCTCCCATTCCGTATCCCGAAAGCTACGAACCCAAAAAAGTACGCATAACATGGACACTGAACGACAGCCAGGCTTATCACATTGGACAATACGGATTATTATAAGGCCGATCGCAATCACAATCTATTGGAAGTTTGGAACGATCCCTAGGCCCTGGAATAAGCATAACGGTAGCGTAGAATAAGCGCCTTTTGAAAGTCTGGTTCACCATGGAGATAGTTACTCGGCGGATCGCTGTCAAGTTGTCAACTATCGGAAGTTCGAAAAGCGCCTTTCATACTTTTGATCAGTCCGCGAGGGAGAATAAAAAGGCAACCGCTAGTCTAGTCCGGCGCACACTTCATCGTGCATTTCTCGACCCGCACAAATTAGTAGCTAGTACCTATCTCTGGTAGGTATCCATGTACTCCAACCCATCAATAAAAAAAAATAATAATAATAAGAGATGAGAGGGCGAGGTTTCTATGGCCTTGGTTCTTTCTCTCTGTTCCCTTTTTGCTTTCGATTTTACTGTCCACTGTTGACCGACATTCGTGGCGGTAGGGAATGAACTCCTTTGCCAAACCCACACACAACCCGGACTCGCAGCCGGTGTTGGTTGCAAATTAGTTGATCCTAACAGGAGTGGGCGACTCGGCGTTATCCCCCTAATGTACCCTTTTGTCAATTGACAAATGGTTGTGAAATGGTTTCTTCTCCTCTTTATCTTCTTCTTCCTTTCTTTCTTACTTGCTTGCTTTCTTTTTTGGGGGGAGGCTAGATATTCCATCCTCACGCCACCAAACGTGGCTTCAGTTGTCCACTGTGGTGCGGGAAAATTTCTCCATCACAGATAGCCTTGCTGACATGTCTCTCCAGCTCAGCATGAGTCTCGCGATCCCCTGATTCTCAAATCCTTTTCCACCGTCCCCGTCCGAATAATAGCTTCTACTGGTATTATCCCAGGATGACTCATTACCGGTAAGAGTCAACAGGCTTATGTTGTCAGAAAAGGGTGTTTATGTTGTCTTCTTGATTTCGTTAATCACTTATCTTATTTTTTCATTTCCCCATAGCCCTCGCTCCTCTTATTTTTTTTTTTTCTGTTCGAGAGGGGGGACGATAGAGGAGGGGTATCATGAAATTCGCATTACTATGCAGGTTAATTTTTGTGACTTGGACTCAGACCCTTACAATTCTAGGTAATACTGGTCCATTTCACCCTTGCGTGGTCATCGCCATATCTGACCGTCCGCTGTGCGCTTCCCGCTGATCTTGTTTCCCGGATAATATCGTCGTGGGCGATCAGAACTCATGGATAAGTTTGCGTGGGCCTATTGGTATAGGCAGATGGCCTTATTCCATGACATGGATTTGTCTAGCCTGGAGAGGTAACTATTCCATTTCAAGGGCGTGGGTGTCGCAAGATGATTGTGGGAAGCACTATTGTGATCCTCTGATGCGGCTAGATGCAGCCGCCACCTATTAAGATCCAGGATCCATACTCCGTCTGCGTCAGAGTTCCTGCGCAGCCTAGCTGGAGGAGAGGACTTAAAAATTGTGGGATGGAAGAAAAAAAAAAAAAGGAGAGTGTGTAATTTTCTGCCGCGCTCTTTCACAGCGTGAATCAGGAACCCTCAGGTTATGCATGGGAGACAGCGTAGTCCACATCCAAGATGACCACAGCACTACTTAAGTAAGGTTAGCTCTCATTTACTGAACTTTACCTAGACCAGTGAGGAAATCTTTGCATTGATGATCCTATTTCCAAAAGAAGACGGCGCATCCTTGCCCTCTTTTTCCGCCGCATCAGTCCAGACTCCAGTGGTCTGGTCTGACTGAGTGCAGGTCCCCTAGGTCGAATCAATCGTATGAATTGATCAGTGCTATTCTGGTGTGAGATGCAGCCCTCTGCATGTCAAGATATAGGTGATGTGATGCATCTACCGTACTAGAGTCCTAGGGTGCAGCCAGCTGTGTTTGGAGCTGACTTTTCTCCACGGCGGCACGTTGAAAAGAGGTCCACTCCCACGACCTTTGTTCCTCTAGCGTTGTTGTCGTCAATTTATTTGTTGGCCATCCCTCTACCATTCTACTTTATACTACTTTTCATCCCGTCCCCATCTTTCTTCTCCGGTGTGGGCAGCGGACATATTTGGGGCGGTAGGGTCTCGTTCGAAGGCTGTCGTGGCAAAAGGACCGACCTCTTATCTTTCAGGGACACTGCGGTGACAAAGATATAGACGAGAATCACGTCGCTGTACAGAATTCGAATCCAGAGACTGCGGTAATTTCCCAACAGAAACAGAATATCACCTACCGACAAGCGGACGACAGCGAGGCAAGGCCCCCCATCAATAGGAGCGAGGAGAGGCAGCACTTTGAACTAGGCCATTGAAGATAGCAAGGGTCTTACACATTCAACAGGAAGAGGAACAGACCAGCAGAGACGTTCACTAAAAGACGATACTTTATAGCTGTTCATACAGCGTTCCGGCGGTTGCTGCGTGGGCCGTCCAGCCTTTGGGTGCTTCCCCCTCCCGCGCCTGGCCGTCTCCGTGCCCTTGGATCATCCTTCGTTAGGAACACGGAACCAATTGCATGACATAAGGCGTATCAAGGTTCGTGAGCCTCACGCCTGGACAGTTATTCCGACGATGATGTCGCTGAGATGACGGCTGACCAGTTGGGGTCAGATTCGCGGATTTAGCAGCGAGTTGGAAACCCCGGCGGCCGCGTGAATAGGGTGGCTTCCCGCGGGTACACGCAAGACGATCCAAAGTTTCAAGTCCAAAACTCCCGATCACACCCCCATTGCCCATTTTGAAATCTACTTGGGAAACCAAAAGGATTCTAGGTGGAATGCTTGGTAGGGGGACGCGCATCGAACTAAGCAGAAAACATTGATCTGGCGTCACAAAGAGGGCTGGAGACCCTGCGTGGCGCCCAGTTACGGGTCTGATCACTTGCATAACCGGCTCCGTCTCCGCTGCGCACGAGGCCAACCGTTTCGCCTGTGGGTTGGGGTTTTTCTCGGGGAAGCGAGTTTGTGCCACTGTGGTTTGCCCGCAAAAACCCAGTGGATTTCATTCTTAGCTCGATCAGTCGTCAGCCGATCTGGCTAGGCAAAGGTAGACTTTGAGACTTGCGCAGGTGTCTAAACTGAAATTCCGACTTAATTTGACTTCCTCCACCCCCCTTTTGTGAAAAAAGGCGTTGTTGGTTCGGGAGCCTGCCAATGTGCGCATCATCTCTTTGCTTCTACGGTTCCTGTCGGATCGTCAAGACTGATATTCACATTAGCCCGTTTCGTCAACCGTGGGACTCGACCTGGTATTCGGTATCGACGCACCATTTGACGGCCAAAAATTGACCGGTGTTAGTATTCTCGAGTCTGTTCTCTGGTTGAGCTCCACTTATCACTTTGTCTGGTCCAGCTGTCTTCTGATCTTAGTAAAGCTCTTTGACCCCCAAGAAGGCTTTTAACCAACATTATTATTCCTGTCATTACTACTACCTTTTGCCTTTTTCCTTTTTTTTTTTTTTTTTTTTTTTTTTTTTAATTCTCTTTGAATTTTTTTTCTTTCTCTATTATGCCTTTTTACTAACTTTTTTTTCCCTTTCCCTTCTTTTTTTGTTCTGTGCGTCAAGAGGCCTGTCCGGAGGCGACTTCCTAGACCCATTGTTCAGCTACCGTCTTATCACCCAGTGACCGTCAATCCCGCCACTGGGCCAGTTAGTTGCCTTGAACTGCTATTGTTTCAGTGAGGTTATAATTATTATTTGGAAGAGGAGGAGTTTGCCTTGCATCTCTTGACTCTGGTTTGTTATATGACTTGTTGTTAACCGCATTCCTGGTTCATTCATTCCCTCTTTTTTTCTTTTTTTTTTTTCCTGTCTGTCCTCCATTTTTCCGAGTCTAGACGGCAGATTTTATTGGAGAACCTGGGATACACGGTCGGGAAAGCTCCAGTTAATTTTTGTCAATTTTTTTTTTCTCTGACTTTGGGGAAGATTGGTGAACGGCTGAGTTTCATCACCCTTGATCAGGAAAAATTTACTCACGAACGGAAAACAAAGGAAACGAGAGGGGGGGAAAGACTTTGGAGAGAGAATTGGTACAACTAAAAGCATATAGTTCCTGGTGGTTTACCTAGTAGTTAGTACCTAAGTTACTACTAGGTATACACTCCTGCTACTACTGCTGCAACTACTGCGAGGTTGATTGATTTTCCTCCGCTGCCTTGGGTTAAGGTTTGTCTGGAACCAGTGCTGTGCTCGGCTGGCTCTTGCCGCTTGCATTCTGACGACACCATCATCACCTTCTTTTCTCAACGCCGCTTTCGTCGAGTAACACCACCCTACTCTCTCTTTTCCAGCACGCGGGTGCGAAAATACAGTGTCAATTCCAGCTTCACAGCCCACTGTTGTTACAGCTCCACTCTTCACTCTTGAACTTTCAACTGACTGGGACTCATCAATCATACTGTCGTACTCATCCTTAACTCAACACCTGCCCCCTCCGAATTCCCCTCTCCCCACTGCGTATCATTCTTTGCTTCCACCGCAGTGTTGAACCACAAGTATCCTCTTGCGGCGTTCCAAAGATTCACTGCTCCGCCCTGGTCCTAGTTTTTTTTTTTTTTTTTTTTTACTTCTGTAAAACTTCCTCGACCCTTTCTTCCTCTCTTCATCCAGCTTTTCCCCTGACGAGGTTCACCCGGTTCACGGTTCATTGCCTGACGGATATCCCGTTTTGGATCCTTTGGCTCTTTCTTTGGTCTTTTCGCTCTGACCTCGCCTTGATGAGTGTGTCGACGTTTCCGGACACTTCCCTTCCCCGTGATTCTCAGAGGTTTGTTCTCGCGCCTCTCGACTTGTTGAAATAGCTTCAACTCTTACTCAGCTTGCCAGGCCATTCGAGCGCTGACGATGTTGAACTCCAGTCCTGACTTTGACTTGATCATTCGCCAGCAGCCCAGTCGGGCGCGCGTGGCAGGTGGGAAGGAGAAAGGTACGTTGACCCCCCCCGATCCCCGGCGCTGGGATCATTTCCAGCGGACGATCAGGACGTTGACCGCTGGACCGGATTTACTCTACAGAACGAAAGCCAGTTGACCCGCCCCCGATTGTGCAAATCCGGGTAAGGGAGGAAGGAACTTATCTTGCACAGTAGGTGGCTCGAGTGCGATCCTTGCTTGCTGGCGGGAGATTTGAATGGCTAATGGGGTATGGCTAGACATTACCTACAAAGTCCCTATTATTTTATGTGCTGCAGCCTCTATGATGCCCAGGAAGATGCGCCAGCTCCCGTTTCACCGTCGACTGCTTTGACCGGTACTCTGGTTTCGTCGCTCCATCGGCTTAAGGATGTGGACAACACAGGTAAAGTCTGATTTACCGTAAGGGAAGCGGAATCAAACTCACTGTTCTTTCTTAGATGGAGGATTCTTTGTGTGGGGAGATCTTTCGATTAAAGTTGAAGGAGAATACCGACTAAAGTTCACACTGTTTGAAATGCGAAAGTGAGTCGTCTTCAGCAGACTTTTCAACCTCATCGTTTGGAAAGAAAACAAAATCAAAAAATTCCCCTAACACTAAGCGCTGATGTACGTCTTATCCAGAGATGCCGTCGCGTACTTGAAGACAATCATATCGGATCGTTTTACTGGTAAGTTCAATGCCTCGATTTCCTGGACATTGCAGGAACTGACGCTGTCCCAAGTTTCTCCTCCAAAGAGCTTCCCGGGAATGGCGGAATCAACGTTTCTATCCAGGTCTTTTGCAGATCAGGGAGTGAAACTCAGAATTCGCAAGGAGCCACGGACACTGATGTAAGTGGGATTGATAGCCTCGGTTCGCATTTGCTGAGAATCAGCGCTAACCCAGCTTCACAGAAAGCGACCAGCACCACGACCGGAAGACTTTACCCAGGCTCTTCCTCCCCGTTCTCCAGAACGTTCGTCAATGCAGATGGCCGGGAACAATTTTCCTGGGTACCAGACAGCGGGCAGAGAATATACGTATTACGGAGGGCCGGTCAAGCGTCAACGCACGTCGGTTGATTTTGGTACCAGAGGGATGTATGAATCCGACGGAAGAATGCGCCAAATGGATGCGTACCCTCAGACCGCGGCAATGTACAACCAGGCGGGTGGTTATCCTGCCTCCATGATGCCTGGATACCCCACAGGACATACAGGAGTCCCCGATTATGCGGTTCGTCAACCTCAGGTTACATGGACCCCTGCAACCCAAGACCCCTACGGCAGCAGGGGCGACGGCGGCTCTGGGGCCCGGTATTACTAGTAGTTATTTTGTTTTCCCTTACTCACACTCGTTTAGATGTCGTACGGGATCCCTTCTTCCGCTCAAGTTTCCCAGATGCAAGACCCTGGCTCTCAAAGCCGGTCCAGTCAGCAGGCAACAATGCAGTCCTTGGGGATGGTGAACGCTCCAGGAACACCTGTATGGGCTCTTTTAAACCGTTTGATTTGGCCGGAGAAGCTAACTGATCACATATCTTTGAACAGACGCCCGACTCAACAGGAGCGATGATGCCAGGCTATCCCCGTTCTCAGTACTCGAGCAGCTCTACAATCCTTCCACCTTTGCAACGGGGTCGTACCTTTACACAAGGCTCCAATGGAGCTTCAGCAAGAGGTTATTTCGACCAGCCATCCCAGGCAGCTACGCCCATTCTTCCATCTCAGGCCATTGGAACGAACGAAGCTGACCGATATGGTACAACGGGAAGCCAGACGAGTTACGATCATCCTGGTTCGGCGAATGGGACTCCCCGGTGACAAATTTGCTCCCTGGATTCATTTATCTTTATCTTTTTTTTTTTTTTTTTTTTCATTTATTCTCTAGGTTCGATTGGGCCTTTCCCTTTTCTTTGTCCTTCGGATAGACTGCGGGATGGGTGTTTTTTTTATACGGTACCTGAACTGGTGGCTTTTGGGGGATACATGGCGCCGGCGGAAATCAAAAGGGTAAACTGTGCAAACGGGACATGATGGGTTTTGCTATTGATATTCTTTTTTTCATTTATTGGGGGGGGGGGGGGGGGTTTCGGGAGCAGGTAATGGTTAAATTCTTTGTACATATATTATGTTATGGTCTGAATGCTGCGAAACTTGCACGCAGCTGTGGCTTTGTTTGCTTATGGCTTCATGGAGCTCGAGATAGAGATGATTCTAACCCAGAGACCCAGGGGCATGAAAACAATGAAAAGAATGAAACAGTTGCTTCTAACCACTGCTTGAAGGTTCAGCAGAATTGTTTGAAGATAATGATATGCTGTATTGTGTTGGAAAGACACAGGATCTGAGCACCCGCAGTCTGGTATGTAGCTAATCAACGGTCAAATACTGTTGTTGTTGTTGGGCAACTCAGGCTGCTGGAACCCCCCCCTTCCTCTTTGAGACAATAATGACTCCTCTAGCCCAACGCTGCATTTATTGTCTCTTAGTGTCTTCCAACTTGCTGCGGTAATTCACTGGATTCAAGGAGGGCCAGCTCCCAGTATAAATACTGCTGTGTTCCTCCTCGTCCGTCCCTTTCCTTGCCTAATTTGCTTTTTCATCCCAGACCAGATCCCAACAGCACATGAATGCTGCAGCGAATCAGCGCATCATGGCTGAGTTCCCCCAATATCAAGAGGGATACTGCCCGGAATTATTGACTGGGACTCCAGAATATGACAACTTGGAGATTCGATGCACTTGGAGCGGGAAGTACGAGGAAATGATGAATCTGAGAATCTCCCTAGAAGTAAGATATCCCCATTTCTACCACATTTTAACTCACAACCCTGAGTAACAGTCCTCTTTGACACAGGTCAAATGTGTGCCCAATTCGCAGCTGCAGCTTCTCTATTCCCGAAACACAGAAATTGATGTGACGGGTACTTTCTCGGAGCGTCTTTCATCGAATGAAGACGATCCTGATCATCCACGCACAGGAGACTTTCCTCAAAGCCCTCTATTTGCGTTTTCTCCTCTGGTGTCTGAGAATAATAACGATACGGTATCTCCTCCTTATACTGAAGGTAGTTCGAATGATGTTTGCGCAGAACACATGGATCCAACACGTGAATCGAGTTTCTGCGGAACAAATACAGAATACGAGAGTGCCCAAGACACCAATGAACCCCCCAGTCAACTCGCTTCTCGAAACTCGGTTTCTCCATCTTGCTCTGCATTTTCTTGCGCTGCTGAGGATATAGCCAGGCCGCAGAAACGGAGTGCAACCGATGCGGATCTTGATGACTTCGAATCCGATTCGGAAGTAATAAAGTCCAAGGATGTGCACGAAAACATCGCTAGTAACAAAAGAAATGACGAAACCCTGGTTAAGTCGCCTTGGAGAAGCTCCAAACTTCCCGTGCTATCTGCTTCCAAAAGTAAACACACCCACAAGCCCAGCCCGGTTCCTAGACCGATGCATAACCTGGAGATTACGACTGAGAATTCAGAGCAATCCAACATCGAAATGGCACCCACAACCCTGACCTATTCAACCCCATGTATATCAAAAGTCTGTAGTCCTCAACTACTGTCTGTTGAACTCGAGGAAGCTCTAAAAACAGAAAGTGAACAGGCCGGAACGGAAACTGACATGTGGAGATACGAAACCTTGACAACGACATCTGTATTGGAAACGCCAATGTCTCCTCACTCGATGCCAGATATTGCGGAAAGCAAGCCTGTTGAGAAGCCTGAAATGATAATCATTGATGATTACCTTGTCCTTCATTGTGCGAAAAATCTCCCCCCCGGGGTGTTCAAGATCACTATAACAGCATCAATTTTTATTCCATACGGAAACCAGACAGGATGGTCTGATATCCAGATTCAAGGACTTCCTCGGACGGGCGGTGGCAATAGCGGAATTCTCTTGTTCCTTATGCCAGATGATCATGGCCTTGAAATTCGCACCACCAATTTGAAGAGATCAAAAATTGTGGAGAATTGTTTAATTGCCGAATTTGCGAGTCCTGGTGATCTCATTATCCCAGTACGCCGGTGCGACAAGAAATTCTACGGAGTTGTGAAGGACTACACAGTGGATCAGGAAATCAGAGCCCATAATGTACTCAGCCCCGCTAGAAACGAGATTACCCTGACCAGATATGATGCCCTATGCTCGTTAAGGCTGCATAACCGTTGCATTTGGGCTGAGAGCTGCTGTGTCTTTCTTTTCCTGGACGGAGGACCCGAGGGGTCATTCCGAAGTGAACTCGGGTTGGAAAGAGACGGCCTGAAGATGATACATCTCACAGGTGGCGATGATGCTGCTATTGGAGTATCTCGCGTTCAAGTTACATGTTCACCTAAAGACCTAGAGATTTTCTGCGTGAGTTGGGTAACTAATGCTCCCAGCAGAGGGCTGGCATGCTGGCTTCCGCGAATACATTCGGTATCTTCTAACGCCTGTGAGCGTAGTAGGGATCATCTGCGCCGTGCATTGACAGAAATCATAGCTGACAATTCTTCTCAATCTTCAGAGCTGGGAACTGACTACGATATGGCAGTTGAGGAAAATGAAGCTTCATCATTGGAGCAGATATTGGAGGAAAAGGAAGCCGAAAATACGCCTGGCAATCCGGGATGGGAACCACATGTTCAAAAACGACAAGATCACAGAGCCTTGCCGCTCGAAATGGAATCTGGCCGTGTGAATTTCGCGCGGTTTATTGAACCATTGTTAGTGCTGGTGGTTTGCTTTGCAGTGCTGGCATGTACTTTGAAGGTATCATTACACTCAGATGATGGATGCCTCGTGTATTCCAACAGTTCGATGACGGCACCTCTTCCTTTATCAACTCAAGTGAGCAAGGAGGTTATTTCGGGTCGGGCAGAGAGCGACTGGTATGCTTTTACCGGCCTATTCCATCTATTCCATCAAAATAGTGACAACCACGATCCCGGGAGTGTACCTTTTTTCGGAAAGTTGATGTACAGACATAGCGACGGGGAGGCTGCAGACGAAAAGGAAGGGTCTTTTGGGGAGAATGACAAACAAACGATAGAGACAGAGGAGGAGACCGATCAGCCTTCAAGTACTCATGTCCCATTTCGGGATAGGATTGATTACTGGCTAGGATGGCGGGGGCCAACTGAGCTATAGGCCTGTCTGTCCATTGACTGCGGAAGTCGAGAGAGCACAAACCAAATTCTAGCTAGTATATGTATTCTAGCCAAACAGGAATACAAGCAATCTCTATTCGGTCTGCTGTAGATGCTTCAACACCTCATCAACGGCCCAATGTAAGAGATCAGCCATCGGAAGGCTGCCTTGGCCCGGAGCAATCGTCACCCCGGCATCAGTCCTCATCTTGACACCCTGCCCAACCTTGCCAACCCACTCGCGATCCTCCACACCAGTAACCAACCGCTCTCCGTCTTCCTCGCCCAGCAGCAACCACGAATGATCCCGAACATACCTCGGCCACACAATATCATCGACATACCCAGGCGGATCAGTCCAGAAACTCTGCTCGGGCCGATCATCCTCGGCATCAAGATCAATCCGCGGTTCCTCTCCTGCCTTGCCACAGCGGTCCGGCAATTCCGTCATCTCAGGCGCAGCTCCAATAGTCACGTACCCGCTGCGCTTCTCCCTCCGCTCCTTGACCAACTTATAAGGCGCGGGGAGGAAGAGATGCACATCAATGAGGTCATGTACGTTGCGCAGGGCATGCGCTGGAACCTCGGATTCAGGCGGACTGTATAAGAGAAATCCTTCAAGGATTGCCAATACCGTTCTTTCTCGGGGGGTTGTTTTATCTTGTGTAGTTGCTGTTCTAGCTCCAGCTCCAGCTGTAGCTTCAGAAGCAGCAGCAGCAGCAGCAGCAGCAGCAGCAGCAGCAGCAGCAGTAGAAGTAAGAGAAGCAAAAGAAGACCCCCACACCCTCTCGCGAAGCGCTGAAATCGTCTCCTCGCCAACTCCGGGGTCCCTGGCTTCATTCAAATCCTCCTTGGATTGCAACCGAGCCGGCAGCGAGCCGTGCAGCCTGGTATACGATAGCGCCGATACAAGCAAGTTCACGTCGATGGCGTCCACGCAGTCCCAGTCTTGGATGATGGATCCGGTTGCGAGCGTTGTGTAGGGGATCCTTTTTTATCTTCCATTAATATACGTAGGTAGTAGTATTGTTTAGAATATAATATAATATGCTTCCTTCTCCGCGCCCCCCCCCCCCCCCCCTTTTTTTTTTTTTATGTTGCTGGAAAGGAAAGAAGAAGAAGAAGAAGAACACACACCTGTCGTCAGAATGGTAAAAGTCGTCTTCGTGCATGATGAAGGATCGAATCGGTATTCCGTTCTCGTTCTCGTTGGTATTGATAGGCGAGAATACCCTGCGGAGAAGCCGAGCGAGAGTCGTCTTCCCACTTGAGGACGGGCCCGAGAGGCCAATGATGAGTGTTTTCATGGCCTCTCTCTCTCTCTCTCTCTCTCTCTCTCTCTATACACGTATCTATTTTTTGTTTCTCGGTTAAAGATGGTAGAGATCAGGGTATAAGTTTGTGGCGGGGGTCCGGCCGGTTGATGGCACGTGAATTTTTGGGGGGGGGGGGGGGGGGGCGCAGGCGGGATATTACCGGATTAGGTAATGCTTCAGTGATAATAAATCTACCCACCTGCCTGCGAACCGAACTAGGCCTAGTACAGTACTTAACTACTCCGTGCATCGGATGTATGTGTTGCCTAGGTTATGGTTGCGTAAATTGATTGGATTTAGGATTGGGGTTGGGTTTGATAATGGAGACTTTGAGCATTTGATTGTGGATATAGATGAAAGGTATATGTATATTATTACAGTGTAGTCCGCTGACCGGAGACTACCTTGGCGAATTCATGATTATCCCATTCTCGTCGCGGAATTGGAGCCGCAGTCGCGTCTTTCGTCGTTTTGCCGAGGACAGATCTGGATCGCTGCATGGATTCATGAACAGAGGCGCGATTGCGGCGACGTGCTTGCGCTTTTCTGGCGTTCGAGGGGCTTTCCCGGTGTCGTCGTTTGTGTCCAGTGCCGAGAGAGTGTTGGCGTCGTCGTGGTGGTCTGGGATTGGGAGGCGGTGGCGGTCAAAGAACCCAATGGGAGTCCTGAGGAACGCGAGCTGGGTTGGGTCGGAGGCTTCACCGTCGGCCGGCATGGGCATGGGAATGAACCGCTCATGCTGGATAATGGAATTCATGGTGCTGTCGTCGAGGAGATCGTTCTGGATTTCCGTGTCGGACATGGCCTTTCTGCGCTGCAGCATTCTGTCTTCGAGGGTGTCCGTTAACACAAGCGTTTCGACAAACACCGGCCGTGTCTGTCCGATGCGGTGCGCGCGCTTGATGGCTTGGCTTTCGATATTAGGTTGCCAGATTGGGTTGACGATGAATACACGGGATGCCTGTGCGATGTGCAGGCCGTGCGAGGCCTGCCGGAGGTCCATCAGAAGAACTCGGACCTGTGCTGACTCGCGGAATAGGGTGAGGTATTCTTCGCGCAGGCCGGCCTTGAGGGTGTTTGCGTAGATGCGGAAATCGATGCCAAGTAGCTCCAGGCCCTCCGCGATCCAGTAGGCGGAGTTGTTATTGTCGTAGAAGATGATTATTTTCTCCGTCTTGTGGTGTTCCTGGACCTGTTCCAGTAGGTATGTGAGCTTTGCGGATGCCGTGGCGACGAGCTTTGTTTGCATGAGAGGAGAATCGACTGGTAGCTCTCGGTGTAGGCCTTTAGAGAAGGATTCTTTAGGTAGCTTGCGCTTGATGGGGTTGTCCGGGGTTGTCTTTTTAGGACTGGCGGCGGAATTATCTGAGGTCTCCCGCCCCGCTAGATCGTGGCGCACCTTGATTCCCGCGCCGGCTAGCCCTTCAGCTGGATCGGAGGTATGCAAATGCGTGGTCACGAATTTCTGGGCAAGACGGGCCTGTGAGATGCCAAGGAGCAGCGGCTCATGGTGCGACTGCGCTGGATCCAGGGCCCAGAAATTCCGAGCTTCAGAAGGAAACCCAGACACGAAAACACCCAGCTCGTGCATCTTTTTGAATCCATGCCAGCTCCCACAGGCGAGCGCTACCTGCGCGATCTTAATCCCCTGCGTAATGGTTGCAATGTCATCTTGAGTCATGCGCTCTCGGTTATTCTCAAGGTGCGTTGCGGCCACGTCAAGGGTGCCTTGGAGATCGCCCTCGGAGCCGGCCCACCAGAAGCCAGCCTGTCGAAGATTGCTGATCACGCGACTAAGATGCTTCCGGTTGCGAGGGTGGAACATGTAGTCTTGATCTTGTCTCTCGGATGTAATGGCATTGACTGCCAAAATGAAGACGAACAAGTTGAGACTCAGCTTATCGTAGAACGTGGGCTCCAGATGGACTACCTTGTTATGCAGCCTTGGAAGAGGGATCTCGTTGTGAATCACTTCTAGTCTATGCCGCACAACTAAACTCTGCAAAGTGGCCCGGAGAGACGAAGCTTTGCGTCGTTTCCCATCATCTCCAACAGGCTTGATATATTTGGTCCAGTTAGCGGGGTCATCGCCGTGAGAGTTGGACCAGGGTTTGAGGTTCAAAATCTTCACAACGATTAGCCGTAACTTGTCAAGATCTTTCAGCTCGTTGTCAACAGCTTTGCCCGTTTTCTTTCTACCACGCAAAGCTGCAGTCGTAGCTTCTGTCAGGTCCGTATCGCTCGTATGTGTTTCCTGCGAAGCTAAGCTGACTTCGACTCCGTACAGTCCATTAGACGGTGTTCCAGACACCACCCATCGGCGTTCCACGTGGAGTTGATCCAAGAGGTGTATCATATTCGTCCTGTGGCCGTGCCCGGCAACACTGTGCCCTTCGTCAACGATGATGCGCAGCCAACGAAGTTTCGTCAAAGGCGATGATGGGTCTTTGCGGTGAGTCCAGGATCCATCGTTGCCGAACTCGTCTACCTCTTTTTCAAATCGAGTTCGTGAAAACAGCACAATGTCATACAGGAATAGATCGTCAGGCGGGGGGATCTTATCAGTCCCGTTCCGCAAAATAAGCACTCTAAGTCCTTCCGTGTGTGCCTCGATCTCGCTCTGCCAGTGATCGACAAGGTTAGGGGGCGCGATAATCAAAGTGCCCGAGCAAAGACGAATATTCTGAGAGATCAACCGGGGGTAATCGACACTAGCCCGGCCAGTGTACCTTCCCTCAATTGGGGGAATGGTGTATTCGCCCCGATGAGTCTCGCAGGCTCTGATGCACCCGTCGTAAAACTCTCCTATCTCGCTGAGACGATCGAAATGCGCTTTCCAAGGCAAAGACAGCCGGCCTGCAGCTGCAGCCGCCATTTCAACAAGACTACCCGTCTTAGGGCGAACAGGGTTCCTAATAGCCTGAAACTCGAGCGGGATTTGCGGGAAATGGCCGCGGGTAGCTAGTACCACAGCTAAACAGATCAAGGTCTTCCCACAACCCATGGTTTCCGCGAGGATGCCTCCACACGCTTCTGAGTACATTTTCTTCTCCTTGATAACACTGCCTTTTTCCTTGTCGTAGTAGTATTCTTGGCCCGTTGGGCTCGTACACACCTGGAGTCGAGGGTCTAGCATCTGGTCCGGTTGCACCTCTCGCTGGATCATAGCGGCTGCTGAGCGGCGCTGGTAGGGGTACAGCGGCGTCTTCAACCCAGGGACACCAGCATAGCTTTGGCCATTTGTCTCCGCATCTTTAGACACGGTAACAGATAATAAATCCTGCATCGCCTGCTTGGCATACGGGTTCTTCATAGTCTCCACTTGGGGGTTAGGGTCCCGCAGAGTGTTAAATATATACCAGAGCGACTCATCCTCAGCGGTCGCAGAAGCGACAGGAGAAACCCGCTCATGGGAAAATTGCTCTCCATTCCATACCCCGGGAGATGGGTCGACCCGAGAAATAACGGTCTTGAGTGCCCTTCTCAAAGCTGCACTCGAGCGGGGAACGAACTTACGGCCAACATCGTCGGGCAAGACATATACTCGTACATAGCATAGCTGTGGAGACTGGGGGTACAAATGAGTTGTTGTTCGGATCCAGTTGTGCTTTTCTAGACTGACGATCTCTGCGCTAGGAAAATTAGAACCACAATGACGGTGGTGAGCATGATGATAATCGCCTTTGCTGGTGAAGCCTCGATCCGCATTGTTCCCAGTGCTAATGCTCTCGGGTCTAGGCTTTTCCACGACACCAACCGCAATATATGAGTCGAGATTGTCGAGCAACGAAGCCATTTCTGTTTTGGGAGCATCCATTGGTGCGTCCGTGGCCAGCGAAGGGGCAGGAGAGTTAGGGGGGAAGATGCTGGCTCCAACAAACGGCGTGGATCCATCAAAATAGTGTTACCCCGTGACTCTGAATCATTTGTATGAATCCTCTGGTAAATGTAAGCCTATATTTTACCATTTGTGATAAGCTGTACATCATTCACTTGAAGGGAGTTTGCAGTGAGTGCAATTAGACATCGAGGAGTAGACAGGGAACACACCTCCTGATCAGGAGCTTTATTACATCTGGGAGTCGACAAATCCAACAACGCGCCTGGGTCGTTAGAATATACCATTTACCAATCTTTTCCTACAGACATCCTGCATCTTAGGCATGATGTAAGTGTAGAGAGAGTGAAGATGGATGAGCATCTCGTTAGGATATCCGGCATAGAATCCTTGTGATTGGCTGAGATGATTTACCGCCTTGGTCCCGTTATATGGATTTGGGGAGCCTCAGGCACAAGCATTCTTCTTGAGAACTAGTTCTACCATACATACCATACATAGCCTGGGGATAAATCAAATGTTGGAGTGCTGCACTCAGTGAATGCAACCAGCACCACCATAAAGAAGAAGATAGCGACATGTGACTACTCTGTGTATTTAAGGCCACCATTTCCTTCTAAATCTCCATGCTTCCTCCAAGCATCTCTCTATTTCCTAGTTAGACCAATTAAATCCATTTCGGTCAACTTTCTACTGTTATAGTTTGACAACCTCTTATTAGGTTATAAGCCCTCCTTGAGGTTCTATTTTATACTTTATAGATCTCTAAAACTCTTATTATACTCCTGTACCCCTGTATAGTGATCTGCTCCCTAATTAGAAAGAGATCCTGGCAGAAATATTACCTACTACTATTATATTATACTACCTATACTACTGTTGTATTACTCTACCTGGGTAATAGTGTGTGGAAAATTTCTATAATTTAACTAAAATAATAACTAAACCTATCCCTAGTAGATATCCTGACATCCCTAATTTACTATACCTACCTTTAATGGCTATTACCCTATTTACTAATAGCTAAAATCAAGTAATAAAGCTAAAGAATAGCATATTTAACTTGAGCCTGATAATAGTATTAGAAAATAATTTAAAATTCAAAATTTAGACTTTATTTATATAAATAGAGTTAAGGCTTTATAAAATAAATAAGCTTCTTAAAAGTAATATTCCTAGACCATAACTTAATAATTTTAAGTATAAATTATAGGAACTTCTTTTATAAATAGTAGCTAGTTAAATACTATATTTAATAAGCAAGAAACTAGTAGAGGAACTACTAATAGATACTATCCTATATATCTTTATAGATAATTTTATATAGAAATTATAAAGAATAGTTATTAGTAGTAATTAAAGATATATATACTAGATATAGAGAGAAGCTATTAAGATTAAGTATAAGAATTATATAATTATTAATAAGTTTATATTAAACTTTATCTAGAAGATAAATACTTCTAATAGGTTAAAAATAGTTATTATATTATATTAAGTAGTTATTATAATACTTTAGGAGCTTAAAAGAGATAATATAAGTTTTATAGATTTAATCTTAAATAATTTAGATAATAATTCTATTAAAATAACTATATAAAAGTATTTTTATACTATATATAATATAGTAAAGAATAAGGTTTAAAAGAATCTATTATTTAATATTATATCTAATACTATAATGCCAGCTATGAATATACTAAATTCTTAACTAATAATAAATAATAGAAGGAAGTAGTAGTAATAGTAGAAACATGCACTATTATAGAATATAATAGTTACTAGCTATATTAATTATTAGTTAAAGTAATCTAGAAAACCTAGAATGCTATACCTATTTTATAAGGAGGAAAAATATAATACTAAGAACTATCTATATTTAGTAATTAACAAGTAAAAGAAAGAATAAAGACCAAGTTTAATATTTTAGTACTTTAAGCCACATAAGTTAAAGAATAGAAATAATTTAACCTAAAATTAGGCTATTACCCTAACTATATAAGCTAATATTATTCTAGATAATAATAATTTCATGCTATCTAGAGTTAATATACTAATAGCTTTAATATTAACTATCTTTAGAAATAAGTAGCTATATAACTCCAGAGCAGGCTATATAATATATAATAATTATAATCTCTTTAATAACCTAATTAAAGACCTAAATAGCTTCAAGAATTATGGTTTTATTACCTTTAATAGCAAGGTAGTATATCCCTAAGGTTATAGAAAAGTAATAATTTAATTTAAATTAGATAATAGTACTTTAATATTATACTAAATAGAATATCTTTAGAATCTAAATATACTATGTAACCTAATACTAGTAGAAAGAATAAAGATAGAATTAGGAATCTATTTTAACTTAAAAAATTAATATATTTATAAAATAATAATAAATAAGGTAATTAGATATATAATCTTAGATAATAATATCCTATTTTTAGTTCTAAATAAGGTAGTAATTATGCCCACTATACTAATAGACTTATTATATTAATAATTAGGTTATCTATCTATTAAATAATTAAAGTATAATAAGGTAATACTTTATAATAAAAGTAATAACTTAGCTACTAATAACTTACCTACTACTAATTAGAATACTAAACCATACTATAAAGTATGTTAATTATTAAAATTAAAGAAAAAGATATCCTAAAAACTATAATTATATATAACAAAATTATTATAATTTATATATATAGATCTCTAAGAAATTAAATTAATTAGAAGAGATAGTATTAAGTATATCCTACTAGTTCTAGATAATTATTCTAGATACCTTTTTATATAATATTTAAAGGCAAAAAGTAAATCTTTAAAGGTATTAAAGAAAATATATAATAGTTAGCTAAATATAACTAGTATCTATATTAGAAGGGTTAGATTTAACTCTACTCCTGAATTTAATAAATATGCTAGATAGAGTAAGGATTTTAGTACTATATATAAACTAATACTATTATAAACCCCTAAAGAAAATAGCACTATTAAATAGTTTAGTAGTTATATAATCTAGACTGCCCACATAATATATATACAAGCAAAAATAGAGCTAATTATATAGTTATATAATATAGATATAGTAGTCTATATTTTAAATAGGTTGGTTAGGAAAGGTAATAATAAAGAAAAGCTACTTATATAACTTTTTTATAAAGGATTAAATATTCTAATTAAAGATATTAATCTATAATATATTTATATATAAAGATATAAGGTATTTATAAATATCTTATATAAGGATAGGATTAAAAATATAAAAATATTACCTAGAGTAAAAATTAGTTAACTAGTTAAATATAATAAAGATTATATCTACAAGGTATAGTATCTAGATACAAGGAAGATAATTTGGTCAAGGGATATAATATTTAATAAAGGTAATATTAATAGAATAGATAGAATATAATTATAACTTTTTAATAGACTAAAACTAAATAATAATAATTTATTTAGAATAACTATATCTATTAATACTAAAAGGGAAAGAATAACTTATAATAGTATATTTTAAAATAATACTATTCCCTAAACCTTACTATTAGTAAATAATAATAAAGTTATTACAGGAAGAATTTAAATATTAATATCTAATCTAGCCCTACCTGAACCAAGCCTATCCAACCCAGAGGCAGGTGCTGACTTGATATATCTGCGCCCACCTGCCTCTGGAGCTATCTCTAAAACTACCCTACCCAACCTAGAGGCAGGTATCAAACTCATCATACCCAAGCAGCTACCTGCCTCTGGGGCTGCCCCTAGAGCTATCTTCAAAATTACTGAGCTCATCATACCAGAGCGGACACCGGCCTCCAGGGCTGTTTTCAAAACCATCGCCAAGCAAAACAATCGAGCGATTAGTAAGGATATGGAGGAGATAGTAAGATCTAGTATAGTGTCAGGGGGCAGAGTTGGATTCAGATATTCATTGACTAGGAGCTAACCAGACAGAATAGCAGAATAGTAGGTATTAGGTAATAGACAGGATATAGCTTAAAAAGCTATAATAGGATCAAGGATAATATAGCTTAAATATAGGAATAAGGGTAGATAGTTAAGGTAGAATCTAACTAAATAGGTATTATAGCTTTGTACTATAATAGTACCCCCCTTCTTAAGATTAAGCTCTATTAAAACTAGGAAGGAATTAGCTAGGATTTCTTAGAATAATAAAAATAATAATTATTTACTAGTTAGTAAGTATTCTCTAGATATTTAGCAGGCTCTTTAGTTAGCTTATTATATTTAATCTACTTAATAGTATATTATAACTTAGGTTTACTATAATTTTAATAAACTTATTAAGAATTAAGGACTTTTTTAATTTTTTATTCTTTTAATCTTTCTACTTTAATAGGTAGTAATAGATTAGAATATTAATTAAATAAAGAATTATTAATAGTAGGGTAAAGTAGAGATATATTAAATATAAGATAGATTTTTATATTTTTAGATAATTTAAGTTTATAAGTATATAGGCTAATAATTCTCTTAATATAATATAGTTTAAAATTCTTCTAGTCTAATTTCTTTTATAGATAAAATATTTAAATATTATAGATATTTAATTAAATTTCTTACTTTATAGTATAATAATATATAAATTATTTTTAGTAATTAGCTTATATTTTATAATAAGCTTAAGTAGATAAAATCTTAGTATAAATAAACTTATAAATCTTATATATAATATTAATAAATTTCTTAATATCTTTCTTAATAGAGTAAATAATAAAATAACTTAATTTAAATCCTAATATTAGGTAAAATCTATAATTAATTATAAATAGTAATACTTTTATAGACTTAGAGTAGATAGAGTTAGTAGTAAACTTAATTATTAATAATTATTTAGACTAATTATCTTATAGATATAATATATATACTTATAAGTATTATTTTAAAATAGTATTAATATATTTAGTTTAGCTATTAATTTTAAAATAATAAATAATAAATAGTAAGTTATAAAT